GTCAATATAACAACAGTTCTATTGTGATACATTTGTGTCGAAAGTGGGAGACTCTTTTCAAGAGAAACAGTCATTTCATGTAATTTGACTAGATTGAGTTGAAGAAAAATCGGAATGGGCCGATAGGGTATCTTATACGCCTCTGCCCTTTATGAATTTCAATCTTGTAAATGTATTTCACCATTGGTTATAACTAGAGAGCTGAAACTTTCAGCAATAAACGATCTTGACCAGATATATAAATGATAAAAATTTCAGTCCTCTACGTCGAGGAAAAGTATGAAAAATATCGATATCAAATTATCTTCAGTTATGGTGGGACGCCCTTTAACATGTTTCGACAGCATATAAGCCAAGCGTGCTGTGCAGTCTGGTACTATTTTACATGTAAGCCGATTTCGTTTGAGTAAATCAAAGATTTGTCGTCGTTGAGCATTTGAACCAAACCACAGCGTTGATATACGATTAAGGAATGTATGACAATATTTTTTCATCTGATCTAGTTTGAGAACCTGAAGAAAGCTTTTGCAGCTAACAAGTTTCTCAATTCAAACGTACAACTTGCTGATTGTTGATTTATTAATTCGTTATTTTTATTGATTAAATGTTTTTCTACTATATTCGTTCTCATAATGAACTGATTGATGGAACGATAAAGTTAACTGATCAAAAAGAGCCAATGTGTTGATCTAAAATGGGTGTCTTAGAAGATCTTGAAACTTTTGTTAATTATTGACTCCGAATTAGAATAATAATAGGTGTTGATGTTTTCTCTTTGTTTTCTATAAGCAATATTATCGACTTTTTAATTCATTTGTTTTACCTTCTATTGGTAAATGAGGCATTCGTTTTATCTCACCCGAATAACTATATTGGATGAGAAAATTATGATTTAAAATGTAAGAGTAGCACACCCCAGTATAGATAAAAAAAAATGTATCTTCATGATATATATATATATATATGTACGTGCCGGAATGTAAATACACGAGAATCTGTTTATCATTTTATTAGTCTCATTTGAATCAAAACTAAATCTATCTGTTTACGACTCTTGTCTGGATTTATTTTTGCTAGGAATATGTCTGATGCTCCAAAAACAAAACAACCGGAACCAGTAATTTTAAATTTTCAATTGATGCCCGATGAGTATATTCGATTCAAATACAGTTATAAACCAGGTTGTTGTTGTTTTACCTCAAAAACAACAACTGTCACAAATTTACGTTTGCTTACAGATGTTATTAAAACACCAACAATATTTTCGAAGCAAACATCAACTGGAAAACAAACGCAAAAAATAATGTATCTTGCAAATATTAATAATGTCAAACAAATAGCATCGCCTATACCATCTAGTCAAAATAAATGGTGGATGAAATGTATCGATATCTTAACATGTTCATGTTCAAGTCCAGAAAATGAATGGTTAGATTTATGCCATGGCGTGGACAATGTGGCATTCGATACAACCGAATCTACGAAGGCAGCAAATAATATGCAAAAACAATTCTTAGTTGAAAGATTTTAAAATGCCAATGATGAAATCTTCTCGTAATTATTATGAAACTTTTTTAAATAAAAATAAATATTTTGATCTATCGTTTTATACAGCAAGAAGTTACTGATGAGGCGTAGAATATACATTTATCTTACTTTGTAACAGACATGCCGATATATTTGTTTTTCCGCCTCATATTTGTTGTTTTTCTTTTCTAATCTAATATTCTCATTTATTTTACATGTATATCATATCATTTGATATTATAATTGATGATCTTGACGATAGTCAAACTTAGATCTTTAGTAAATCCGATTTCGTTATATAATCAATGATATGTTGAAATTGATGTCGCTAGTTGCTACTATAGATTCTCTGCATTTTTTCCTTTTCTCTTCGATGAATAAAACGAACAAATTATAACTGAGTACGGTAGTTAATGGATTGGATGCTGTATAATGTGATGACGCGATGTGAGCACAAAGGTCGTCATTTATTTGTTAGATTCTCTAGAAATTGAAAATTCATATTCCTAAAGGAGTAAATTATATAAACGAACAAAACATAATCATGGTTTTTAAACGAGCTATCTACATAGTTGCAGCACGTCGTACTCCCTTTGGTACCTATGGTGGTAAATTAAAAGATTTCTCAGCTACACATTTACAAGAAATTGCTAATCGTGCTGTTTTCAAACAAGCAAATTTATCACCTGAAGCTATTGATAGTACAATAGTTGGAAATGTAATGCAGTCATCATCTGATGCTGCTTATATTGCTCGCCATGCAGCTTTACGTGCTGGTGTACCAACGAATGTTCCAGCATTAACAGTTAATCGCCTCTGTGGATCAGGTTTTCAATCGATTATAACCGGTGGACAAGAAATTGAATTAGGCGATTCAAATGTTGTGTTATGTGGTGGCACAGAAAGCATGTCACAAGCTCCATATGCAGTACGAAATGTTCGATTTGGAACAAAATTAGGACAAGATTTAAAACTTGAAGATACACTTTGGCAAGGTTTAACAGATGAATACGCAAAAACTCCCATGGGTATAACAGGTAATTAAAAAAAAACAAAAAAGGTGTATTTATTTATTTCTATTTTTTCTTTTCTTTTAATTCGAATTTAGCTGAGAATTTAGCAAAAAAATATAATATAACACGTCAAGATGCCGATCAATATGCATTTCAATCGCAGCAACGTTGGAAAAAAGCAAATGATCAAGGTGTTTTTAAAGATGAAATTGAGCCAATAAAAACTAAAGGAAAGAAAGGTGAGGAAATCTTTGATACAGATGAACATCCACGTCCACAAACAAGTCTTGAACAAATGTCGAAATTACCTGCTGTGTTCATAAAAGACAAAGGAACAGTTTCGGCTGGTAATGCGAGCGGTGTATGTGATGGTGCTGGTGCTGTTATTATTTGTGATGAAGAATCATTGAAAAAATATAATCTAAAACCGTTAGCTCGTCTAGTTGGATATCATGTTAGTGGTGTTGAACCAACATTAATGGGTTTTGGTCCAGTACCTGCAATTGAAAATTTATTAAAGAAAACAAAAAAACAAATATCTGATATTGATTTATTTGATATCAATGAAGCATTTGCACCACAATTTCTTGCTTGTCAAAAAGTTTTGCAGTTACCAAATGAAAAAACGAATGTCAACGGAGGTGCTATTGCTCTTGGCCATCCATTGGGTGCATCAGGCACACGAATAACAGCAAATCTTATCTATGAATTGAAACGACGCCAAGGAAAATATGCTGTTGGTGCTGCTTGTATTGGCGGCGGTCAAGGAATATCAGTATTACTTGAGCGTGTTTAAATCAAATCATTTTTTTCTTTCAAAATGTCCCTTGAACTCTTTCAAATAAGAAGATAATATAGTGAAGAAAACAATGTGCAGTTAACATCTTCAGTTTAGATATTTTCATTTTGAAATTTAAAAAGCGAATTTTTTTTGTTGATGATAAATCATAGTTATCTCGACAATGATAAATGATACATAATCAATCTTGATACATCATATCTTTTAGATGTCTTTTAATGAACATATGCATATCCGAAATCGTTATCGAACAAACCCACCTGATTTTAAACAACTTGCCGAAAAACATACTGAATTAAAACCTTTTCTAATTGAAAAAACGAATGGTGGTGTTACACTTGATTTTCGTGATGCCAAAGCTGTTCGTACTTTAACAACAGTAACAGCTAAAGAAGATTTTAATTTAAATTTAGAACTTAGTTTAGGTAGAAGAATTTCCTCTGTCATTATTTTTCAATATTATTTTTGCTATAAAAATCATAGATCGTTTAATACCGAGAATTCCACAAAAATTGAATTATATTCATTGGATCGAAGATTTAATCGAATGTAAAACGGAAGCCATCGGAATCGATATTGGTATCAAAAGAAATAAAATCTTTTGTCAATAAAACTATAAAAATTACGTTTAAGGTTGTGGTTGTTCATGTATTCATGCTCTATTAGCAGCTCGTATGAATCCTCAATGGAAAATGCTTGTTTCTGAAATAGATCCATTTAATTATAATATGGCTGTAAAAAATGTTGAACAAAATGAATTACAAGATCAAATTCATGGTAATAGAAATTGGATCATAAGCTCATTGTTTAATTTTGAAAAAATTAATTTTAATTTCAAGTTATCTCAATGAATTCATCAGCATTATTTGACGGTTTAATTGATCGAACGAAACATTATGATTTTCTTATGTGTAATCCACCATTTTTTTGTGACACATCCGAGTCTCAGGGCTTAACAAACAGTCGAAATGCCGAGCGTCCATCAGCTAATTCAATTAATACAGCTGCAGATATTGAATCAATATATGATCAAGGTGGTGAAGTTGAATTTGTCAAGCGTATGATTGATGAAAGTCGACTATATACAAGTAATGTCAGGTAGAAATAATTGTTTAGTAAGTTTATAAATTGAGAACGAAGTTTTTTCTATTGGAACAAAAATTCGCTTTAGAATATTTACAAGTCAATTGGGTAAAAAGTCAAGTTTAAAACAAGTTCAAAAGTATTTAAAAGATATTCATCATACTGACACAGAATTTTGTCAAGGAAATACTATGCGTTGGGCTGTTGCATGGACATTCGATGAAACCTATCGTTTCTCTGAACAATGTCAATCTCGAGAAGTATTCAAACTAATTTGTTTTCTTTTTTTCGTATTCTCATTATTATATTTGATTTTCGTCGTAGAAAATGAACAAAAAGAAACAAAATAGAACACCGATCAGTGTTCAATTTGAATCAAAATATTCATTTAATTTTATTAAAGATTATCTAGAGAAGAATATATTTAACGAGCTGAATGTAAGTTCGTTGATTTTATTTCAGTTTCAAACGGCAGCAAAAAAAGATCAATAAATAATTTCTTTTTTGAAGCATAAACAAAATTCATTATTTCATTTTTATTCTTGAATGAATAATCAAGATTTCTTTTTTTAGAATCAAGTCAACATAATTTATAATTTTATGAAAATTGAGTTTTTGAAAGATTCTTTGTTTTCTTATCTTACATCGGATAAATTTGATAGGCCTATTTGTTCATATTCATTTCTCTTGACCTGACTATTTCAATAGTTGGAATAATATAAAATATTGAAGTTTGTCAAACAAATTTTATACTACGTTAAGCAGCACGTACTCATTACAGGAATTGCTTTTTGGTCTTGTTGAAATCTAGTTAATTGCTTTTTACATAAAAAAAAATATTGTTTTAGTTAAAATGGACCAGTCTCAGTTCTTTTGCTTGGATATTTGATGCTTATGAAAACTTATGGTCTCATCAACGTCAACGTCGACGTCATCAAAATGATGAACAGCCTCCATCAAAGCGTCTTAAATCTAATCCTAGCCAAGAGGAAAAGTTATGCTGCATTCAAGCACGTCTAGATGAACATGAAGGTGTTTGTACTCTATACCTGTTATTCGTCGATGGAACAAATGGAGATGCAGCAAATCAAATAGGTCAATACATTAAAAATCAATTTCCGAAATATTGCCAATCTCATACGAATACATTAACAATTGAATGATTAATTTGATTTACAAATAAGAAAAAAAATCATAATATTTTTACTTTTCTTTATATCTATCTATATATATATATATATACGTAGTATATAGTATATAGATCTATTATTTTTGAAATAAAAGCATCTGCTTATTTATCTACGATGTGTCAATTTCAGTGGATGTTTCATGCATTATTTAAATTAGACCAGACGTTTCATGCTTTTCATCACCGGTGTACGCAAATAAAACGGATGACAAAAATAATTTATATTGCTTTATGATTTTTAGCCGTATTCGTTTGGCATATTTCTTTTTATTCTGATTAATAGCAAACAATTCAACAGGCGTTTAACATTTTTTCGATAGTTTCTTTTTCGTGCACGTCATAAGTAGTAATTCTCGCTTGGCTTCTCCATTTCTGACTGTTGAGTGAGAGCAGAAATGAGAAAAAAAAACAATGATTAGTAAGCAGTTGCCTACACTAGGCGAGAGGAAGCTTGGAGAGGATATAAAATTAAATTTATTCACTATTATTTTTACCTCTCGGTGTTTTCTAGATTCAACACAATTAACTGATTATTATTGTTAATATTATGAGAGCTTAATGATCAAAGAGAAAAGCTAAGTATGTTAATTAAATTTCAAATCTATTTGTTGTTGGATCATCTGGTTTTTTGGTTTCTATATGCTCAATTCTGTTTACTACCTAAAAAAATCTTGCAAATGATCGCTATAAAAAGAAAGTGGGACGCATCAAAGGATTATGGTGCCAAAGAGAAAAGTTGTTATGATGAGAGGAGGAGATTGCAGTAAAATATTTCTTTCTTATTCATGTTTTTTTCCTACACTAGGCGGAGAATTACGAAGGAAAGACGATGGCAACAGCGACTCCTCCAGTCGTCCTTTTTTTTTCTTCATTCTTTGCCTTTTCATTGGATTTTTGGATGTTGTTTCAAAGCACACATGCACATGAATCTATTTTTATTTCACTACACAATAATAGTAAAAATATTATTGAGTTGAAAAGATGAAAAAAAGTACTTATTTCTCTTTCTCTTCTTGATATCGACAGACATTTTATCATTGCTCAATTTGATACAGACACGAACATCCACAGAAGGTAATCATCTGTTACAATTGTTTTATTGTATAATGAAGACATTTAGTATGCGTGTGATTATATATTGTACGTTGTTTAAATCCTTTTCGGTGATGCAAAGGAAGATAGATTCGTTCATTTGACATGACAAAGAAAAATTGAAATTGTCACGTTCTCCTCGTAATTCGATCTTGATGTGCTATTTATAAACTATTTCTATTTAGAAGGAAGAAATTCAACTGAACTATAACAATGTCATCTTCTGTACCACCAGCAGATTCGTTACTGGCCAGTCCATATGTAAATATAATAACTGGTTATTTATCGCAAATGCAAGAGCGAAACATCTTTACGAACGAACGCATTCATATTAATAAACATCATTTTCTAATAGCAGTTGGTTTTCTTGTTTTATTATATTTTCTAATACATATTCAAATTTTATTCTTCTGGCTATTAAAATTTATATTTCGTTTATTGCTTCAAATAATTTCAACAATATTTTGGCTTCCATTAAGAACCGCTCGATTTTTTATACCAAAAACAATTGATTATGACATATTATTTCCATTATTTTGGTTATGCTCAATATCATCATTTTATATATCAAAATTTTCTCATGAAAATATCTGTCAATTTTATGATGAATATTTTGTTCGACGCTATAAAATTTTACAGTACGACCAAACGAAACGTGAAGAAGTTAAACGGCATTTATTTGTTGCAACATTTATCGTGCTTCTTCTTCTTCAATCCTTATTTATTCTAATACCTATTGCTTCATCGATCAGACGACATAATTCAGTTAATAAAGTGCCTTCGGTAAATGAAACAAAGAATCTTTTCATAAGTCAATTTTTTGAATGTTTTTCTTTTATCTAGCAGACACCAACTGTTGACAAACAGATGATGGCGAAGACTATTAAAAGTTCAACAGCTAAATCAACTACTGAAGAAGCAGTGGGAACAGCAAATGAGAATCTATATACACGCTTTCTTGATGCATTTAAAGATGATGATGAAACGCAAAAAAATGAGAATCGTCAACCACCAATTAATGACGAAAAACCTGAGCATACACTTAAAACAATTAAAAATGAAGCATTTCAGTCAAAATCAAAAGATCAACAAAAAGCAGTAAATGATGATGATAAAAGCTCAAGATTTCAACGATGGATTGTTCACTATCTTAAGGCACCATTTCAAAGATGGAATAATAAAAATACTGTAGCAATTAGAGCAACAATAGAAGAGAACGATTTTGAAGATGAAAGCGAGGAGGAGGATATTGAATTAGATTCCTCCTCCCCGTCATTCTTTGACGAAGATGAAACCGATGATGAAGATGAAACCGATGATGAAGATGACGGAAATGATGAGCAACTAGAACATTCAACAAAAACCGAACAAATTCAAGAAAGTTTTGGTTCAGTTACAAACTTTGATCAAAAATTAAACGAGAATGTCAAAAACAAAGTGTGTACACATATTGCGAATGAAATGAAACTAAAAAATCTATTTCTATTAGATTTCTTCTACAGAAGAAAAAGATGATAATGACGAAGATTCTCTACCACTTCAAGAACACTCTACTAAACCAACCGAAATCACTAAAACTGTTGGAGCAAAAATTACTAAAAAGGTTTGTTTATTCAACTTTTAAAAGATGCGAATCTAATTCGAAAGATTTTCATTTTTTCTTTTCAAAACGACATTCACTATAAATACTACAATAATAAATAGTTTTAAAAAACAAATAAAGCTTCTATTCATGTTCATTATCATTTCTTTTCGTATTGAATAAGCGTTATAAGAGTTTCAAAAATCAGGATTTGTCTTGCATTTGTAACAATCAGATTGAACTAGACCAATCTATACATCTACCTGGATTACTCCTCATTTTTCTCGTCCTGTATACAAGCCAAAACTCATTCTCAATTCATCGTACTTCTATTTTGACTACTTGAGTAAAAACATAAGAGTTCTATCGTTTTCACTATTGTTGCATTTTTCATTGTTTATTTTCACAAGCGCTTTGTCTCGTAGCTTTTATCAATGAAAAGAAAAGTTTGTATGCCAACAAATTCTATCTGGTCTCTTTTCTTTTCTTTTTATGCGCATTATTACGATTTACAACCGTAGAGGGATGCTCAGTCACAATCGTACAATTGAATAACATTAGTTCCATTTGATAGAATACATCCTTTACGATGTAGATCAAAATTTTAAGTCTTATTCGAAATATCCCTACTGTATAAAAACAATCTACCGAAGAAAAGCACCAATTATCTAATAAGTTTTTTTTCTCCTTAAGAAACATTCAATTAAAATGCTAGAATAGTTTTTCTAATACTACTAAATAAAATATTTAGTAACTTTACATGCTAAATTTTAATATGCTTGATTGAAGAAAATCATTTGAGATATAACACCTATGGGAGTTCATTCATCAGATTTACACAATGATGAAAAATATTCATTGCATACAAACATCACTAATCAACTGTATACTTGATTTTCTTCGCACATCACGTTCGCTTGATTTAACTCAAATATCGGCATCAGATATTCGTTTAATCATAATTCAAAAAAATCAATTGATGAGAAATTATAATATTAAACTACATGGTATTCAAGTTTCACTCGAATACGAATGCGATGCGATGCGATGCGATGCGACACTCGAATCGGATCTTCACGAAAAATCTTCAATTCAGAGAAATCTCGAATACTTCTTATGTCGACATGATGAAATTCATCACTGAGAAACCTCTATTCTTACTTAGCGATACATTCTTAAGGGTCGATTTCGATTGATCGATTAATTATCTACATGATTCATTATCTTAGATCAGCTGTAAATGAATAGGCGACAGTGGCTAACATATGTTCGTGACGTCACTTTAACTATCTCGCAACAAATTTCTTTCATTTTCGTCATTTTGGATCCACATTTGTGAGTGAACAAAACTTCAGATTGAAGATTCGAAAACAGATGGAAAAAGTTCGATCTTGATATCTTGATCTCACGTTTCAGCGAATTTTCTACGATTTTTGGCTGTCGAGATCATCGCGGCACAAAACAACGACCTAGGATGCGTACGTCAAGAAAGTAAAAATTAAAAAAAAGCTCCCGACAGATTACATAAATGCTATGCTTCGCATCGCATTAGTAATTCTTTGATTTTCTTTGGATCCCATAACCAGAAATCATCATCATGTGTCTGTATGTTAATGAAATATATGACGTATGCAAGGATAGATTTTCACTGAATACATTAGCCTGATGAATGTGTCTCTCCATAGAAACAATCTCTCGCACTAATTAAAGTTTCGATCACAAATAAATATTTCTACCGAATCGAATTGATTATTTTCTTTGACCGATAAGAACTATGAAATATGTTTAAAAAATCCAATCAACATAAATTATTTTTTCTTTTACTTTAAGATTTCTTCTGTAATTGTTGATGACGACAACAACGAATCAGGCTATGATTCTGATGACGAAGAAGAAAAACTATCTTCTATACTAACTAAGAAGATTAAAACAACATTAGCTAAACATGCTGGAAAAGTTAAGAAAGCTGCTACAACGAATAAAAATAAGGTTTTAACGATTAATCGTCTTTAGTTGAAACTTCATTGGAGTTTTTATTCAGATTGCTTCTTCAACTGAAAACAAAGATGATGAACAAAAATCAAAATCAATTGCTAGACCAGTCAAAAAACATTCAACGAAGAAAATCAAAGATCTTGGCGAAAAAGTGAAAACTCATGAAAAACACAAAGTTTCTACTTACAAATTAAATTGAAAAAGTAACTTACTTAAGCAATCTTTTTTGTTTTAGATCTCCTCTTTAACCCAATACGACGAAACTGAAAATGAAACTGAATCATGTGTCGACCAAGAAAAAGAAACAACAAACAACGATGTCGAATCAATGAAAAACGAAGTAAAAACATGTGAAATTTGATATTTTATTTTTTGATTCTAATTATCGATAGATTTTCACAAATTTGGATGCATCGAAGCAAAGATCACGTAGTAATCTTGTGGATACAGCTAAAAATTTTATTTCCAACACTTTTGAAACATTATCCGAATCGGTTAAAGAGAAAGTCGAACAAGTATATTTGTTGTTTGTATCTTTCCAAAACAAACAAAATTTTCTCTCCTTTTCAGATCACAAAACCGAATAAAATGGAATCAAAAATTAAAGATCAAACTGTCGAACCATTAGAAAATGAAGCTTCTCATGAGAAAAATGTCACCAGCTCAAAAGTTGAACATGTTTGTAGATTAAAATACATTGAAAGAAATTTTCATCGATTTCGTTTGTTTTCAGTTAAAAAAAACTATCGATGGTGAAACGAAATCTTTAAAAAAAAAGAAAAAACCAAAGTCTTTAGTACATAAAGTCGTTAAAAAGAAACTTTTACTACATGGAAAGAAAAAGAAAACAATTCCATCAGCCAATATACTTAAGTCAAAATTAAAGATAAAAACGAAATTAAATGGATTCGTTGATGATGCATGGAATATTTGGCATCTAGCGAACAGAAAACTTGCCTATATATTTTCTTCATCAACAAAACATGCACGTCATTTCCCACGGTATAATGCAACATCTCTTTATACGGCATATACAGATCTTAAATGTTATGATTATACAAAAAAGTCTAGTCCTTATCGTTTATTAAATCGTAAACATCATTATTTTCTTGATACATATCGTCATCATTCACCATTTCCAGTTTATTTATCGATATTAAAATCTAATGGGCCTAGATGTTATCGTCATTATCCAAATTGTTCATGTGCTCTCACATTAAAAACACCAGTTCGAAACTTTAAATCACAATTATATCGTTTTATTCGATTTTGGGCTATTATCAGTGTATTAGCTGTTATTTTAGGAGCAATTTACACAATTCTAACAAATAGAAAACAAACTCATTTTTCATTTCGTCATCAAGAAAAATTTGATGGATCATCAAAGAATCAACAACGTACAACAATATCGAATAGAAACAATTTATCAAGAGCAATAGTAACAGAACAACAAATATCATCATCTATTAATCAACAAACAGTTTCATCCAATAGTAATACTCGTCCATTAGATCAGAAAATTGCAAATCATCTTTATTTGTGGCTTGAAGATGAAAAAAATGACGGTTTCAGAAACCTTAGTGAATTATGTCGAACAGCAATTAACAGTACCTTCATAAAAAAAGCTGTAAGTTATTGAAAAAATGACCTTCTATTTCTAGTCAAAATTAACCTTGACGTTCTACAATATTACTCTTTACTTAGAAAGACATATCGATTGACTCAGTTAACTGTCAGCAAAGCTGTTCCTTTTTTTTTCGATGATGCCTCTTGTTTTGTTTGTTTTCTTCTCGTCAATGACATCCTGACGAGTTGTTTTTTGTCAGACGAGGGAAAAAAGAACTTTTATCAAACGCATCGGCTATATATATATATATATATATATATATATATATATATACACGAGGATCGAGGATTTGTTTGTCTCTGAGAGACATCATCTACACATAATATCTATGCAGATTTTTTTTTTCTGTACTTCCCCTCTCTTTTTTTCTGTACTTCCCCTCTCTTTTTTTCCTGTCGCTTTCTGTATTCTTAACGATAAAATATGGGCGAATACACTTGGAAAGATGAAAAAAAAGTGCCGTACCACAGCAACTCTATGTTGATGATGATTGAGTTTCTTTCGCGGAGTGTATACGTGTATGGTATATACAACATTTTGTTAGTACCCTACAGAAATTCACAATGTCTATGAATCGTCAAGCTATTATTGATGCGTTCATTGAACGTCATCGGGCTAATTTTAATGATTTAATTGATCACTTGACATTGTATTATAATAAAACTCGTCTACATTTTACATCTCTGTCTGAGAAAACCAATCAACGTTACCTATACCTAAGCATTCTTGCAACATTTATTCTATTAACTATCATTTTCTTAATTATTTTTGAATATCGTCGTTTATTACAATGTATTCAAAAATTTTTTAAATTAGTTTATTCTTATAAACAATATATATTGATAAGAATAAGAAATAAATATTTACAAAAACGAACGCCATCACTTTTAAATGCGTTATTAAATTCCAAAAGTCATATACGAGAAAAGTTTTACAATGAATTTGCACGATCATTAAACGAAGAACTTAAAAATCGAAAGGTAAAATAATTTCTTCAAATAACAAAAAATTGTGTCGACCTCAGTATTGTAGGTTAAGTTTTATCTTTCACAAATTATGTTCTATTTTTTTGTTTTGTTCTTGTTCTTCTTCTTTGAATTAGAGTCACTTTATATTCATCATTTTCTTGTCAAGTGGATTGCCATTCTTTCCTTAGAACTGATACTCGAAACTGAGATTAAAGAAAACTACCGAAACGATATATATATATTGTTTTTTTTTTACAGAAAGAATTTGTTTTATTCTTTGGACACTGATATATTTCAAAACTCATATGAAAATGTACAACAGATTCGAAATAATTGTTGATAGTACTCTAGTAACTATAATAGTCTATAGACTTGTCGTAACGTCAAGAAAACTACTTCCTCAGAAAACATGTTTCCTTGAAAGTTTGATCTAATCTTTTTGTCGAAATATGTTAAGGTCTGGAACATGAGAAAAGCCTAGTCGTCAAGTAAATTATCCGATTCTATGTAGGCCCATATAACAAATGTTTTCGAAAAAATAAAGATTGTCTTCGCGATAAAAAAATTACAGAGATATCAAGAAAGTAATGAGGCTATTATTTATTGTGCCATGCCTCTTGCATATGTTTGTATTTTATCATCCAATACGATCTTTGTTTTTCCATCTGTACACCATACTGATGTGTGTCCTTAAGCAAATTAATAGACAAAGCCAATTGAAAGAAACATGTTATTATTATTATTATTAGGAGCAACTCAGCGTGGAAACATTGCAATTTGCTAATGCAAAAATTCGTGATGTTTCTCAAACTGCTAATAATAGCAATGGTGAAACACCTGCTGAAAAGATAGTAAGTATTTATTGCGCATTAAGCATTTATCGTTCTCTTAAAATGAAAATTTTCTAATCTATTTTTAAAGGTCATTAATGCTGTCCTTGATATTGATCATTTAATTCTTAATATTGTTAATAAATTTAAAGAACAACATTTTTCTCTCGAGACACCGAAATTATCCGGTCAATTGAATGTTTTATTGATTATTAATCCGACTCAATATACAATTGAAGCTAACCTTCAACAGCTTCATATCAATCCAGTGAATATAATTGATCCAAATAATGTAAAGTTTTTTGATTTTTGTCTTCGAATACAGTTCGTTACTTTTCTCTTGTTGTTAGAATTTATCAGCCAATGAAACACAATCTATTGTTAAAGTGCTAGACGAAACTATTAATCGAACCACTGTTCGATGTTCGTTTCGCCTATCAGATAATCAAGAGGATAAACATCATGTTTCTCTTTATAATTCTGCATTGGGATCTTATCCAGATTCAAAACAACCGGTAAGATATGTGATTATTTATTTGTCATTGAAGAAACAAAAAGACTAGAAGAAAACACTTGTCTATTCCTTAATGATTGTTTGAAACTAAAGATGAATATAAAAATAAAAAGGTTACTTCACTTTATAGAACAGTTCCCTACATAGATAAAAATTGTCGAAATCCAATCCCAGCGGGCATTAGTGCTTTTACTCAAGTACATGTACCCGGTGCTTGACTAAAGTCAATTGGCATTTGACAGATACTTTAGCAGTCGCAGTATGTGTTTGAAATGTCTATTTCATATGTTAAAATATATAATATTAAGACTCTCCCTTAGACACGAGCAAAACAGCAAATAACTCAGGATTCACTTGCTCTCGTCTTTTTTCTTCTAAACTCTGATCGATATTGCCAAGTATGCGTTTCCCGATTGTTGATTAGGCTGAAAAAGAATATAGTGCTAGTGGCAAATATCACGATTATAGATACATCATACACACATGAATGCTTTTCATATCACAATGATGTATATTGACCTTTTCAATAATTCATTCTCTTATTCATATGCACAGTTACTTAGTCGTATAGTTCATGATCATCGATAGATGAGTTTTTATTGGAAAACGATTGTAACTGCACTACTATGTTTGTACATAAATTAAGAATGAGAGAGTGGACGTGAAAATGTATTGACCATCTAAATTATTAGCAGAGTGAATCCGATCATGCGATTTAAAACCATGTTTGGAATCGAACTGAATGTAAGACCCAGCTACAGGTGATACTACTTTACAAAAAATAAATATATTATGGTAGAATAGATCACCATATATATTAATTCATTAATTGAAGAGTTAACTAAAACGGAAAGAAATTAGTTTTGAAATAATACCGATCTGTATAGTTGACTTTCAAATTAAATTACTAATCATAAGAAATTTGAATAATGTTCGTAGGGCAGAAAAATAACTAGAACAATCAAAATATACTTTGCATTTCTTTGATGGTCGAAATCGGTAGGAGAACTATTAGTTGAGTACTTTATTTTATTTAGCATTCATCTATCAATCAACTATCATCATCATCGATTCAAACAGCTGGATCTCGTACTCGTGAATCAGCTACAACGCGATATCAACTGTCGGATCCCCTGCCGACAGTTTTAATTAATGATTCTAATCGATATATATTTACAAAAGATCCAGCACTAGAAAAAGAACCAAAGCGATTACTGATTCGTGTTGTCAAAGCTGTTAAACTGCATGGTAACTATTTTTATCTTGTTTTCGCTTCGTGATTTTATGCAAATATGTTTTTTTTTATTTTTATATTAATCAATAGATGTCGAACAGCCATATTGTATTCTCGAATTAAATTATCCGAAACAAATAAAACAAACAGATATTGCAAAAAATGGTTTAAATCCGTATGTTAATTATATTTTCTGATCGAAAATTTTTCATTTGGATTTTTTTCTGTTAAGATTTTGGGATGAACGTTTTATTTTTGAATGTAACGAGCAAAGCAATCTGATACGCTTACAAATAATCGATCATAAAAAATCAAAAAAAAGAAACAACAATGACTACAGTTCGTTGATTGATTTTTTCTTGTTGAAAATAATAAACTAATCGTTGGAAAATATCTTCTTTATTTTAGCTGACACCGTTTATGCTGATCTATCAATACCATTTTCTTACGAGATGAGTACAGTTTATAAACAAGACATACAAATAAGTCAACAGTATCCTGAATCAATTATTCGACTCGAAGTAAGCATAAAAGCATACCTCAGTTTTATTTCTTCTACAGTAAATATGGTCGTAAATGAAAAGAACGACTTGCGATTGTCTAGAGAAAGCGTCTCCCGTTCTTCGTTACTTAGCATAATCTAATGTAAAAAAAAAGAAAGAAAATAGAACCATGCCGTTTTCAATAGTAAGAAAAAGCCCTTAAACAGCAACAAGTAAAAATAACATATGAATCAATTTGATAGTGCACTTTTCATCGAGTATATTCTGTGTAGGATACATATGCATTCAAAGTTTTTATTATTCTCTATATTTGATTCACAAACTTGTTTTTTTGTCGATCGGTTCGATAGTATAGTTGGGTGTTTCATTTTTGTTCTGTTTTTATATGTCACATAGCGCGCTTTTTTCGTTATTGTATATGCGAAATTGGGTGTGAAAAGAGAATGTAAAATATCAAAGTATTTGTTATTTACTTGAATACGTCGGTGACTATCATACGAAAGTAAATACAAATGGTTCGCAGTCGTAGTCAAACAAATTTGAATAGAATTTTTTTTGATTTATGTACAAGTCCATCAGTACGCTCAAAGCATGCACATATTCAGAATATGCAACGACAACAGAGCTCACATTTGCCGACTTTGCAAGCAATTAAATCCAATTCTTGTTCAGACATAACAGGCTTAAAAGACTTCTCAACAAATATGTTGCAACAACCATCGTTAGACAATCATCGATTAGAAGAAAACGAAAACTCGGACAGGTTTGATCATGTGCCATTGTCACCGTTGGGACCGAGGCTGGCAGTTGTAAATACAAAACACACTGCTACTGCAATAAAACCGATGGTGTCAACAGGTTTTACAGTTCAGTCACCAGCCCATCCAACAGATTTTACAGTTCAGGCACCAGTCCACCCAACAAGTTTTACAGTTCAGTCACCAGCCCATCCAACAGATTTTACAGTTCAGCCACCTGTCCACCCAACAAGTTTTACAGTTCGGCCACCAGTCCATCCAACAGAATGTTCATCGTTGTTATTTGAAACAACATTGGCAAATGCTACTAGAAAACCACAAGAACTACGTTCACCAAGTTATAAAAAATCTACCTCACTAGATATTTCATTTTCAAGTAGTAAACATGTAGCTCCACCATTGCAATCATTAATATCAGAAAACAGCGTGCACAACGTTAACACAGCTCACTCTTTTCAGCCTGTCCCATCAGAAGATTATAAACAGACAGACAGTACAAGTCGATTAATAGATCGCTTGAAATCACGAAAATGCTTCCGCAAATTGTTTTTCTAACAAGTTTTGAAATCTGCTTCTGAAATAACTCATAAAACATTTTGCCTTCATTTTTTATTAGAAATATATTGCAATGGATTAAAAAATCATTTTAGAAAAAGTACCAAAATTAAATTAAATACCTTATCTTTTAGTTTTCAACTTTGTCAGAAGAAGAAGCATTGACCGGTAAGATTCTTCTAATTCTATCGCGAGCTATACTTTGTGTTTGCATGATTTCACGCTTATTAAATTAACAAATCATCCTATCTATTTATTGTTTTTCTTTTCTCTAACCTAATCTTAGCTAACAATGGATATGATGTCGAAAGTATAGATGACAGTCAAATTTGGACGTATAATGAACGAGGTAGTAATTGTTTGTGATATGCTTTCTATACGAATGTCTTCTATCGAATAAATGCAATTAACAAATATGATGTTTTTATTTAAATAGATATCAATAAAATCGAACAAAGCTATCCACAACGATATCAGCAATCACCATCACATGACTTTTTATCATCGCCTTATGAAACGAGTACACTACCAAAAAATTATGGCCTATCAACTAGTCTATACGATGATGTAAGTGAAAAAAGATAGGCAAAAGATGAATGATAGCTTTGCATAGCATATGTAAGAGTTTGGGAAAATTATATTTATTAATTCGTTCAAAATTTATATAAGTATTAGTTCAGAAAGAAGAAATGCATTGATCGATCAATAAGAAAATTTTGAATTTATGACTTAAGATGTTCTCAGAGTGTTGACCTTTGTAAAATAAAGTGCTTCAATCGATTTGTTACGAAACATATGGAAACGGACGAAAGAACAAGCATATGAAAGACTTCCGTTGTCAATAGTTGTAGAGAGAAATATCCCGAGATGTTGTCAGGATTCAGAGGGCTGATGAATAGAGTGATCGATTTCAATTTTTCTATTAAAATTAAGTAGATTTAAAAAACACATAAAATATTTTCGTCAGAACTAGTGAGAAGATAAATATGAAAGTTAATTTTTGTTTTACAAAATTTGAAATTTCACTGTTCTCTGTTAGTAGCACTTATTTATAACTGTATTATGAATTTATAAATTGATTTTTAACAATTTATTGTTTGTATTGAATCATCTGCATGGTGATTCTCTTATTTTTTTATTAAAAATCAAAGAGAAATTCTACGATCGTTTTTATTTCAATCGATTGTTTAGAATCCTGATTATTTATCAACAATACCACGATCTTCAGACATCGGTCCAAGTACAAATACATTTTCACCATATTCACCATTATCGATTCGGGATGGCAATCAGGAATATGAGAAACCTCAAAAATCAAAATCATTTATGAACTCACTGAAACATTTAACATTACCACGACGAAAAAATCGTAACAAAGACAAGCACAATACTAGTATGAATTCAAATACAAGTAGTATCACGCAATTAAATAACAGTGTTCAAACACCGTCAACTAACCCTGTAGCACATAGCTTTTCATCAGGTGAGCTTCAAATAAGTTTTGTTTTTGTTTTTCTCTCACATGTCAAATGTTAATCACTTTATGCAGCTCTACCAGGACCAACCCCCGGTATGTTAATGCATGCTTACTTCACCTTTAAGCATGATAGGATTATTGAAAAATCATAAACATATACTAAGCAGTTTTTTTTTTGAAAGTATGCAAACATTTTCCTATTGGATATTTTCTCTTTTAGAATATTTCCTCGCGCACCCAACTGATGTACGACCAATTCGTCGTAGTCGATCCATATCACAATCATTTAAAAATTTATTTCGATCAAATTCAAAAAAGAAAGCACATGCTGCTAAAACTGATGCATTAGAGGAATATGAAAATGGTAATTTGTTTTTTTTTTCTTCGGTTGATCAAAATAAAACTATCGAAATTCTTTACTAGGTACACATAATTATATTGTTGATAATTCAAACTTTTTATCGACATCAACGCCAACTCAAAAAAAGCTTTCGTTTCTTCACCGACGTAAATCAAAACAAAAAAATAAAGAACAAGCTCATTATTCTGCGAACTCATTGTCAAGTTTTGATTGTTCAAGGTATGAACATGAATCGTGCTATGACAAAATATAAATTTTCATAATATCTTTTGTAGTTCCTCGTGAGTTACACAGAGTTCTTTTCTTGTCCTTTCTTCTTTAATACTTTATCATCGAAACAAATTTAGCACATCTTTTGTTTGTATGAACTCGCTAACATCACGAAACAAAATCTTTATCAATTTTCAGTGTGCTATTTGAATATATATCTCAATTATAGTGATCGAATAGAATCTTATTCTAATTTTTATTGTTCTATTTTAGAATGGAATCTGTGCGCGATACACCTGTTCGTGCAAATGTCGGCCATCCAGTAACGATGACTAAATCATTTGCACAATAATTATAGTGTTATTTTATTTATGTGTACAATGTGTTTCTGCTTAACGTAGACGGAAAGAGTATCGAACAAAATAATTTGTTTTACTTTACCTATAGATGATCTATTTTTGTGCATATGATAAAAATCTTTTCTTATATTTCATCTGATCGATTGTATGCTTCCCGTTTGAATTAGACTATAATAAATGAAATTTTTTTTTCTGTTTGTTTTTGGTTGAATTCTACACTACTATGTTTTGGTTTTTTCTTACTACAATGTGTGTTTAACAAATGGTTAGCGTGTATGATTTTGTTTTCTCTTTTCCTTATTCACGCGTTTTGTTGTATTGAATTGCTGAAAAACTAAGCGAATATGTGTGTTTTACGGTGCACCAGATATACTTCTGATTTTCTTGTTTTTCTTCAAATACACTTGGAAAAAGATGATTTATTACTCAGATATATGTTATTCATTGGTTTTATCAAAACGATTCGAATCAATTCATGCGTACGAAAAAGCCGATTCGATACTACTCATCGAACTATCTGAATTAGACGAAAGAAATCGTATCAATACAATAGAATATTTTGAGTTTCCAATTGATCGATATTCCACATTGAATGATTCAACGGTGCCGATCATATGTACATACTAAATATAAATAATGACAAATCTCGTCATAATTATATTTCAAATATAAGCATTATTCATGATGCTATAGAATATATTATGATGCCATAAATATTTCTTGACTATAAAATAAAAGCAAGTAAAGCATATGTTTTCTATTTGTAGAATTGCTTTCATTAACTGATCGAATTGATTTTTCGTCATAAGCATAGGACACACATTGATATTGTGGTCTTGGTGGAAAAGAGCGAAAAGGAAAATAGCGAAAAGGAGAATAGCGAAAAGGAAAATAACGAAGAGGAAAATAGCGAAAAAATTAGAAGTGATCATTTCTATTCTTGTGACTCATGGTTTATGCTGTTTTATTGATCGAAAAAAGACTACTATGATAATGTATTTATAAAATTTTATTTTTTTTTGTTTCCAATCAATAGTGATAAACCTGATAGAAGTTCCTTTGTGGTGATTTCTTTTTTGAGAAATCTATCGTGAAGAACATTGACTTTCATTTGAAAAGCAATTGTCTTTTTGATTGCTTCGGTGCAGATGCACCAGCATCAAGCTGTATTGAAATATGTTGAAAACGAACATGTTCGCTTTTAATCAACTGTATAAAAGGGGTGTGGGTGTGGGTGTTAGTGTGTTTCTAACTATACCTCCACTCACACCCACACCCACACCCTAGTTTGTTATGGGTGTTGTTTCAGTCAATATTTGTTCTTTCATTTTGTCTCGTAAAATTTTTGCTTCTAGTTGATCCGGATTTGCAGAATGATTATGATTACCACTAATCGAGATCAACTCCTTGTTAACATTTGTATGTATATATACGCAGCAACCTTTTTCCGTACAAATCCAATATTTTTTCGAGATTGTTGTTTTGTTACATCGAAATAGATAATTATCACACCTTATTAATGGATTACCTTTATTCGATGTGGCAAAAGATATCTCAGGTTGCTGAGCGTTAAATGAACTATTTTCAGAAGGTACATTTGAAATCATTTTCACGATAAATCTATTTAATATTAAGAAGTTTTCTCGTTTTATTGAAAAAAAAAGATGAGTGACCAATACGAACAGAAATGATGAATTTTATAACGACATCTTTTCAATCATCGGATGTTTCTGTCTTTTTCATTTCGTCCATCATATCATATTTTCGCTGTTTTCCCTTTCGCTGTTTTCCCTTTCGCTATTTTCCTTTTCGCTATTTTCCTTCTATATAGTTTTTCTTTCGCTGTTTTCCTCTTTCAGTTTTTTTTTCGCCATTTTCATTTTCGCTCTTCTCCACTAACACCGATATTGTTTGTTCAAGGGTCGCCTATGATATTGAATGAGATGTTCCTGAAGTTGACATAAACTAATTACGTTGTTCTGAAATTCAAACTATACGAATTCGTATGCGCCTATTGAAAGTTCGCAGAATCGAGTTTTCATAAGATTATTTTCACTTGGAATATTCTTTGTTTAAAACGAGAACGATTTCTTATTTTGGTTTAATAAATTTTTTAGTTTGCTGGTAAAATGTCAAGTGTATAACAATGGTTTATTTTGCAATCACCTGAAAAAAAATCATTGGAGAAATATTGGTCATATAGCATATTTTAATATTAAAAAAAAATGTTTTTCTTTTCTTTTTTTTCGCTTTTTTTTCTATGACATATTTTGAGATATACAAACAAAGAAACAAATTAAAACTTTTGATTGATAAAAACAAACATAAAAAAGGAAAACTGAAAACTGAAAACTGAAAAAGAGAAACGACGCTGCTTAAACAGTCGTATTGTCAAGTGTAAGTAACGTAAAAAGGACAGGTAAAAAACGTTGATAATGTTCCCATGGTGTACCATAAAATGTTAACTTTGGTTCAGATTTAAATCCACGATAAAGGCATAGAAATTCTACGACACCTAATTTTTCTTCTAAAAATGTTCGAAGAATATTTATTTTAACTACACGTGTATCACGTTGTTTTGCAACAGTTAATAGTATATCAGTGACACTTTCATCCCAAATAGAATTTGTTGTTGTTGTTGTTGGTGTTGGTGGTGGTGATGATGATTGTTTATGAAATATATTAGTAATCGATGCCGATGATGATGCATGTTTATTGAATACAGATAAATAAGCAACATCATTTGATAATGAATTTGTTGGCGATGATGATGCTGTACCACTATCCTCTTCTGGTATCGTATTACTTGATGTAACAACGAGATTCAATGGTTGTACTAACGAAGGTGATGAATATATTCTTTTTGATGATGGTAATAAATTAGGAGATGATATTCGTGTTTCAGTGCGTTTTCCATTAAGTATCGATATCGGAGATGATTTATCATTTAGGAAAGAATTTGATGAACGTTCGTTCGTCTTTAAATTTGATAACAATGATGGAGATGATGTTTGTTTCGAAAGTGTACTATGACGAATAGCGAGTTGAAGAACTTGTTCAAACGTTTTAGCAGCTGCTGTAGTTTTATACCTAAAGCAAGATTTTTTTCTTTTTCATAACTGAGTAATAATAGAAGGAAAAATATTTCTACCAAATATGATGAGTACTAGAAGTACGTGGCAGAAGGAAAAAAGGTGATTGAGGTGTATTGCATTGTGGTGGTCGGTGAGTTGCATACAGACGATAAGCTTGTACTGGACATGTCGATGGTTGACTTGACGTTGCATAAAGTCTACAATAGATAGATAGAGAGAGAGAGAGAGAAACCAAAATTTCTTTCGCTATATAAATTTCTTTCAATTTAACCTTATCGTTTGATTTTCTGTTTTTTGTTGACGACATATAAGATATTGTTCATCGATTAATTCAATATCACTCCAAAGTAATTGTGGTATCGCTAGAACTTTATCTTGGCAAAGTTTGGTTATGTGAACATACATTTCAAGTAATAAACCATCAGGCTTTGTTCGATCAAATATGGTTAAATTTTTTATATTAGACAAAATTAATGATGGTTTTGATTGATGATGATGACTATTTGAATGATTCCCACCACCCATTTTTTTCCATTGTTCGCGTTTAGTCATGATCACTTGTCGACATGATTGAAACAATGGCGATTCCATTAAATTATATTCATATTTTTTACTTTTTAAATAACGTTCAATACTTAGTAGAAAACTTCTTAATGTATCTGGTTCATATTGTGTGCCATCGAATTTTTTTGTATTTTCAAAATAATGTTTTAAATATCGACATAATGATTCAGCTGATACTGTATGTAAAGGTTTTCGTTCTTCGAATTGTTCATCTATGTACACAACGAAGCGTTTAACATCATGTTTTGTTTTTCTTATTGTATTATGAGAATTTGTATCAGATGATATTAGAAAAACATTCGGATCAGGTTCGTTGACATTTATCAATGTACTATGTTCATTTTCATTAGTTGATCGATGGTTCGATGATGGTCGAGCCGAACGACGATTCGAGGGAAGTTTCTGTGCATGAACCATTAGACTACTGTTTGCTAAAAGCGAGAATTTCTTTACAAATATTTTGAACAAATATAATAAAGTTTTATACTTGGACTTGTTAAGTGAACTGATGATGATGGAGTTTGTATTACTAATTGTGGGTCTTCATCGATACTTGACGCTGGTGATGAGTGATTTGATTCTAATTTGATCATTTCATCTGTTGATACAAATGTTGAATGATTATTATTGATATCATCATTGATATTACCAATAAATCTCGTATCATCGTCGAATTCCATTGATTTTTCTCGTCGAAACTTTATAACTGTACTGTTCGCTTGACTGTTTAATGTATCGACGTATTCTTGTTGCTGTTGTTGATCTGAAGGTAATGTTTGAATAGTGGTAGTCGATGTTGGTGACTGAGATGGCATCAACATCTTGTCGATTTATATTTCTACAAGAAAAAAAAGAAGAAAAAAAAGACTTCTTCCAAGAATGGAATATGAGCGAACGGAGAAAGAAAAGAATAGTTTATTTTATTCTCTATCGAATACTTAATACACATAAAAAAAAATTCAAAGTCCCATTCGACTTTGTTTGTTTGGTGTATGGGTGGATGTGTGTATAAAATGAAAGTGATGAAAGAAGGAATGAAAAAAAGATTTAATATTTCATTTGAATATATGCATATACGCACATATAAATATTCTTCGAATGAAAAAAAAAATCCAGAATGAGATTTCATCGGCATCAGTAGAAATTTCCAATAGCGGCGAGTAGGCACAAGTGGCTGATACTCTTAATAATTCTTGTCACATCTGTGTATGTACACATCGATGTACATACACATGCACTGATAGAATTCATGGATCATTTCTAATATGAGGATATGAAGATAAAAAATATGAGTTTCTTTCTTTTTAGGAAGATACATGAATCGTATCGCTATAATGTGATTGGAAAAAAAGAACGAATAGTTCCATTCGAAGTAGATAAGTGGAAAGATATAACGTTGCCTTCCGGCAACATAAAAAAAAGATGAAGACACGATGGATAGAAAAACGACAAGCCCCTTTACACAATAAGCAAGACACGTTCACCAAAAAAAATACGGCAGCGCAAAGAAGAAGAAACAGAAAAAAAAAGAAAGCAGAAAAACTCTCTTTCCATATCATTCATAGTAAGTATCGTATTTTTCTTTTCTTCTTCCATAAACGTTCAATCTGTATCTTTTTTTTTGGAAAATATGAGCATACTTGCATAGTCTTCTAGCTAATCTCCGATTTCTTTGTGCACACAAGAACGTCTACATGAGAATGTGTCTAACGTTAGTCTGAATTATCAGGGCGGGGGGAGGGGGGGGGAGGAGTACAAAGCTCTCTTTCTCTTGCTTTTTTTTCCATCATGTATTCGGAACGGATGAAGAAATAGAAAAAAAAGAAGCAAAAAGCTGAATGAACGCTGACGGGAAAATCTGTATCACAAAAAGCATATACAACGATCAAGTAAAAACAACCGGCAGACAATCATAATTGTTGATTCTGTTCTCTATCATGCGGGAATATTTTTACTTGTCTAATTCAGAGATAACTCACCTCGAAAAAAAAGATTAAATTATATAAAAATCGATTTGCATTATATGATTGATTGCATGGGAAACGAGTAGTGATCAGAATAGTTTGATAAACTAAATGAATGTATTTAGAAAAGAAAAATAGAGAAATAACATGAGATGTCTAATGGCACGAGATTTTCTGATTAAAAAAATATCATGTTAGCCATTCTCATCCATTTCTATGTTTTTTTACTGTTGTTTCGTTGTTATTCAATAGATGACAACATTCGTTATTTATCACTATCAAACATAGATCTACCTTTTTTTCTTCGATTGATTCAACGAAAAACAAGACGAAGAAAAGAAGCAGAAGAAGACAGATGAATCGAGAGAGGTACCAGTACTCCAGTTCTTCATTTCATTGTATCACCATTTTCATTCTTCCATCGACGATCACGGAAGACGTGTTCGTTGTTTTACCTTATGTTCGAAAGAAGAAGAGATGGAGAAGAATAGAAAAAAAATATATGCATGTATATTCATCCATACTACAGACGAAGTAGTAAATGACTGATAGAGATAAAAGAATCATTAATATAACAATGACATTTTCCAATATTTGAATGAATAGATATAAATGTATATGGAAGAAAGTATCTATTGGAAGTTGTTAAAAGTATATGCCAAATAAAAGGCATCGAAAAGAAGAAGAAGAAGAAAAAAAGAGAGAAACAAGATAATAGAATCGAATGTGGTTTAGCTGTTTATTCGACAAAGCATACATATTATCACCTGTTTCTCTTACTTGTTTGGGGGGGGGGGGGGGGGGGGGCCCCCCCCCCCACACACACACATATATATATATATATATATATATCAAGAAGCATGCTTTGCATATAGGTATAAAATATGCGTATTGAAACCTTGCCTTCTGTGATTTGCAACTGTGTAACGAATATCATATATATATATATTCATATACTTGGATACACATATGTGTACCTGCCGTTTCTAATTCATTCTTTCTCATTAATCACTAGGAAAAAAAATAACTGAATCAACGAATAATGGTTGATATCGTAGAATATTGACAAGTATGATAATTTGTTGATTCATCGATATGAAAAAAAAATGTTTTGGATATTATTGTGTTTATATGATAACAAGTAGTATAAATATAATATTTTGAATCAAAACGCAATCATCCATTTAGGATTATGTTATTGTTGATTGCCGAGTTTTAGTCTTTGGCATATCTATTGCTTCCATGTTTCAATATTTTCCTATCGATATTATAGTTGATGTATCATAATAACTTCTATTTGGGAAAGAAAATCAAAATAGAAATCCTATATGCAGTCTTACCTTTAGTCTCTCTAGCGGGACTCGAAATATATATACGACTTTCTGGTTCATGTCACATCAAGGAAAAACAGCGCGACATAGATAAGCAATATTTATTTTGCTCGAAATATTCAAGAAAATTCAGTGGGATTTTCTTCTTGCTGAATTTATGAATATTATGATATATGTCTGTTAAAGATGAACAACAGTATACATATATAAATAGCTCATCCAACAAACAACCGTGTATTGTCTAATATCATTGAAACGAAAATTCTTTCCGCATTAAATTTATAAAATAATATTTATTTCATCAACCAAACAAAATTGATATTAGTTAAAAGCAAAGCTTGCCGGCAAAATTCTTCTCAATCATATTTATAGTTTTACACGTCGATGAACATTTTATGACGAATTGTTTCTATGGATGACAGAATAATTAATTAGAAAGAAAAACGTTGTTCTTGCATGTCTTTATTAGATTTAAAAATAAACTATTCCGTTCAGAAGGATATTCATTCTTGCTGACGTAGAGCTCAATATTTATGTGTCGTTTTTCAAGATAATTTCTGCTCAACCAATCAAATCAAATCGAATCTGAATCTGAATTATTATTATTATTGTATAATTTATAGTTAACTTCGATATAAATATTAGTTCAAAATAGAAAAAAAATCGATGCTGATTTTTATCTTCATTATTGTTTTAACAAATACGACGTAAAAATGAAGTGGAAAAATGACGATTAAACAGAATAAAAGCGTTAAACAAAAGTTATATATTGACATATGAAAAATCTTCGTTACAAGAATAACAATTAGACGAAAGAGTAATAGTAAGGAGATGGAAAATAAAGGGATGAATAACTGCACACATACACAACATTAAGATCTTCATTTGGTTATATTTTCTCTATGACTGAACTCGACTATTCAACCATTCACTGTGTATGTTAACACTGATGTTTATAATTATTGCTACAACTAGCAATATCGAATAATGAAAGAAGAAAAGCAAAAAAAAGAAGACGAAAGTAGTAAACAACGCAAAAACATTTTGTTCACTATTTTCTGTCAACTAAATTACTCAACATAACTATTTGATCGTGTTGGACTTATGATTTCAATGGATGGTACGATAGTTTCAGTTGGTAGACGTTGTAGATTGTCTTCTAATACATTCAAAATAAAACAAAAATGCGTAATTATAAAAATTTTAATATAATAAACAAACAAATCTAAAAGCTTTGTTATTATTTATACCTATTCGAGGTACTCGCTGTTTAACATAACTTGATGGTTGACCACAACACCTATGTATATAAAAATTTAAATTAATCAGTATCTTTATATAAATCTATGCTACTTACGTATTCATACTACAATCTTTAAGGCATTCGAGAATACATTCTTTATCGCTAACTGTCCCAGTAATAATTTCTTCCTATAAAATAAATTATTATAGAAACAAAACAAAAACGTAATAAAAATCAAATTTGAATACAAACATCAATAAACTCTGGTTGGATTGTTGTTGAATGGATACCTTCTGTATGAAAAAAATCTTTAACTTGTTCAGCTACGGCCATATATTCACTTAAATTATGGCAACGTATATGTGCAGATGCTATGATTTTAGAACCACTTAATTGCCAAACATGAAATTCATGTACAGCTAAAACTCCAGGTACCTATGAAAGAAAAAATAAATACCTGGAGTTCACCTGTACTATTGACTAAAAAGACATACTTACTTGTTCGACAAGTCGCTTTTGTAAATCAGCTACTTCAATATGCATTGGAGCGGTTTGTAAAAGAACTAATGCTGATTCACGCACTAAATTCAAAATAAACATAATCGTATACAGAAATAAAAATCATATTTATCATGTTTTACACAAGGGAATAGTAAATACAACAATCATAGAAATCATAAGTAAACTAGCTAATGGATCAATATAATTAACCCATGTTTTGTCAGGCCATTGCTTCATAGCTAAACCAGCTAAAACAACAATAACTGAACCAAGTGCATCATTCAGTACATGAAGAAAAGCACCACGAATATTCATTTGACTTCCGTCCACTATAGAGAAAACAAAATTTTATGAATTGCTATTTATTTGGGAATGTCTTCTTACGTCCTTTCTTTTTTTTCTTTTTTACGTTTTGATCACCATTTAACACTGGTGATTTAGGACCATGTGAATGACCATGATGATTTTCGCTATCGTTTTGTTCATCAGCACATAAATGTTCACCTTCGCCTATTTCGATACCTTCTTCATCTTTTTTATTGTCTTTTGCGCTCTTTGACTTCTTACTATCACCTCCATGTGAATGTCCATGACTCATATCTCCTGAAAACATATACGATTGTTATCAAAGCAATTGAAAAACAAAACCACAACAAACCTCCAAGAATGGCCAATGCCATAAGATTAATACCCAAGCCAACTAGACCAACAATAATATATAATTTTAATCTAGTTTGATCAATGGGTTCTATTGAAATTAAACGTTTTACAGCTTGAACAAGAATAGTAAAACAAAGTGACATCAGCAATATACAATTAACCATAGCACCCAGTTCTTGTGCACGTACCCAACTAAATATAAAAAATAAAAATAAATTATTTTTCCAACCAAGAATTCAATTAACTATACCCGAATGTATTTTTAGCTGATTTTCGTTTTGAAATCTAAATGTGAAAGAGAAAATTTAATTCCATAAAAATTATGTTTCGTAATAACATACTCGTACTGAGACCATTGCAATAATAAGCGCTCCACTATCACTGAGCATATGAATAGCATCGGCAAAAATAGCCACTGAATGAAGAATATATCCACAAATAAGTTCAACAAAGAAAAATCCAATTGTAAGAGCTAATACCGTTCCTAAACGGCATGTTTTTGAAGCATGTAAAATCGACTTCTCACCCTCGTGAGAATGTGAATGTGCATGAGGTGCCATCTGAAATATAAATATCTATGAAGCTAATTAGTAAAATAGATAGCATGAAATGAGTTCGTTTTATCTATTCAAAATTTTCATGCAAAGCAAAGCACACACACCACTTATCTCCATTTCTATTGGTTGTATTTAATGAACCATATAAAAAATATTGATTTCTGCGCAGATTTAAAAAATATATTTTTTAATAAATTTTATGAGAAGTATTTGAAAAATAAACATAAACGTTTGCATAATTTCAATAGAAAATTGTTTTTCCTGATTAAAAATGAAGGTTTGTTGTCATGGATACTCAATAGGTCGTATGATGGGGTTGACTTCGGAGTAGAGTGTTGTAGGTTATCCTGTCAAGTGGTTGAAGAAAAAAAGAAACAAATATAGTTTGATACTTTGTAATCTGAAAATCAGGTGTTTTAAATGATCAACTCGAATATCTTTTTTTCTTTTAGAAATTAAGAATATTCGTCAAATGGCTACATTAGATAGAATGATAATTGATGATCGTGACTTGGCAAACCGATATTTCGGTGATAATAATCTAGATGATTTCGACAATGATCAATATCTATTTTCAAAACCATCAACAAATAAAACAGAACCGTTTAATTTAAAACCTGTCGGTGAACAACAATCATCAAATCAAGAAAATGATAATGTAGGATTATTTGGACGACGAGTTTATTTAGAATCACCTTCACTTGACAATAAAGAAGATGATATATACAGGTAAAATATACATGTTATTATTATTATTATTATTATTATTATTATAGTATTGATGAAATAAAGAAGATCTGTTTTTTTAGATATGTACCAAGTCGTTTGAGTGATCATCAAACATCAATTATTGGTACATCATCGGTTCCAGCACCTACGGGTGAAGCACTTATAGATTCACTTGATTTCGAATTAGATTTTCTTGGTGCAACAAATACACGAGCTGCAATACCATATCGAGCAAATCCACATTTATTACAAGAAACAAAACCATCAGCACCATTGATGCAATTGACGAATCCTGTAGAACAAACTCCAATGACAAATATACGAAGGTGAGTTTATTTAAAAAAAGCTTTACAAACTCAATGAATAAGTATCTCATATTAAATCCAAATAAATCTTCTTGCCATTATCTTCTGACCGTCTTCTTTTATAGAAAAAAAAAATAAAAGCTACTTTCTTTACGGAGTTATGAAAATTTCTTTTATTAAACGTCATTGTTCTTAGTTTGAAACTTAATCAAAAATGATCACTAATAATTTTTCAAGGTCACCACCTACGATAGTCACACAAACGACGAGATTCTGAAATTCAAAATACAACATTTGGATATTCTTGAGAGAAATATTTTATAAGCGAAAACTATAGAAACAACAGAACATCTTATTTTTTATGATTGAGGTACTCAAAAAAAAAAACTATAACTTTTATATCATTCGTATTCAGTATACCACTTGCAAAGTTTTCTTTAGAGTTAATTTTTGTTGCCAACAACATCATAATAGTAAGCCGTTCATAAAAAATGAAACAGCATAACTTTCCAAACTGTAGCAGAAAATATTTATAGCCATCAATGTCAAGTATTTTCTCGTGAGCAGCAAAATCCAAGTAAATTTTTAGATGATAGACGTATCGAGCACGCAATCTCCTATTGATTACTTTTAACTTATGAATTTTTCGCATGTGCCTTGAAGAGAAAAGGCTGACACAGATCATTCAATCTGAGTATCAAATAGGAAATAGCACTTGAGTGATTGAGTTGAAGCGAATGCTTTAAATTTGCCGACAACAACGAAGATTTGTTTAAAGAAAAAATCGATAGCCGTTTAGATCTTAAAAAGTTTTCTTATTTCGGTACATGTAGAGAACATTTTTTCAGACTGTAAGATTGTGAAAAAACGCCTACAAAATTATGTTCTACGTAATCTAGAGCACTCTTTACACCATTGAAAAAAGTGTGAGTGTGAAAGTAAAATGTTGTCTATTATTTTTCAAGCTATTATGGAATGTGAGACATCATAATTTTTTTTTTAATCGAAAAAGTTCTGTTGCTAAAGACGTAAAAAAGGAAAGCACGTGTGTTATGTTATTTTTTATATAGAAGAAAAAAAGGTTGAACTCATTTTTCATGATATTTTTATTATTTTGAACTATATAAAACGAAGAAGATATTTATCTTCGCTTATGAAAAAAACTCGATCAAGTATTTCTCGTGTGATCTTTATGAATGATGAGATCGATGGCTGAAGTAGAAACCATAAATTAGCTTACGAATTGATCGTTTTTCTTTTGTTCATATGATATAATGAAATAAGATAACTTGAATTATGCAATATTTCCAAGGAAAAGTGCAGCATCAATGATATTGAACTAATATTCAATTTCTTTTTCTTCTTTTTATCACGTAACACCCTTGTTTTAATATCAGTATTTTTATTTAACTTGAAAGTGTCTTGATACAAAGAGAAAAAGAATCAATTGCATGTATTTTTAAGACTTCACAAATGATGATGATTTTTTGATCTTCTCAAGTAAAACAGTATTATTATATTTTTATAATTGACCCATGTCAATAAATCATAGGGACAAAATTTAATTATAGAGCTGATCCTCGACAGGATCCCCTTCTTGGTCCACTACTTGCTGAACTTGATTCCATGTCTAACCAACAAAGTTTACCACAATCACAACCGGTACCTATGCAACGACGAAATTCAGTACCACACGAATCCAATGTTAGTCGATTACCTGGTCTATCCAATCAGGGTAGGTATCTTTGGTCGATTATAAAAAAAATACGTACCTTCATAGATTGATTGTTTTCTTTTCTTTTCTTTTCTTTTCTTTTCTGCTTGTTTGTTTGTATGTTTGATGAGAGAACTATTTTCATACATAAATGAGAGTCATTTACCAAGGCTATTTTGCCAACGGCAAGGATATCAGAGCGTTGTTCACAACAAGACATTGATTGTTTTCAATCTTAAACATTTTTTTATTAAAAGTTCGTCGTACATATTGTTTCTGTACGTAACTTACTCAAGCAAAAAAAAGAATTCTGACTGTAAAAAAACGAGAAAAAAAGAAAACGCCAAATAGCTTGATTGATTTTCTTTTCCTTTTGCTTTATTTTGTAAGTTTTCTTCTATTTGAAAGAAAAACAAATCGGAAAGAGAGGAGAGCAGTAAAATGGTATTAGCGATAATTGTTCTTGTGTCATCGGTTGCTTATGATCGTCGTCATAAGAACAAGAAAACAAGAAAAAAAAAGAAGAAGAAAAACCTAACAAATATAAACACCATTTGTGATGTAGTAGGTAGCGAAGCGAACAATTTTTTTTATTTCAGTAAAACGTCGCCTGACATTTTCCCTAATGTAGAAGTCTGACAGAGCCTATTTTTATTTTATGTAAAGGGCGTTTTATTTAATGAAGTTCATTTTCTAGCATTAACCACTACAAATAATCGTGCTGTTAACGATGCATTATATGACGCGCAACTGTACGATTCTCTCGATCCTCGAAATCAGCAAGATCTTCATGTTCGTCAACGACAGTCAATAATACTTTCTGCACCAAGTATAAACTCATCAAATCAAGCTCATCTTAGGTCTCAACCACAAATTCATCAACCCCAACCCTCACAGTATCAGCAACAACAGCAGCAGCAGCAGCAGCAACAACAACGACAATACCAAAAGCAATTACCACCTCGTACATCAGATATGAATAGTACTGATATATTTTTACCGTCATCCTACAACAATAACGGACCGGGATCATTTTTAAGTAATTTCGGTCCAGACGATCAATTATTTCAACAACCATTGTTTAACGCTATCGGGCAAAACTATGTACCCAATGCAAGACCACCACCTCCCCCTCAATCACAACAGCAACCATATGGACAACGAGATATAACTTTTGATAATTCATATGCGCGATTGTCTCCACCACATCGTCCAGTGTATGCACCTCCACAACAGCCTCCAAATAATAATAATAATCCATATCAACAACAGCAACCACCTCCACCACCTTCTTTTCGACCAACAAACTATACTACTAATAATAATGGCAATGACAATGATCCATATGGTGACTATCAGGATGAATATGCTACTTCTCAATATCAACGTGCTCCACCTGCTCAAAAACAACAATATCAAAGACTTCCGCAACAACAACAACAGCAGCAGCAGCAGCAACAAAATTTCGATGAACAAATTCCACGCACAAATTATAATCCAAATAATCAAGAACTGTTTTTTACTGATCATAATGACGATCAACTTGATCAAATTTCTTTTCGACAACAAGAACAACAACAACAACAAGGATTATCGACATCGAATCAGCGTCATGTCGATCAACAACATGAACAAGACTCAAAACGACAAGGTAAACGAAAGAAATAAAGTTTTTATCGAGTCTATTTGTAAATAAAATCAATTATCTATTAATAGCTATTTGGAATGACTTACAACGTACAAACGCTAAAGTCCAAGAAAAAAATGCAAAAAAACGTGAATCAGCAAATCGTCGTGAACAATTATTGAAAGGCGTCTACACTACAAGTAATGCATGGAATGGGAATGGGAATGGTAGTCAACAATCGTCTGCTGAATCGAAACAAGGCGGAAATTCACTACCAGTACGTCGTCCACCGCCGGTACCTGTTTCAAAAACAAATTATATCGATGATAATATTGATATGATTAAAAACAAAGAAAACTTTTATCATCGCTATCCGGCGAAAAAATATGAAAATTTATATTCAAAACGGAAAGATCTTGTTGGAGGCGGAAAAAATGAACAAAATGAGAACCAACAGTAAATTTAAAAGACAAACAAAACAAAACAAAACAAAACAAGAATTTTCTCTTCTCTGTTTTTTTAGTTCACAAAATGAGTTCGATCAAGCGCAATCAACAACTGTAATTAATGATTCTGCAGTTCCATATCCTAATGCACAACATCGTTCTAGTTTACCAGTAACAATTAATTTAAATCCAGGTGATAAATCACAGACGGGAAATCTTCCAGCAACTGTTACCATACCTCTCGGTAATTTATTAATCTTTTGTCTTAACTTTTTTGTTTATTTTGTTTTGCGTCTTATCTTTATAGACAGTCATGTTAGTCGTGTTGGTGATAAAATATCAGTGAATATCGATTTACGTCTTGTTGATTTACAAAATATTAAACAACAACAACAACAGCAACAAAATAACGAACATCCAGATTGGTCTGGTCTAGATCCTTTAGATAGACATATACGAAAATTAGAACGTAGTATTGATCAGGTGAGAATGATATTTCTTTAGTTGTTTAATTCTAACATAGATAATAGATAATAATTGAATTCAGAAATCAAAATATATTGTAAAAAAACAAAAAACTATCGAATGTCGCTGGATTAATTGTTCTTGCCAACGAAGACTTCGGCAGCAGGTAGCTGCTTCAAAGCTACTTTTTGCTCATTACAATATATGTTTCCATTGCTTTTTTTTCTGTATTTTTCATATTTTATTTTCAATTGCTTGTATTTTAGACTTTACCAAATACGCATTCACCAACTGACCGAAGTCCAACATCAACAAAGCCAACTGTTAATCCATCTATAGGTCGTTATGGTAAATATACATCAGGCGTTGGTCAAGCTGGATATCATCCACCTAGTTATGCTAGTGAATATCATCCAACAAGTTATACTAGTGAACAATATACCTATAGTGATAAAGGACGAGAAGAAGGTAATTTTGCTTTTTTTTTCTTGAATTCATTACACTTTTCTGTGTTTAATAAAGACTCTTATTTGGCTAAAATGAATCATATTAAAAGAGGACCAAACTTTAAACCGTATACTGGTCGTGATTATGAACAATTCAAAAAGAATAATGGATTTGGTAGTGGTTATCTTGGTTTTGATTTTGACAATCCTAATTATAAAGAAAAAGTATAGTTACTCTCTTGAAATTAAATATAATATATTGAATTTTGTTTTCATTTAGAATGATAAACTATCGAAAACTAAAGAATACGCACAACAAGTTGAAACTCGTAATAAGAAAATATTAGCTGAAGCTCCTCGTCGTACATTATCAGATACACGTATTCCAACTGAACATTCGAAAACACAACGAGTAATAGAGAATGATTCTAATTTTTTATTAACATTTCTTATTTATTTTCTCTTCGTTTAGGCTCTTGATTACGCTCGTGTTTCAACTCGCCATAAGCCACCATCAGGTACATCGACTCGCTCAACCCCACCTGATATGAACGGTGCCGGTCCTATTCGACCCCGACCAACTGAAGTTCCTAATCGTCCACCACCAGTACAAAAACAAACAAATAAACCAGTACAAAATGGTGACAATGAACTTGTTGAACGTTTAGCTCTTCGTCATGAACGTGATAAAGCTCAAGTACACGGGATTTTAAATCCTTCACAAAAACGACGTGAACAACTTTTTGACGATAGTGATCGTCATGTTAGTGATATTGAAAGATTAGCACAAGATCGAGCGCATCAACGACGTCTATCACCACCAAAACAATTACCTCCAACAGGATTACCAACAAATGGTAATGCTCGACGACCATTAAGATTTGATAAACCACTTATTGCTGACGATGTACCCTATACTCCACAACAACAACCTCAACAGCATCATCACCAACAGCAACAACAACAACAGCCATATCGTCCTGCTCAACAACACCAACAACAACCACCACCACCACCACCACAATCATCACGTGTCGATGAATTAGCAAATCGACATAATGACGAAAAGATGCTTATGGATGCTATTCGTCAAGAATTAAGTGAACGTCCATTAGCTGACGATGAAGAACTTATTGTCGTTGAACAATAAAAAAAAACTTATATTGATTTGTACGATAAAAACCCTGTGATAATTTCTTTCTCTTTTTTTTGAAGCTCTTATTTCCCTTGATCACAATATCTTACGAAATACTTTTAATTACATAGACATGTATTTCACGTTTTTACATTTGCTTCAAAAAAAATTGTCTCAAGTTCTTTTTCTGTATATATGTGGTCTTCCAAACATTGATATATGTAAAGGCCTCTCTATCGTTATTATTCCAATAATTTTTTAGTATGACTCGAAACCAAAACCAAATTGATTTACTCTTTTTCTTCTTCTTCTTCTTCTTCTTCTTCTTTTTGCGTGCCTATTTGTTGTTCTCTTGTTTTTCTTGTATTCCACACGGTTGTTTACTTGACATGCAGCGCACTATAAAGGGGAATGTGCTTCGGATGTTATGAGCATGAATGATATGATTTTAAGATGCGAAACTAAAGTTGTTGTAGAATTCTTCATTTGTTTGTTTTTCTTATATGAAAGTAGATTTTAACAAAAAAAAAACAATTATAAATTAAATTTAGCTTTCAATGAGTGAAACAAAATATCCGAAGAAAATATTAAAAAAAAGAAGTGCAGTGATTCGATACATTTGTAATAACAAAATTTAAAATAAGAGTTCCAGATGTAAAAGAAAATAATTTAAATGCATTACAAGTAATTATTTTTACGGTTGCAAGACATTAGATTAATGAATGATTCTTCGATAAAATAGAATCCATTGTATTCGAAATAACAAATCCATATTGATATTTAGTAAGAAAAAAAGATGATCTACTTATTTTTTTGGATCCGGCTTTTATATTGATAAAAGAAAAAGTAACTCATAGTGCAAGATTGAATAGCATAGCTTATGAGAGATGTGTGAAACCTTGTTTTCCTTACTTTGAAGACTAAGCTACGTGTATGACAAAAGTAATTCTATTTTGATTCTTAATTGGTTAAAAAAACATTTAATTTACCAAGAATTCGTGGAAGAAATACTTGAAATTTTCTGCTTTAATTCTCAACTGACTAATTGGTCTACGATCGATCTCATAAAAATAATAAAACAAGATTACATTTGAATATATTATTTCCTTAAATAATGAATGGTATGCTTACTAAAGGATGATGCTCGTAAAAATTGATTTATTCTTAAGTTTTTCCTCGGAATTTTACTTAAATTCAAGATAGTTTTTGTTTTCAACACTAATCAATTTTTTTTATGTAACGTCTGATGCAGTCCAATGTTGAAATAAAGCAAATCTCTTCTAGGTTTTTGATTACAAAAAACAGCTGTAACACTGCAGCACACTATTTGTAACTGCATTGAGCATTTTGTCTGTGTGCACTAGGAATCATCTAAAAATTTCTATTCAGACTAATCAAGCTTGCAAACAAATATAAAGAACAAATAATACTATCGTTTTATTGTTCAAACTTGAATTTTACGCGGACGTAGGAATTCTTTATCCCCCCGAGCAGACTTTTATTTCAGTCAATTGTATAGAATCAGTTATTTATAGTTCGTTAAAATAGAAATAGAGTGTTGCTAGCGAATGACCTGTAGTTTGTTGACTTAATGATGTGTTTTAAAGTTATTATAAGCCTTCTGAAGCTTCAAACGAAAAAGTTAACATTGCCTCGTTCTAAAATCTTTGATTCTAAAGTCTTTCAAGTTTGCCTGTTGCTTTTTTTGTAAGGACGAATATGGATACCATATAACATTGGAACAGGTAGAGTTACAGAGTTCCATTATAATAATTAGCATTGATTCATTACTAAATCGATATCGATGGAACAAAAAGCCATAGAATTTCATTATTACGCCGCAAATGTAAAAGTAGACTGTGAATCACTATTTATGTATTTTCGCATTTTTGAAAAAGTTATTTCTACTACAGTTTCAACGATTATGGACGCCATACATATCCAAATGTTTCCAAATAATTTGAGAAATATTTCTTCTACACCGATGCATTCCAATATGCATTTATTTCATTCGTTCTAATCCATGATTTTGTAGTAGACTTTTAAATTGTATTTTTCTCAGACTGGCACGTTCGATTTGATGTTTCCGATTATAAGACAGAATCTAATTTTCTGGAACTATATAAGACGAGCTTTCAATAAAGAAAAGCGGGTTCCTGTTAAATTTGACTGGTGCATCCTGGCATGACGTTAAACTAAACCCTCATTTTCTATCATGTGAAATAGCATAGAATTAACAGATATACCCCAAATCTGCATCTATAGTCATAGGATAAATATGTAGAATCAATATATGACGCTGAAATTTTTCCATTAAAATATCTAACTCAACATATAGCTCTATTGAAAATTTCATTAACATCGGATGCTCAAAATAGAAAAATCAGAATAATTTCTACAGCTATTCGATGAGACTCAAAATTGATCCTTTTCAAATTTCCATTTAATCGAAAATGAATATTTCAAATAAATCCTTCAATAATAAAATACATTCAACAAAGTCCTTCTCCGAAAAAAGCAATTGTTTGATTCAATAATATTACGTTTCCGATCTTCTGATTCATTAGAAGTTATGTTGACCTATCATTGTACTTCGTGTCTAAAAACAGATTTGTAACCTAGATGCAGTACGATTGACATTTAGCGTGGTCTGGTTGAAATTCGTGATATGCCAGTTTTTATTGCATTTGATATTTTGTCGAGCTACTGAATAAATTCGATTCATTTGATATTTAAAAATATTTTAACGAACACGTTCTAATAATTCTTATGTTATGAACTTTTATATTTAAAACTTTATTTGCTCAGCTTAAGTAGAGTAACCGGGTGTAATTTTAAAATGGAAAACAGTCGATTTCAACATAATTCCTATAACTTTTTCATTTGTCGTTATTTTTAAAAATTTTCTTCACAAAATACGTAGCTTTGTATCTGCTCTATCAATAGGTGGAAAAAAATCAACTCAAAATACTGAGCATAGAGCTATGCACAGAGTATTCTTTGAGCTCAATTTTTCATCTTTGCACACATTCTTGCTGGGTCTAATGTATAAACACGCTGATGTCATTGGGATAAATGTATAATCCCAGACAATTTTCATAGGTTTCAAAAATCTTAATTTGTAAAAAATGAGTCCCTCATTTTTCAATTATTTTTTCATTAATCCATAGCTCAAAGTCTTTTCTATCACTCTAAACTTTTTTTAATTCTATAATTCAATTCCATATATCCTTTAAAAAGCTCACAAAATGATCATCAAAAGAAAAATCTCTACATGTATAATCGCAGCAGTATTTGCTGAACCTAATAAAAACTAATTTCTCTACGATCAAAATTGATTTTAATGATCATTCGAACGTAAGAATCTTTCAGATTTTCAAGCTCTATCACTCTAGAGTATTTTTACGATATTTTGAACAATTTTAACTTTTTTCTTCGCAATAATAGTATTTTGAGTTCAAAAGAATCAAAGAAAATTAATGAGGTTTTCGAAATTCATTAATCGATTAAATAGAAAACGTTTTACTAGTATCGATTGCAGCAATTGGTGACATGTCGTTCGTTGATGATATGTCTTGTTGATTTGAAGCATAAACTAATAGAAAATCATTTTTATAAACAAAAGTTATAGTTTAAGAAATCGAAACTCATGAAATAAATCAAAATCTTGTTTAATTTTACATTTACTAAGAATCATCACTAAGATTTTTCTAAGAGCATTATTTTTTTTTATAAATTATTTGAGAATATAAATTTTTTATTATTTGGAGAGAAAATGTTCGATGTTATTGCATGAGCTGTGTTAAGACTAATTGATGTGTCGATATTAGCTGTAAATAGCGATTGAAATAATGCAAAAAATATGTATGTGTTGTGTACCTGGTGAAGTAGAAATATTTATTGAATTCGTGATGAGATTATTCGTTGTTCAATAAACTAGTGTTACTTGATATTGATAAAAGATCTGAAATATAAAACAAATAGAAATTTGTATACATAGATATTTTTACCATTTGAACTAATATTTGGACAAGCAGATGATCGACGAAGTGTAGAAATGTTCGTATTGCTGGTTGCTTTATCACTAACAAAATCAGTTGTGTTTGATTGATATGTTGGTGGACGGGGTGTGGTGGCAAGCATTCTAAATGAATGCCATGATCCATGGAATACTTGATAATTCTAGTAGATAAATGAGAACGATGACCATCCATTAGCAACAATATGGGTCTTTTCGCCGTCTTCACAGATGGCACAAAATGATTGCATAGTCAATCAAAAAAGTCCTTTCTTCACTCCAACCAAATTGTGTTGCATTGAAACGAGATCCAGGGAATAATTTCTTGGCATCCACACGTTGCATAGTCCTGGTGCCCGGTAGATTATGTAAGGAGGTAAAAATCTAATAAATGCAAAGAATAAATATGAAAAGAATCGAAAATTTCACTTACTTTCCAGACGCTGAAGTACACATAAGGAGCGTAGTATAAATTTTACCAGATCCACCTTGAGCACATGTAGCATATTTCGAATCTCTCTTGATAATGACATATTTTCGACCGGGACCAATCACCAAATGTCGACTCATCTACGTTATATATTGATTCAGGTCGATCAAAGAGATTTAACTTGGAGAGAATTTGATGTAAATGATCAAACCAATGATCTAGGGAACAATGCACAAAAATTTAGAACAATAGTAAATTTTCCTTACCAACCACTAATTGAGTACATGAGAAAGATCTCACCCTTTCCAATTTACAAGATTCGACAATCTTAATATCATTACCCCATCGTTTTCGAAAAGAAAAAAAAACACTCATTTAGGCGTGATTTGCATGTGACATTTGGCTTGTTCAATTCAATCATGAAAGTACATTCTACAGAAATAAAATCGGATCTAGTGAGTGGGTGTTGCCATTCGTGAAACTTCTGTACAACATGTATTAAAAACTTTTCTTCTTCTTCTTCTTCTTCGGTTAAAATTGTTTGACCGCCTGATTTACGATCACCACGATGGCCAGATAAACGTGAATAGAGAGTTGCAATAGGTATTTTATAATTTTTAAAAGTTTCTTTCACTGCCGTTGTTCCATTACGAATCAGGATTCACTGTGATATGCAATAACGATTATACAATTACTCCAATTGGGGTGAATATGTAGAGATTTTTCTTTTGATGATCATTTTGTGAGCTTTTTAAAGGATATATGGAATTGAATTATAGAATTAAAAAAAGTTTAGAGTGATAGAAAAGACTTTGAGCTATGGATTAATGAAAAAATAATTGAAAAATGAGGGACTCATTTTTTACAAATTAAGATTTTTGAAACCTATGAAAATTGTCTGGGATTATACATTTATCCCAATGACATCAGCGTGTTTATACATTAGACCCAGCAAGAATGTGTGCAAAGATGAAAAATTGAGCTCAAAGAATACTCTGTGCATAGCTCTATGCTCAGTATTTTGAGTTGATTTTTTTCACCTATCGATAGAGCAGATACGAAGCTACGTATTTTGTGAAGAAAATTTTTAAAAATAACGACAAATGAAAAAGTTATAGGAATTATGTTGAAATCGACTGTTTTCCATTTTACAATTACACCCGGTTACTCTATGTACAGATTGTTATTAGGAGAACAAATAAAATCTATTGATCGTCTATCATTTTTATTCAAATATTGAAATCAATCGTTATCAATTCTGTTTTTCTTCTATAGGTATGTTCATCTATATAGACTGAACAATGCAAACAACTTGTAGTAGTAATAGTGAAGAATAACAATCTATCATGCTAATACACGAAAGAAATCTAAGTAGCTACAAGATGAGCTTGTCAATAAGTAAGTAATGAAGATGAATATAACTACTCAATAGTAGAGTATTGTTTATTCTAAAAAAAAGCGCACTAGAAATAACGATCTCTTTTTGTAAATAAAGCAAAAACGATTTTTGTATATTTTATGTAATCAAAATGTCATTAAATATTACTGTTAAAACAGTTTTTTTTCTACTGGTGATTTTTTCTATTCTTAATAATTGCATAGAAAATAGATTTTTCTTATGTAATTCGTAATATCCTCTTGTTGCTTTATGACATGTTAATGTTAAAAGCAACATTTGTAACGAAGGTCAAATACAGATGAAATGTCAGTTTTGGTAATTAAAAAATTTAAATTAAAAAAGAAGAAAAAGATTAAGCCCTCTTGTCTATTGTATGATTTGATTGAAATCTAATAATTGAATTTCAATCTTAAACTTTGCTCATACATTAACTTAATCCTTGTTAGTACACAAACATATTTTGACAAGAATAAAAAAGATTTGGTACATCAATTTTTGCATTACATAATATAAATACTATCATCTCGTATTGACGAGATATTCTTTTCCCATGGGAATTTGCTCTTTCGATTTTCTCGTTCATTGTCAACCGAGATGTGTTTTATTGCTTAACAAATTCAATTAAATATCCCAGTAGTTTTCAGACAAGATTTATTTTATAACCAATATATATGTATGAAAATTTTTCTAGTTTGTTTACCCTTGGGATGATAAATCATAAGCGATATTAGATGCTATGCATATGAACTAACACCCTTTGTCTACCCACTAACCCAAACAGCTTTTACTTCTCACTTCGATGCCAATTAATTGCGAGAGTTGTTTGTTCTTCTTCTTCAATCGTCTGGTCTTCTTTTTTTCATGAACTTCAGCTATATTCATGCTGACTAGACAAATTTCAATTGCATACATTTGCATTGTCAGTTTGGATTATAGATGGACAACTATTCATCATATGTCTGTCTCCTTAATTGGGTGTACTCAGTCATACTATATATATATATATATACAAACAAAACAATGAAGAAAGAAAAAATTCATTTACATTTAACAAATTATTATTATTCGTATTAAAAAGTATTTATTTATAATTTAGAACGATCAAACCTTCTCTCCCTCTCTCTCTCGTCTTACGTCTCTCATCAAATTGTATAAATCATGTCATCAATATAGCAACTATCGTAGATTGCATCATCTATAATAGCCATAGATGTGTGCATATTTAATTTCGTCTTACAAACCATACAATTATGTATCCCAGTCTGACACCTACATTTTTAGACTGGCTCAATCGTTTGTCGTATATACACACATACAATATATCGGTCAAGATCTAATGTCATACACACAGAAAAAAGAAGTCAAGCATTTTTTTTGTTTCTTTCTCTTGTTCCACCTGAAGCCGAACTACCCGTTTACATAAAATTCATATTACATAATATATCATCTTTTGTATCTATTTTTTTCTTTCTTTCTTTCATTTTTTTTGATCTCAAACATAACCTCACCAAATAATTTATACAACTAAAAAGAAAAGAAAAATCACAAAAAAGGAGAAAAAAAAGATGCAGAAAAAGAATTTGAATAGAAGAAAAAATTGAATACTCGCAGGTGATGTTAACCAACAATGAAAAACACATCTTGTGTACGCTATACGAATGGAACGATAGAACAAACACTAAAACGAACCAATCTTGTGCGCACACAACAGTTAGAAGAAGAAGAAAAAAAATATATATTCAGAAACTCTGTTACAGGATCTCTAAAAAGAAAAAAGGAGCAAAAAGAAAAACATTTTTTTATACATAGACTGCATCGTCTGTACTTCCACCCATAAGCTCATTCTCGTTGCACACACCCGATAAATGAGCTTCTTCTGTATAACCACTTGATATCGAATACATGGAATTCGATAAATGAATTGAATTGTCAAAATGTGGATGTGGATGTGGAGAAGATGGACGTCGATTAAAATTACCAGGTCGTTTAGGTCCTCCTGTTGCTTTATGTTTAATCACAAGATTACAATCAGCGATTGGGAAAAGAATATCTTCATTATTCATTGATGCTGAATTTAAACGTGATATTGTGTAAGTCGGGCGAGGAGAATTTGTCGGAGATATTGATGGTGTACGAATTTCATTTGATGAATGATTTGATGATGATGAACATCGACTTTTGCATACTGAAGAAGCCGATGATGATGATGATGATGATGACGATGCAGAAGGAGAACGAGAACCACCGGTTGATATAAGCGATGGCGCCGATGACAATGGTGATTCAACAGTTGGCGACATTGAACTCGTCGAAGTTAGTTCAATAGGTTTTCCTTTTTTTTGGGATGTTTGTTGTTCGAAATTTTTTCGTAATTCAGATACATTCGGATATGTAAATGATTCAGCTTCTGATGGTGTTCTAGCCGATATAGCCGAAACAGTGGTTAGAGAACTTGTTGTCATCGTTGTTGACATTTGTAATGCTTGTGAAAGGTCAGTTGTTACAGCTCGTGGTCTTGATGGACGGTTAGTTGATGTTGCGTGAAATTGTTCAATACGCTTTTGAAAATTTGGCTGATTCTTATGATAAGTTAATAATGATATAGGCGATGATGTATTCAAAGTTGATGATCTTGTTGCATTAAATGGAAGTACTTTTCTTGGTAATGTTGTTGTAACAAATGTTTTAGCTTTATCTAAACTAGTTTCATGTTTTTTCTCGCGTAATTGTTTCCAATTAATTGTCGGATAATAATTGTCCGTTGATGTTGAAAGAGATCGTTCAATACTTGCCGTTTGTTCTGCTGTTTCATCGATTTGTGAAAGATTAACAAAGTGTTGTTTACTTGGCGATATAAGAAGAGACGCTAATGATGAAGGAGTTATTTGATTTTGTTCCGAACTTGATGAAGGATATTGTTTATTAGAAGATATACCTGATATAGCTGAATCACACGATACAGCTTTACTAGATGGAAGTGCTAAATGTGCATGTGGTTCACTATAATCAGAACCAACAGCAGAATCAGCATAGATATCTTCTGTTGAACTGTCACCTAGAAATCATCATAATAGAAATTATTTATTTAATATTTATTTGATTATCTAACCTTCATCGTGCCATTTTGAAAGACCAAAACAAGAATGTGATTCAGGTAAATAATTACGTGTTGAATTATTTGTTGCTGCAATTAATCCTCCATGTCTTGTTGATGTTGTATAATAAATATTTGTATCATCAATTGGATTACGTAAACTTGATTGTTCATGTTCATAATTTAATGATGATTGATCTTGATTGTAATGACTAAAAGTACTTTGATTGTTTGTAGTATCATCGTCATCGTCGTCAAGATCATATTTAATGCGTCCTAAAGATTTCGAACGACGATCTATTCGGCCACGAGAACGTGCACGTCGTCGATGTGTTGCATCAGCTGCAACATAATCCATATAAGTATAATCCATATTTGAATATGGCGTTGGTGAATTTTCATTTTTATTATTAGAATTACTTCCACGGGCTTTTTTAGAACGTAATAAGGTTCGAAATTGAGCTGCAATTTCAAGTGGATTTAAATTCGAATTATTGAGCAATTCAAGATGTTCGAGGGCAGCTGTTGCCACATCGAATTGCGGGGGTGATGATGAATTACTATTGCTCATATTTGTCTACATCTAAAAGAGAAATACAAGCAAGACATGATATTGACATTTTCAGAAATAAAAAACTACATATACATAATCATTGATGAATGATTTCTTGTCAGCACTTCAATAATAGATAAACAACTCAGAGTGCTCGTCTTAGGTTTTGCATAAGTTCATCATAATACAAATGCTCATCCATAACGCTAAAGATGTCTATGCTTAATCTGATAGCCATCTTTTTGTCTCTACTTCAATGAATAGAATACTATAGAGTAATGGGCTTTCTGTCTACATGTATATATATATATATATATACGCGTGTGTATGTGCGTTTTTTTATTCTATGCATGCTTGACCCTATACAATACAAATGAGTTCCAGAATATCGACAAGCGTTTCACTTCTCATCTCTTTCTTACTCTCTTCCTACATTGTATCTGTTTAGATTATGTACACAAGATCAGTACCACCATATCAACGTGCATGTTTATATTCAAAATTAGCTTCTTTCTCTTTTTTTTTCTCTCTCTCTCTCTCACTCATTCGGACGTGATCGATGAACATCTATGGTCAAAAATCGACCGAAACCTTTGTGTATTATAGGTAAATTTATGGTCGATAAAGAGAATATAAATCGTGAGTCGATCGGATTAGTGTAAGAAAGAAAAGCTTGCTATTTGCACTCACAAACAACAAGTTCAATCAATAAAATGACTAAGTCTATAGAAACTATTTAAATAGAAAACGAAATATTGCTTATACATATATCAAAAGAGACCATTTACTAAAGTCAACAACGAAAAAAAAAAATGTTCGCGTTACTATTTTTTTTAGTCAATGTTTGATTAATTGAAATCAAACCTTTTTCAAGTATAAGCATAGATTTTATTCACACAATAAACATGTAAAAAAGTTTTTTTTTTTTTATGAAGCCCTTAATGTGAATCGAACGAAAAAATATTCTCTTTTTTTGGTAGAAAAGCTTCGGCTTCATCAAGGATATCTAAGATTATTTATATAGGATTCATGTTTGTTTTATAACAATGATTGTACAACTATCGATTTCTTTTTTTTTGTCGAGGGTTAAATGAAACGGAAAAAAAATGTATGCTAGTACATATTTTATTTCATTTCTTTTGGTCAGTTACATAAATGTTCAATAGAAAGCAAGTTTCAAGTGGCATCTTGTATTCTCCTAAGTCATAAGTTACGATTTACGACATATCTTATATTATGGTCACTTACAAAATTGAAAAAAAAGAAAAAGCGTATATATAACTCTTCAAAGGTCAACGTAATTCTCTAATGCATATAAGCGGCATCTAATAATGTTTATTTTATATAGAAAATAATAGATTCTTTGAGAAATCCCCATAGAACGTTTATGAGCCTATAGAGAAAAAGCTTAAGAAAATAAAAGATTCTGACCTATGCAAAAGAAGAAATACAAGGCTTATACACTAACTAAGCACAGTAGTTGTTGTTGTTTGTTTACTGTAGAACTATTCCAGTTATCTTCTTAAGTCTTCGTCGAAGATTATTATCATCAACCTTCGCTCTCTAATCTATCTCTTGCTAACACGCATCTAGAATGTATGCATTAAAAAAAATCAAAACCGTCTGTTGCCATCATCATACATCCGCGCACACCAAAAGGAAGTAGATATCCTCGTTAATCAATCAATACATCAGCGAACCATTTCGGTCAGGATGCATCAAATTGGTGCTCATATCGAGTGAATTAACAAGGTTAAAATAGAAATGAACAAACCTTTGTTGATTGTTAAAATTAAAAGAAAATAAATACAAACAAAGAAAAAACTTCATTTCTACCTCATCCATGACACCGTAAGGTACTATTAGAATCTACTAGTCATTGTTGATTGAAAGAAGAAAGAAAAAAAGAAAATTTGGAATGTGTTTCTTCTTTCTTTTTCTCTCTTTTATATATATATACTTATACACATGCGTGCACAATCATTAGTCTGGCCCCTACACTGTACATTTTATTCTTCTTTCTTGTTCATTCTATTACTATACTATTACTGCTGTTGGCTTCCCTTTCTGTCGCTCTCGTTCTCTCCCTTTTCTCGTCACGTCGTCGTCTTTGTATGCCATACCGTCAAATCGACATATGCACGTAGCAGAGAATAGCAGCTATAGATCGAAAAACACACCGGCACAAGAATAGAAGAAAGTGAATATAAAAAAAAAGGACAAAAGGTCGCCAAAACTGTAAGAAGAAATTGAACAGCATGCATGTGTGCGCATGTATATTTGAGAGAGAGAGAGAGAGAGAGAGAAAAGAAATCTGCTGAGTAAATACATGCCTAACATAAATTCAGTGGTTTTATGTGCAAACGCTTCAAGGTTGCTGCTCCATCATCTCTCATAATTGATTTACAAGCAATACACAAAGCAAGCATATGTATCAGATTTCTAGAGATAAGTCGATGTACCTGTATTTGGTCGGCAAAGCTCATCTACTGCTCCAGGGACGTTTTATGCGTTTACTTCGATTACTTCAATCATCCTGTCATTCGTACTTCTATTTCTATATAGAGTTATAGACACGTACGAGCGTGTGCTGGCTGATGTAGGCTGCAATAGCACATAAATTTCTACTCAAGCAGACATTTCATCATCAATGATGAATAAAAGCATGTAGGTTGTCATCAATACAAGGTTCAACAAGAACCATTAACATGCTTTTATAACCAGGGGAAAGCTTGAGTAAAAATTTTTTTACTTGTTTAACAATATAGGTGTATATGTTATTTTTTCAATACCTACTAGAGAAGAAAGAAGCTCTTACAAATCTCCCGAAGCGAGAAGACATAATACATAATCGAAGGAGATCACAAATCGAGAAAAGCGAGAGCAAATCAACACAAAATATATGCATTGATTATGTCAATAAATAGCAACAACAGAAAAATGAAAATCCTGCCCAAATTTCGATACTTCTATATGTTTGAATAAGTCGTAAAAGAACAACATGACGCTTTTTACCACAAGTAATCGCCATGTTATTGTTGTTCGCAAAAATTCTCTATGCGTTTATTATTTTCGTTACATATACAACTTTAATTACTATCTAGATGTAGTATTCGTTCAAAAATAATACTACATTTTATCAATTTAATCTATACTGACGAGTATATAATGAGTCATGTCTATTCATATACTTTTTATTCGTTTTAATATCAAAAAACAAATTTTTGTCCTCCATACTATTAACGTATCTGTTGACGAAGGAACAAACGTTCTATCCTTGACACTCATATATACCGAGTAGTTTTGTTACCGACGAGTGTGTGCAGATATTTATTAATGTGATACTTGCTTGCTTTTTTTTTATTGTAATTGCACATACATATCGAGACGAAGACGAAAAGCATACAACTAGCTGTATTTATATACGATCAGTTAGCTACTCTCCATTTTTGAATACTAATGCGACTTATATATCGATGCGAAAACGATAATAGTTGAATACTTTATAAACACTAATAAATAATAACAGCAAGGTGAACAAAATAAAAAATGAATAGTGCAACTCTGAATCGATGACAAATGATGATGAAATAAGAGATTGTCAAAGAACTGGTAAAAAATAGTCCATAGACGATGATTGGTGCTTTACTGTAAATGACAAATAAGATGATTTGCTCATGACATCTTCATATGAAATCGATAGTTGCTGGTGCAGGTGCGACGGAAGAAAAAAAATTTGATCCTTTTGTACATTGGAACAAGGTTTTTTCTCATTTTTTTTCATTTTTTCTCAGGCAAACTTTGTACTTCAACAAGGATGATCTGTCTCTATTCAACAAGTTTTAAACCACCCGATGACACATACCTGAATAATAAACGATGCAAATTTTCAGTGTCGAACATTGAAAAAGGAAATACGCATCTCGTAAACGCGAACGATTATTTATACGAAGCCTACTCTCTCGTCAGCGTCGAAGAGATCATGATATATGCATAGGAAAAGGCGGAGAGAGTTGTGTATGTGTAAGACGAAAAAGAACGAACACAAATAAGAGAAAAGAAAAAAAAAGAAAAAGAAAAAGAGAATATATTGTGTTGGGCGACAGCTAGCAGAGTAGAAACACAGCAAAGGCAAGAGAGAAAAAAGAAAAAAGTTCATCATTCTGCACATTCTAATGCATTGGTGTGAAGAACAGAGAAAAAAAGAACGGGACAACGGCGACGTCAAGACATGGGAGTAGGGTGTTGTTGCGATTACCTAATTGTCTCGCTCGGCGTAGAACACATGCATAGAAAGACGACGTAGCTCGTTTTTCTTCTTTTTCTGCTTTCGTCGACATCGACGACAACGGCGATTCATGCTACTGATGGGTGTTGATAAGCAAGCGAAGGAAAAAATCAATATAGTTTCTGTTGTTTTTCCCTCATCATTCGTTCTGATAAAAAAGAAAAAGAAACGAGAAAAAGAAAAAAATAAAGCAATATCGCTACTGCAACTGCAAAATTCTGATACCATAAAATGTGCGCATATTTTTCATGATCATTGTTAATGTGTATTAAATCACTTAACGTATTGTTTGTAAATACTTGAATCTTGCACATAGGCCCTTGTTCTTTTTTTCGTAGCAGATTTTTCTTTTTTCCCATTTCTTAGTCATTCAAATGCAATTATTAAGTAGTGTTAAATGGTGGTTAGCTACTGAATGTACAATACTCAAACATTTTTCTCTCTCAATTCATTCCTGTTCTATTATTGATCTATTTGATGAGCATTAATATTGCATTTTTTTCTATATTATTAGCTATTAGCTCTTTTATATTTTGACCCTGTCATTACTTAGCAATCATTGTAGCAGCTTATGATTATAACAATCACAATAAGAGGAGAAAAAATGTCTGGTTGTTTCTTTTTTCGCTATACAGCGAACTCTGTTTTTTTTTTCGAGATGAACAATTATAGCAACGGTAAACAACGAAACCAATCTAATCAAATTTATTTATTAGTACGAAAATAGCACCTATAATACATAAGTGTGTTTTTAATTTTTAAATTTCGTCGGATTTTTCGCTTGTTGACACTTGAATTACATTAGTGCTGCGCAAATTTTCTCTGTTTTTCTTGTAATGATAACCATAGTACGGATGTAATAAAACAAAGAATGATAAGTGAACATCCTAATACAAATGAGTATGATAATTGAGCTGAACGAGCAGTACATAATTCATCAGTGAGAATTTCTAATGCAAAGCAATGTGATTGTTTACGTTCACTTTTTAATATAGTATACATAATAGCCAGAAGACATATGCTGAACATTGCTAAAGAAAATAGAAAGGATTAACGTATTCATTTTCGCGTTTGATATATGATTTATTGAATTTAATCTATTTTTGAGGTTAAATGAAAGACAAAACTCTCGGAAATAGAAGATTAATTTTTACCGATGGCTAGATTTTTGTTTTGTAGATATTTTTCTCGACTATGAAAATATTATTTGATAGTATCGTTGAAAGAGAGACGATGTGAAAATAAAACACTCGAAATATTCTATTGATTTTACATACAGATGACAAGATAGATAATTCCAATTGTCATTGTTGCTAGCACAACACCATTTAAAATGCCAACAGTAACACCAATGAGTGTACAGGCACACAGGAGAAGTACAATGAGAATAGCACAAGCAGCTGCCACATTATGTAGACCTAAATCATTCGAATAGAATTAGTATGGATCATTGAAAACAGGCCTTGTTGTAGAAGTTTATTTGTTGACTTTTCATTAGACATATATTTTACTTCGTAAGTCTTCCTTGTTTCATATTTCAAAGTTTTATAATTGTCAAAGAAAAAGCTGTCGGAGACTTCATAGCCTTGAAATATTTTGTTACTTTTATATTTGTACAAAAAACAACCGAGTGTGAGTTTTTTTAACGATTACATGCAAACAACGAGAATACTTAGAGCTCATTTTTATTTTAATAAATATAATAATATTGAAGAAGAATAACATGCCAATCGGTTTTACAGTAGCTCTATTCATGAAAATGTTTTTAATACAATTTTTTCATGTGCAATGAGTGTATTTGTGTATAAGTCTGATTATATTGTTCCAGGTGGACAATCTTTCGAATATCAAATCGTATAGAAGATTTATATATATGTCGTATCGAAGTTACAACTTCGTCGTATAAATGTGACGAAGTTATAACTTCGACAATGACCGTCATCCAAGTTACTTTTAATTCATTTATCAATAAATAATTTACTAAATTGAATGTTCCACCGCTGACTGAATGATTAAAAAAGTTTTTTTTTAAATAAATACTACTTATTCAGCAATACTGCTGAATAAGTAGTATTTATTTAAAAACAAGTTTTTGATCATTCAGTCAGCGGTGGTATTCAATTTAGTAAATTATTTATTGGTAAATGAATTAAAAGTAACTTCGTCGACCGGTGTAACTTCGATACGACATACATATATTGTCATTAATAACAGCTTGTTGAAAATGTAATTTCTAAGTATAGTTTTCATAGGATAATTTTGGCTTCAAGCATAATTCAGATATTATATGTTTCGTAGAATATTGAATTATAATATTTTTTAGGTATTGAAAAAATGTAATTTAATCTTTTAAAAAATCCATAATGTTCGGTCTACAGATGATATTCTAAAGACGTTTTTACATAAATGAAACGTCTAAAGGCGCGTTCATATTGAAATTTTCAAAATAGTTTTTTTTTCCGAAAATAATTAGTAAAGCAGATTGGACAAAAAGAGATCGATGTAAATTTTGTTTTTAACCTTCATATTAGTTTAGTATGCAACACCTATGAAACGACTCTCTTCTATGTATCGAATTTCTAAGAAATGAAAAGATGCTACAAGTTGAAGTGATCCAATAGATTGCTAGTGATGCAGCGAAATTCTATTTTCTATATGGCTTCTTGTTATATGAAAGATGTTGTTTATGCTATTTTGAAATCATAGTAATGTTTTACCTGGAGAAGTGTTAGGACATGCAGGATATATAAACTATTCAGATGAGGTGCTTTGAAAGATCTTCACGTTCTGTGATAATTTAAAGTGCCTAGTCGAATTCTTCCCTCGAGTTTTAAAAAATAAAAATTCATATCCTACTCAGGAAGTAAGCCAAATGAAAAGAAATTTGAAAAATAAAATGAACACTAGACTGATTTTTATAATGCAAAAGAACAAGAGTTATAGTAATTAGTTTTTCTAATTTTGTTAAATGAAAATGAATTCACCTGCAACTAATAAAAGATGCTCTAGTTATAAATTGACTTTTAATTATTTCACCTCTAGTACAAAATAAATTTTCTTTTACAAAGTCTGAAACTAATGATGAAGATTTCTTTGTATTCTTTGATTGTGTAAAGACCTAGAAAATTTAAGCAGGCATTTACGTATATGAAGAATAATGTGTTTTTTTTTCCAAGTAACCTGTAATCATATCCCACAGGTATATCTTTTTAAGTTTATCAGAGACTAATCCGCNCTAATCCGCATCCTTTTTTTTTAAAGAATTACTAGTGCCTGAGTGTCTCTATCGAAAGTTAACAAGAAGATTACTTCATGGTTCATAGTTAAATGTCACAGTAACGTGTTTTTTCTATTAAACTTTCAATAAGTAAGTTGACTGAAGGCATTTTAATTCTGGTTGTCAGTTAAAGATGCGTGTGGATTGCTGTGCCGTCTTTACCTTCAATCAAACTTCTAAAACAAACACATGTTGAGTTATTTTTTTCCCTCTACTTCTCAAGTTTAAAAAAAGTCATTTGACTTCTATTATTAGTTCGTCCATTATGCAAATAGGGGGGAGGGGGTGGGGGGTGGGACAAAGTGCATTTATAAAAGTCATATGACTTTATAAATTTATTTAATGAAACAGTTCATACAAAGTATATATCCAATTAGTAGCGTTAAATTTTGCTACTGTGAAAAATGATACTTAGAGATTTTGATTACCATATAAGATGCAAGGCAATTCCTAATTTTAAAGAAACTAGCTACGAAAGCTTAATGAACTGTAAACATTATGTTACAGTTACTTTTTTCTTCGTCTCATTTTTCTATTACTAAAATCTCGCACACCCACACATTCTTCATTCTGTTTAAATGCAAAGTAAAATATTTCATGCGAAACAAGACTAAATATGAATAAATGAACGCATATATTTACGTATTAGCTCTCGTCCAGGATTATTCATTCCATGAATGATGTCGTCATAATGATTATTTGCAACTTTTAGAACACGACATTTCGATATTTTTAAGCGTTGACGAATAGTTTGTGATAAATAATTGCATTGACGAAATATACCCTTGTGTGTTTTATACAATATTGTATTATTATTAACACCCATCGCTAAACTTGATAGTTGTTGATCATTAAATGATAATGCTTGTGTTTGATTTTGATCATCGGTCATATTTATTGCATGAATATAATCATTTGTTGTATCTTCAACAGCTATCCATTTTATATGCGAACGTAATTTTCCTAGATCATATGCAGCTGTTGACCAATGATCAGTGGCAAATGCTAGTATGCCAATAAGATTGGTTAACGCCGTAGCAACAATTGAGAAAACTTGAATCGAGAGTAAAGTCACCATGAAACAAAAAGTAGCATTAGAACTAACAATTTAAATCTCGTATTGCAAAAGCAGGTGTTTTGTAGATAAAATAAAAACAACAGAAACGATGATGAGGACGACGATGTTGACAGCGAAGCAAAGAAACGTTCATTAATATTTTCTATTAGAGAAAACGTAATACGATCTCGAGCGAGTGAGCCAAATAAAGCAAGCAGAGGCGAAGGAAAAGACGGGTAGTATGCGTGCGACCGGTTTCCTGGGGGAAAGATGAAAATGAAGAGAAAAAAAAAGAGCATAATGCATTTGTATGTGTGCATGGAACACCACATAGTTTTGTTTAAAAAAGCGTATATACGATCTATGGTGAAATAAACATGCATGTGCGTGTCTATGCGAGAGGTTTGCATGAACTACTCTTTTTTTTTTGTCATTATCGATTCAACCGAATGAAATGAGAAAACTTCAACGTAAAAAACTACGCAGCTCTATCATGAAGAGAAGATTTTAACATTGGTTTTCGTGTTTCCATTGAAATTTTAAAATGACTAACAAAAAAAAAACAAGCATAATTTCAACCAGATCATCTTTGATTAAAATCCAATAGTTTATTCTTTGCAATGCATTAGTATATGTGTGTAGGAGGAAAACAAATAATGGAAGGTTATTTCTTTTTTTTGTTATAATTCTTTCAACTAATTCTGCTTTTATATACAAAGATAGTTTTTTCTTTCTCTCGGAACTTGTGAATTGCTGAACTCGCTCAGTTCATGTGCAAGAAGATTTATTTCTGATTTAAATTTAACCTAGCTTATTCAATATTTCTCATAGTGAGTATATTTTTGCCTATGAAGACGCTACAAACAAAAAAGAACTTCATAGAAAATTCATAGATCTTTATAATATCTATCTGACTCTAAGGTACATAAAATTCTTTTCTGTTTTTTTTCCTGTAAACGGACTGTTATTGAAGATAGTTTATATTGAAACATGAACAAAACATCAGGACAATGTCAATTTGCCTTTTTACCACATCATCAAACAATCAAACGTAGCTGATCTCAAGAGAAATAATAAATTTCATTTTTTTCTTCTATTTTTTATGATGGATTTTTATATACTAGTCATGGTTGTATTGACTTCGTCTATTATGCACTAGATAAATTTTAGCACGATAAAAAAAAACTACTACTATTTTCTTACAGCATAATTTAAGCCTTTAAGAAAAACTATACTTCTTTCGAGACGATTGTTCTCGACAATGTTGACAAGAATTTTACGTCAAACAACTTTACACATATATAATGAGTTTATAGAATGTCAGCGAAAAAAAAGAAATATTTCCTACAAGACGTAATAAGCAATTTCAGTCAAGATACATTCCTATGTCGTTATTTATTTAGTATGCCGTCTATATAACACGTACAGTAAACTTGACATGATTTTTAAATGCCGAAAATAATACTATGCAAAATGCATTGCCAATATTCTCTTTTGTTACATATCCTAGATTGATTGATTGATTGAGACGAAGAAGTTTCTCTACTAGAATCAATGTAGAACCTTTACTATTAATGATGTACTCAGTTATTTTCAATGTCAAATCTTTTTGGATTGAAATGCGTTGTCTTGTTAAATGTCCACAACAGTTGTACTCATTTTCAATTACTGCCTACATTTCTGTTTATTTAGATTTCATAAAATCTTAAAATACTGAATTTTACAATGAGTCAAATTCATGATTTCAAGAGAAAATATGATCAGCTCTATAATTTTTTTAATACTCAGATAAACCAACTAGTGCATAAAAAAACAAATTTGCACTTGAAGTAGAATATCTGACGAAAATCTGTAGAGACGAATAAAGGGTATATATTGTTTGCGGATTTAGATGCATTTATTCCAACCCATTTGCAAAAATTCAATGGAAAGATTAAAGATTGAAATAGATTCAATCTTACTAGTCATTATTTAAGACCCATTACGAAAGAATATTTTCTTTGACCTCGATAGAATTGAATGGTAGTTTCAGATAGGAAAATCAAGATCGAATAGAACTAAAATGAATATTTAACAAGTCAATGATTTCTAACACACACACACACACAACATGCTATCTTTGAAACCAGTGATTGAAAAGTAATGTGTTCGTAGTTACTATCCGTTTGGTGATTGGTTTTTTTGTTTCTTCTTATCTTCAATCAATGTGCAATGAAAAGAACGATTGAAAAACCGATTGCCCCGAGAAAATTTTTTAAATTTTACAAACTTAATATATTATATATATATATATTGATTCAAGTAATAAGGTGAATGTTGATTCTGTAAATTTCTCTGCAATTTCCTCACGTTAAGTGCAGCCCACATAGCTACTTCCGTTGAAACGACATTGAGAACAACTTGAAGTATTTTACACGAGATGTAAGTAAACACTTATAAAATAGTCATGTCTCTCTCATGTGTCTACTTTTTTGTTTCTTCACTTATGTCTATTGTGTCACATAACTTCATACTATCAGCTGATGATATTTCACGTCAATTGTGACTGTTTAATAGGCTAGGTACGAATTGCGACCGAAAATTAAGCCAATTAAGAAAAAAGTGGTCGCAATTAGGAATGAATAATTTTACGTTGATTTCATTTTTTATGCGATTCCGAATTGCGACCACTTTTGATTGATTAGTTATCGATGCATACGATGATGAGTTGTACTGTCATAATAATGTTCATATATAAGCATAAAAAAAAAGATTGCTAGTGAATATCATACAATGGATACGAGATTTGTTTGGTCAACAACCGAAAGAGGTGAAAAAGCCATTCTATACAATAATTATTTATATAATTTAAAGAGAGAAAATAAGAACAGTTCATCACTCTATGTCTGCACTTTTAATTCGTGTTCTCGATCTATTACATTGAAAAATAATGTATAAAAGATACTAAAGATAGTAGTGATGGAAAAGAATTTTTTTTCTGTAGTCGTTTTTTCAATAATTTTTTTTCAATTAATAAAGCGTTGACTGATTGACAATTTAAAAAGTGGTCGCAATTTGGAATCGCATAGAAAATGAAATCAACGTAAAATTATTCATTCCGAATTGCGACCACTTTTTTCTTAATTGGCTTATTTTTCGGTCGCAATTAGGAAGCTACGGTTTAATATAAATGTAACCAAAAAATAGTAATTATCGAAGTCTGATAATTAAAAATGAACCTAACACTAAGCAATAGCTTACTAGCGGTATATTGAACATACAAGATTTAACAAACAGGAGAGTCAGCAAAGTGGAAGATTCTTTTCTTGCCAGAAAATTTCTTTCATTATCTAAAGCCTTTTTCTCTTTGAGCAAAAAATATTTTTTATGCTATGCGCTCGAGTTCCTTTTTCATTGACATTTATGTTAAAAAAGAACCAAGTACATGACTAAAGCTACTTTTCATCGTTGTAATAATCTATATATATTTTTAAATGCCTACCTATTAATTACGATTGAATTATTAAAAAAAGGCGACAACCCTTGAAAAGGACGTGCTCACAAACAAAAGTCTACAATTGAATATAGATATAAAAAGACTGAATGACTTTAAAATAATTGACAGACAACAAAAAACATGTGAGCACATATTATGATGTGATGACAACAAATACAACGAATTATCTCGGACACAATGAAAATAAATAAATTGCAACATAAAGATATAATCTGAACATCTGATCGAAAAACACGCTTGAACACTACATAGTCGTTGTAACTCAATAGCTAATTGTATAATTGTCAACTAATAAAAGGTGTTTATACTGTTGTCATCCTCCATGAATACTAAAATAAAGCTATAATTATTAAAAGAAGAAGATTCTGTCGAGATAAATTGTTCACTAAAATGATTATTATACTCGAGTAGATAATATATCTCGATTAGAGATAAAGATTACTAATAGTATCTTTCGTTTGAAGTGACAATGGATATGATACATACGCGATAGAATCATGAATTATATTGTTTTTATCTATGAAATAAATTTAATGAAGTCTCGATGATATGTGATTGAAATGAGAAGGTCATTGGTGTTATCGTTGACAAAGTACACATCTGCTATCTTTACTGACACATGCTAATCGTCTAGTTTTGATTGAATAAATTGACATGAAATGTCCGCAGACAGTAAGAACATTTCGTTTGCACTGTTAATTGATATCAGAAGTTCTCATGGAAAACATGATCAATTATCATTGAAATAATAAAACTATGTGTTGTTGGATGAAATTGAGTCCAGATGCCTCTGAGGATAAACAAGTTATCGAGGAGTATCAAGGATCAATTACTTGAGATTGATTTTTGTTTATTAATGAAAAGAATATCATTATTTATTTTTTTTTGCCAAGAATTTGCCCCTCTAAAATGCATCAAATGGCAACAGTTTTTAGACAATAAATTTCATAAATGAGCTATTATCTCAGAATAAAAAGATATATGATGCTGTGTTTTTTTTTGTATCAATAGAAAAATATCGGTATGTTATTGAAATATTTAGCATAAGGAAGTAAGAAATGTAATTTGATCATGTATCCTTGGAACCGATTGGTTGCCTTATTTTCTTATGGACCTGGATCAGCTAGTTGAAAGTCTCGTTAATTGACTGACGAAAAATCGGTCCATTTAATATATCCATCAACACAAGTAATATTTCTCTTTCGAGAAAATAATCTGTTCCCACAGTTCTACGAAGACATGCAATATAAAACGAACTATTATTTTAATCTGTCAAACTCTAAATACTAAGATCGAAAGAAGAACTCTTTCAAACTATTTCATCACCATATTGATGATTGATTAGATGCAACTTTCTTCAGTAATGATATGAGTTGCTCACGCAAATTGACAAGCGAATACTGTTCAACTTTTATGAGTCTATTAACGCCGATAGAAAGATAAACACGGCACTTCAATGTATGATTTCATGTAGTTACATTTTGTCATGTCATGTCAAGATATTATAATGATTCTGCGGTTCTAGTGATTCGCATAGCTTTCTCAATCAACTAAAGTGGCAATCAAGATAAAGCATGCCTGTCCGATTTGCAGGCAGTTAAACTCGAATTGATTTTGAGCGTTTGTAAGTAAAATTATTTTAACTCGAGATATATTTCAACATCGCAATAGATCTCATTAATGTTGTCACACATAATTCATAATATGAAGTGATCGTGCTAAATCTAATGGTGACATCATTTCGAATGCCAATGATTGATGAATCAAAATATTTCAGCAAAAGAAATTGATTTAATCATATTCTATCAAAAACAATTCTCGGAAAGATATTTGTGAAAGATCCAAGTTTGAAAGTTTATATATGAGAGAAGTATTAGAGAAATTTTAGCATTTAAGAAATGTGTAACACCACTAGGGAAATCTTTCGATATCGGTCTAGAAATATTTTTTCTTGTCTAAGTCACTATATTTGACAAAAAAAAGAAAGCTATTCATTTTGATTTTAACATTCTTCAAAGAATCAAAATTTTCCATTTCTGTTTTAAAATCGGACTCCAATTCACCGCCGTCATCCAGCAACATCTGTCGACGATGGAGGTTATATCTCCGACATATTGTTGATTTTATCGTAAATTGTTTGGCTAGCTGACTCATTGTTAAAATTTCATTTTATCATGTTTTTTGTTAGACTTCATAATCTATTCGAAACCTTTTCTAGTCTATGAACTTTCTGCCAATCAAAAGAGTCTTCTTAATCCAAGGAAAAAAGTTTCTCTTTGAATACCTTTTGCTAAGATGAAGGTCATTTGTTGCTTGTGCCATTTGCTATTGGAATTTTCCACATTATTGTTTCTTTGATCAGAAAATGTAGTACTAATTGAATAATGCCGAATTCTTATATTTCAACAAGAATCGATTGGTTGACAATAGTCTACGTTGACTCATCTAAAGAAATGCTCGAGATATTAATCATAAACATTTTCGAACCTATGCTGGATAGAATAAATAAATAAATGCTAGTTAAGTCTAATTGATGAATAAAACAACAAAATAGCTATGCTTTTAGAAAAAAAGTGTGTAATATTGTTTTTTTTGTGTTTTAGAATTTACTAGATTAATATTGCACAAAAGTTGAACAAAATGCAATTATCAATTACTTCAGCTGGTATGAAAATTGTAGCCATTTTCTTTTGTGTTTCTCATAAATGTAAGACATGTCATCTTATTTTCTTTCAGGTGGTATTTTATCATTACTCGATGAAAATACCGAAAAAGGTCCTGTCTATGCTCTTCATCGATTGAATGCAATTGTTGATGTTTTTTGGCCAGAAATTAGTGATTCAATTTCTAAAGTGTACATATTTAAATAGAAAACGTTTTTTGCTTTTTTAATTTTGATTTATTATTTCTAAACTCTTTAGTGAATCACTTTACGAAGATGAAAATTTCAAACATCGAGAATTAGCTGCACTTGTTTCATCAAAAGTTTATTATCATTTGGGTTCACTCGATAATGCACTTACATATGCTCTTGGAGCTGGACGTTTATTTGATGTCAATGATAAAACTGAATATGTTGAAACAATTATTGGTTTGTTTTCTTTCGAATTTATTTTATACGAATAATCGTTCTTGTTGTTTTTCGTGTTTTAGCTCATTGCATTGATAAATATACGAAATTACAAGTAGAAAAATTTCAATCAGATGTTTCAGTTCAAGTACAAATCGATCAACGACTTGAAGATATTGTTAATCGAATGTTTCAACGATGTTTCGATGATAAAAAATATAAACAAGTTAGGATATAATTTATATCCATATGTATATTTGAAATTTTTCTATTTGCTAGGCTATTGGTATCGCACTTGAAACACGTCGAATCGATATATTTGAAAAAGCTGTTAAAGAAGCTGTAGGATTAATTTCTTGATTTTTATTGATATCTATGAAGTGAGAAAAATGTTTTCTTTCTTTTTAGAATCATTCACCTGAAATGTTAGCATATGCATTTAAGATAACCATGCAATTATTACAAAATCGAAAATTTCGTACAGTTGTTTTACGTACACTTGTTCGTCTTTATCTTAATCTACAAGTACCTGATTTCATTAGTGTTTGTCAGGTAGAAAAAGACTTTCTTATGCGGGTAGTTATCATCGTTTACAATATTTCGTTTTTATTTCATTAGTGTTTAATCTTTCTTGATGACCCTGATCAAGTAGCTGATATTTTACAAACACTTGTTCGTGGTACAACTGATCAAATGCTTATGGCCTATCAAATTGGCTTTGATTTATATGAAAGTGCTACACAACAATTTCTAAATAAAATTCAAGATGCTCTACGTGTGCAAGCACCTATCCCAATTATGTTTGATAGAACACAAGGAGCAATTAAAGATGAACCACAAGGGTAAGTTTTATTTTGAGGAAAAAAAACGAACAAATTCTAATAAATTTCTTTGTTTTTTAATATAAATAAATAGAACTGCTGGCAGTGAATCAATGGAAACAAATCAGGATGAAGCTAGTACACAATCAGTAGAAGAATCAACACCTAAAGATAAACAATCTTTACAACAAGAACATAAAGATAAAGTCAGCAATTTAGTATGTGCATATATATATATATATATATATTTTTGTTTTTGTTTTCGTTTGATATTATCTATTTCTATTTTCTATTCTTTAATTAAGTCTCAAGAAGAAAAACAATTACAAGAACGGATTGAAAAATCATTAAGCATCCTTAGTGGTGAAATAACTATTGGTGTACATATGCAATTTCTTATTAAAAATAATCATGCTGATTTATTAATTCTTAAACAAATTAAAGTAAGACAATCGTGAATAGCTCATTTAGTTATTATATTTAATTGTTTCCATATAGGATGCTGTACGAAATTCAGTATGTCATACAGCTACTGTTATTGCCAATGGTTACATGTTATCTGGTACAACAAGTGATCAATTTTTTAGGTAGATTTCTATATAATTGTTCAAATTCTAATATAAATGATTAATATATGTAGAGATAATCTTGAATGGCTTGCCCGTGCTACCAATTGGGCTAAATTTACAGCAGCTGCAAGTCTTGGCGTTATTCACAAGGGTCATATTAAAGAAGCACTTAATTTAATGAGTGCCTATTTACCAAAGGATTCAACAGGTAATTCACCATATGCTGAAGGTGGTGGTTTATACGCACTTGGTCTTATTCATGCAAATCATGGAGGTGATATTATTGATTATCTTATCAATCAATTACGTTCAAATTCAACACAAACGGATGTATGTGTTGAATAGTTTTTATTTATATAATAACATAATAGATATTCAATTTTGTCTCGTTTTCTTTTCGCTAGACGGTTCGTCATGGTGCTTGCCTTGGCTTAGGCTTAGCTGCTATGGGCACAGCACGCAGCGATGTATATGAATTATTAAAAACAAATCTATTACTTGAAGATGCTGTAGCTGGTGAAGCAGCTGGTTTAGCTATGGGTCTTGTTATGCTTGGTACTGGTTCAGCACAAGCTATTGAAGATATGGTTCAAGTATGTGAAAATATAATACGAAATGAATAGAACAATTATCGATTCTTATTTTAGTATGCTCAAGAGACACAACACGAGAAAATTTTACATGGTTTAGCTATTGGTATTGCACTTGTGCAGTATGGCCGTTTAGAAGAAGCTGATGCACTAATCGAGCAACTTCAATGTGATAAAGATCCAATTTTACGTCGTTCAGCTATGTATACTGTTGCTATGGCTTATTGTGGCACAGGTAACAATGCAGCCGTACGCAAACTTCTCCATGTCGCTGTAAGTTTTCAAAGAAAACAAAATGCTTTTTGAGAAGAAAACGAAAAAATTGTTTTGTTTTTATATAGGTAAGCGATGTAAATGATGATGTTCGACGATCAGCCGTTGAATCACTTGGCTTTCTTATGTTCCGGTAAGTAATAGAGTTTCGATTCTTTTTCAGTATAACTATGAATACTAATTGACTATACAGTACACAGTAAGATCAATGAAATTCTACTTCATAATTGATAGACTCGTTAAAAACAACAAACAAACTAAGGATAAATCTGCTGATTTTACGACGATATTCTACGAATATCATGTCAATGTGATGATAAAAATTTTCTTGAAATACTTTGTTTCGTGTCAGGAACGGAAAAAAAGTATTTTACATTTAGAATAGAGATCTCTAAGCGTTTATTTTTCTTTTTAAGAATCTTGAATAGTTTATTTATATCTAGTATTTTTTTTTATGACATACGATTATGTACATCATTTTATTAGTATTCTTCCATGGCGAGAAAAAGATGTATCTATTTTACTATGTGATAGTTTATACATTTTCTTGATTCGGACATCATCAAAACATCTGCTTTTTGTCCACAGTAGCTAAGTACATCTTGTCAATATCGTTCTATGTGACAATGCAACAAAAGCTATGTTCTGCATCAATGTCAAAGTCTCTCTTCCGATTATTTATATCTTATTGAAAAAAGGCTCGTACACGAAAAAATACATGAGGCTCAATGGGAAGTATTTTTCATAAAAATGCTCCCTTTTCTAACGCAAACGGAAACAGTTTTAAAAACTGATTCCGAGTATGTTGTTTATTCTATTTTGTCATTCAACTAGAATGATATTCAGTACTAAGTAGTATTATGGCAATTTGTGGAGTGTTAATGTTTCATAATGCTTGAATCCAAAGAGCATAAATAATCGCAAACAAAAACAAATATCAAAATGTGAATGAAAATAATTATTTACTCATATAAGTACCTATCAGTGAAAGGCAACAAAACAAGATACTTTGCCTTATTAATTGTTACAAGAAAAGAATACCAAATAAGCTCTAATTTAGAAATATATACATTCTAATCTTTTATTAATAGTTGTTAAAAGCACGATTTGATTAACTTTGCATTTAATTGAATATTTTCAAAAGAAAATATGTCTTGCAATTCCTATTTTTCTAGTCATGAAAATTCTTCGCTCTACTAAATAGGCGTCAAATAGAAATGAGACTTACTGAATTAGAATCACCTCGTTCAACTCTATTAAACCACAATACAATGAAGGAAAGACATCTATTGGAATCTTGTTTCCATTAATGAAATGTTTCTGTTTCTGTTCGATTACGATTTCAATACTTATTTAACATTGTAAATAATAATAATACTAATGAATTCTTGTAAATAGTCCCTAATGAACATCTTTCAAACATAGGAATAAGCATCGTCTCAAGAGAATTCATCATTGCTAAAACTCGCCTCTAAACAATTGTTATTTCTGTTTTTTTCTATAAATCAAAATAGAAATGTCCATGATAATTAAATAGATATAATAATATATTTGTTTGATAATTTTTATTTCGTTTTACAATTAGTCTAAATTTGTCTTTTTTTTTTTTGGCAAATAACATAGAAGAAAACGAGATAAGAAAAAAGAGAAACATTCTCATGAGATTTTTGAAGTACATGCATGCATGTCGCATACAAAATTAGTAAGAAAAATAGATGTCTAATGCATAAAAATGTGTTTGTATCAGAAACATGCTTTCAGGCAATACAAATGAAATATAACATCTACACATTAACGTTGTATTATTGATTTGCTGTTTGCATAGTTGACTACTAGTCTACTTGTTGTAACATGGTTATTTGTGCTTTATCACACACATATAACTCGTTTAATTATAATGAAATTTACAGAACATTATAGAATGAGGAAATCAGAGAATATATACCTATGTGCTTTCAAGTAGAATAAGTGACCAGCTTGGTATGTTTACTAATATTAACATCAGAAATACAATACTTCGGTATCTATCGACAAGCAAAAGCTATTAGTATTGTCTTGCCGTCATGATTGTTTGAAGAGCAAATAATATAAAGGCCACTAAGGATGCACAATATACGAGACAACTGTTGATGTTTTCTTTGTATTTGGTCTTGTCATTTAAACGAAAAACAAGCATATACAAAGTAGCATACAACTTGTATGAGAATTTGTCATTGATATTAATTAATATTATGTCGGTTTCTATCAGAGACCTAGGGTTAAATTGAATCTGGAAATCGTACATTGATAAAAATGAGACCTGCTTCAGTTTTCTCTGGAGATACACCCGTCTATTGAGGTCAATTAAGTCAAACGCATATATTTCATGAAAAAAAGAAGGAGAAAACTCATGTTTATAATGAATATTTTACTAGAACCGTGTTTAAGTCAATGAATAATTGCTAAGATTTATGAATTTTTATTTAGAAGAGATCTCTTTTTTTTCCTCCGTAGTCTTCTCGCAATCTACTTTACTGAGAGATCATGGCTTGTATCTTATCTACTATGTTTATTTTATTCATGTCAAAAAGACTAAGTATGTAAAATCATTAGATAAGATTAATCTCAGTTGACACCTACATTCATTTGTTTGTTTGTGTTTAAATTGTGTTATAGTTAAGAAGAATTAACTTTAGCATTTTAATTATTTTTTCATCTAATCATGTTTGTTATTCTATATCGTTGATAAAAGTAAAACAGAAAGAAGAAGGAAGAAAAATGAAAGGAAACAACACAAAGGCTATCCAAATATTCTTATTTCATTTCGTTTCGTTTTTGTTTTGTTGTCTTGAACAATATACAGTTCTTAAAACTGGAAATGCTTATTATATTTTTATGATTGGTCAGAAGGTATCTTATTCAGTAATTTTAATTCTTGTTGTTCGTAATATGTATTTAAATGGCGATGTTCATTTTTATGTACGCCGTTTCTTCCTTGAGGACGAGATCGATGTGAAGACATATGACTTTGATGAGAAGACAGATATCGATGTCGTGAACTCGAATATACACAGTGACATTTCAGTAAAGCAATAAATTTCAAACGAAAATTACGATTAAAAATTGTATAAACAAGTGGATTAATTGTTGATGAAACATAACCAAGCCAAACGAAACCATTTAAGATATTTGGATTGACTGAACATCGTTGACAAACTCCTTGTAAAAGATTCAAAATACAAAATGGGAACCATGCAATAACAAATATAACAAAAACAACGCCAAGGACTTTAACTGCTTTTTGTTCATTTCGTACAGCTGAAGATTTTGCCCGTGAAACGCCAACATTTGGTGTTATTGTTAGGCGATGCCAAGTTCTTCTTGTCGTTTTACGTGATGTTAAAAATTGTTTTGGTTGTGTCGAAGCAGTCAATGATATTGGATAAGAATTAGAAGAATCACGTCGACGCGAAGATGGAGAAGAACTGTTCGTTCTACAGCAACGAAAATATTTTAAATAGTTACCATAAGATTCAGGCTCAGAAACAGTTTCTAAAGGTGGTTGTTTTTCTTGTTGCTGTTGCTGTTGATGATGACATGTACATTTTAATTGACAAAATGGATTTTTCGGACAATTATATTCAATATGTGGTGAAGTTTTTATTGATGATTGTTGTGTTAGATTTTGACCTATCACCCCTTTTTCTTCTATTTGAGACACTTGATCGGTTCGATCTTGTTGTTGTTGAAGAAGAGTTGGTTGCTTTTGCTGTTGTAAACTTGTACTATCTGCACTTTCTTCGCTTAGTTCTAAACTCATTTGATTAGCTCGTAAATGCATACGTCGTGATGCAAGAGCGGCTATGGGTGTCCATTGTGCAGCATTAACCTGAGCAGCAGCTGCAGCATCTCGTGTTGGTATATGTCGTCGAAGAAATGGTTTAGCAACTAAGCTAGCTGCACGAGCTAATTGTTCTTGAGCAAGTTGTGTTTGACACTGTCTTATTTGTTCTTTTAAACGGCGTACCGTTAGTGTATACATAATAATAACTATAATCAATGGGATGACAAATGAAACAACACTACCGTAGATAACAAAAAATTGATTATTTATTAAACATTGTCCATCAATAAAAATATTATACGGATTGATTGCACCCAACACTATCATCGGGGATGATAATAGAATAGCAATTAACCAAACAAGTATAATCAATATATGAATTTTACATTTTTGCTGCCGAGTACGAGTATTTAATGGATCATTTATTGCTAAATAACGATCAATTGAAATAACCACAATATGCATAATTGATGATGTACATGAGCAAACGTCCAAAAATATCCATAAGTCACATAGAACTGGACCTAATATCCAAAAACCTTTGAAGAGAAAGAAAAACAAATCTTGTTTCGTCTTTATTTTGATTCTAATTCAGTTCTTTGCTATTTTTACCCGTAAATTCTTTTACAACAGCTAATGGAATGACAAGACCTGACACGAGCATGTCAGCAAATGCTAACGAAAAAAGAAACCAATTTGTACGATTCTGTAAACGTCGTTCAGTTGCTATTGCTAGACAAACAAGTAAATTACCAATAACACCAATAATGGAAAAAAATGAGAGAATAAGCGCTGGCCAATGGTAAGAAATTACAAGTATCGAATTTGAATACTGTTGAGTTGCCGAAAATATGAGGCCACTATTATCAATGAGAATAAGAGCAGTTGTGTCCTCGTCAGCGGCGACGGCGTCGGACGAGACATTTCCGTGCATCGAAAGTCATTCGTGTTTAAAAACCTTCGTATGCCTTGCCACTCGATTGCGTAGCAGTGGAAAGAATAGAATGTAGCAAATATCTGAAAGCAGAATGACAGAGAAAGAGCGAGTGAGAGAGAGACAGAGAGAAAAAGACAGGAGATACAGAAAAATATCCTGTTATTATTGCTACTATCGCCTTTCTGTCTCTCTCTCTCTCTCTGTGTATGGAAAACCGGAAAGAGAGAGAGAGAGAGAGAGGCAGATATTTATCGAAAAAAAAACTATGTTAGTCGTATTAAGAAAAGACATTATTTTGATTAATCATCTATTCTTATAGAATTGCACAGATAAAGCTCTTTATTTAAGTACTCCATTATTTATTCTCAGCTTTTTTCCAATTACTACTACCTCAATGCGTATAGATATATTTACCCACGACACACAATGATTTTGATAACCATCGTCCGACTCAATTAATGGAATCAACCAATATAGATGACTGCCATTTTATGTGGGTGTTCCTGTCAACGGCAAAGGCTGACAAGGCACAAGCGAGAATAGAATCTTCGGGAAAAAAAAACAAGTCGCTGATCATTGGAAGGAAGCAGTAGTTATAACAGTAGTTAGGTCGAATAGTTGCCCCACTCCCCCCCTTGTTGCTCCCTTTAAATTACTTGTGTTCTCTTAAAGAAATTGAGACGTAACAACAAGATAATATTTATATATGTGCGTGCACACATTCGTTGCTATAACTTTCACTTGTTCTCGGACTAATGGAGCATCTAATAGGCAAACGAGAAAAAGAAAATGAAAACGAGAGGAAAAGAGCAACACGCAAAAGATCGATTGATCGATTATTTCTAATTGACAAAAAACGAAAAGGAATGCAACTACATATTCTTTACATACAGTACCGTCTCCATTTTTTTTCCTATTAACATCAGTATGATATATATAATTATAAATACATATAGATTTCAATCTTTCCAAGAGAAAAACAATATGTTTGTCGATTGGAAAAGAAAAAAGCACCTTGTAGATATACAAGATGTTTTTTATTTTAACACATTTTAATTTTCGCTATAGTCATATTGTCTCCTTCTTACACAAAAAAATGCTATATGATTGGACAAACCTAGTCATGCATAATCCCCCCTCCCGTCCCTCATCGCTCTTTCTCTCTCTCTCTCTCTCTCTGATAGCTTATAACAATATGATTTTAATCACTAGGAGCAAGCGTTTTCGTCTGTCGAACATGTCATCTTTTTTGAATGACAGAAAACTATTGTTCTTTTCTTAACACTGATGTATTCTTTTAGTACTGTTTATCGTCTGGTACAAAAAATTTAGTTGTTGTTCTTATCTTTTTCTCACTGGTAGCAATTTACTTATTAATATGATGTGTTAGTAGTTTGAGAAAAGAAAAGAAAGAATAGAGTTGTACTGGTCTTTGTCGATTCATCAGTCTATTAGTATGCAGCTGTGACCCGCATATAATAATGCTACTATGTGACAGCAGTAGCAGTAGTAGTAGTAGTAATAATAATAATGGTGTTAAACACTTAATTATTTTTTAGAACCCCTGAACAATTTCCTTCAGTGGTCACTTTACTAGCTGAATCATATAATCCACATGTACGATGTGGAGCAGCAATGGCACTTGGTTTAGCTTGCGCTGGTACAGGCAACAGGGTAGATATAGTGTTTTTTTTTATTATTATTTTGCTTTCTCCAATCGATTTTAACATTATTATCGTAGGAAGCTATTGCTGTACTCGAGCCAATGTTAAATGATGCTGTGAACTATGTTAGACAAGGTGTCTTAATTGCTTCAGCACTTATTTGTATTCAACATACTGAAGCAACTTGCCCTAAAGTATGTATAAATTTCCTAAAGTAGTTTTTAAATTAATCTGAATTATTCTAGGTGAAAATGTTTCGTGAACATTATATGAAAGTAATTAGTGATAAACATGATGATATTATGGCAAAATTTGGTGCCATTTTAGCGCATGGAATTCTCGATGCTGGTTTGTATACTTTTCATCGAATTATTCTATTGCAAAACATCTTTTTTTATTCTAGGCGGTCGCAATGTAACTGTATCATTATTAACACGTAGTGGTCAAAATGATACAATGTCCGTTGTTGGATTACTTGTTTTTACTCAATTTTGGTATTGGTTTCCATTCAGTCTTTTTCTTTCATTGGCATTTTCACCAACATGTTTAGTAACACTTAATCAAGATCTTAAGGTAAAGTAGATTCATTGATTTGATTTCCGTGAAGAGAATATGTTTTCTTTCTTTCTTTCAACAACTTAAGATGCCAAATGTGGATTACATATCAAATGCACCACCATCTGTCTTTGCATATCCACCAGCTCTTGTGGATAAAAAAGAAGAAAAGAAAGAAAAAGTTGAAACCGTTGTACTTTCAATAACAGCTAAACAAAAAAAACGTGATCTTGAGAAAAAAGGTGAAAAAACCGACGAAGCTGTAGCAATGGAAACTGTAAGTTAATGATTTTCGTCTTTTATTTCATATGATTATTTTGAGAGGAAAAAAATAATTGTTATTTTCAGGATTCAGACGAGAAGAAAGTTACAACTGCTACTACAACAGATGAAGATAACAAGTCCAAGAAAGATGTTGATGATAAGGACAAGATGGCATCCGTAGAAAAAAAAGATGATCCAACAGCTTTATCCAATAAAAAAGAAAAGGAACCCGATTCCGAAATACTTCACAATCCAACACGAGTAGTGAAAGCTCAAGTATGTCTTACTTTTCTTTTTAAATATGTATATACATATATGTAATTAACTCTGATCGGTTACTTTCTTTTAGCAACGCGTACTTTCATTACCAAAAGGATCACGTTATCAACCAATTAAAGATATAACACATGCTGGAATTCTTCTTGTTAAAGATACACAAATGAATGAACCAGAAACATTAGTTGAATTAGCTAAAGGTAAACCAAAATCAACTTCATCTATTTTCTCTACGTTATTTATTTTTTTTAGCTGGCGGACCAACGAAGGAAGAAGACTTACCGGAACCACCTCCACCTGAACCATTCGAATATCGAGACGAATAAGATTCTTTTTCTTTTTTACTAACTACGTCATCATCATCATTAACTAGAAAATCAAGCTAATATGTGTATTGTTGAACCTCCTTTCTTTTATTCTTTATCAATATAATAAAAGGTTTTCTTTTTGGCTCACTCTACTATCCTTCTAGCTCCTTCTCGTAACCGTTTTTCTTCGATTTCTTTCTTTTTATTATCATTATGGCTGCTCAGCAATAAATAAAACAAGGATGAAAATGAGATTTTATCTTCTCAGTCTTATAAATCGATAAGAGCTCCATCTTGGAAATAATAAGTCATGTGCAAATAAATAAACAAAGGAAGAAAAAGAAAGCAAGAAAAAACACCAATGCTTTTACAGGTGGTATTTTTCCAATGTAGTTGGCAATTTTAACGAAAACAAGCCAGTTGTTATTATCTCGTCTATCGTATTTCAGATCGATTTCTTCGGTATCTTTGACAGATCATCAAACTCTATGGCAACATCAGCTATCGATTTGGAAGACTTCACTTGTACTATTTGTAAGTTCGCTAATAGTAAAAAGCAACTCTGACGAAATTTTTTATACGTGCAGAACACTAACAAATCAATTACTTTCACTTTTCTGTTAGTTTTTTCTTATCAAGAAGTTTGTTTTGGCCTATTTCTATTCCAAGACAGTTTATTTTCAAGATATATTAGCTGTTGCATATTAGAATCATATCGATTTCGTATGACAACAATATATAAATCTATTTTGACACGAAATCTGTAGAATATCAATAAATAGTTGCTGTCTATCATGAAAGTTTTTTGTCAATTAGCAAAGAGTAATGCGATTACTAATTGTCAAAATCAAATACCATGGACTATGTTTTCTTGTCTGTTTGAAATAAGCCATTTCTTTTATTTTTAATTGCGCAGACTTGAAGAAGAAAAACAACAATAAAAACAAAAAAGATAGAGTTCTATGTGATGTGAGAGCCAAGAAGAGTAACGTCTTTTGGAAAAATGAATTGGTTTTTGAGACTACTCAAATCATTCTTTCGAAAGGAAAATTTTGACAAAAACCAAAAATATAATCAAAATTATTCATTCTAATTGTTTTTTAATACTTTTTCAACTACTTACTTATCAAAGATTGCAAACTAAGGCTGAAAAACTCAATAGTAATCTTTTCACTTTATTTTATTTATTCAATAATTTCATTCATAGGTCGTGAAATATTCGAAAATCCTGTTAGTCTTTCCTGCTCACATTGCTATTGTCGAGAATGTTTGGTTGGTCTTAGAACGCAACCAGCCTCACCTTTACCTTCATCGGACAAGCCATTAATGCAACCTTTACCTTCATCGGACAAGTCATCAATGCAGCCCTTGACTCGATCAACTCAAGGATCAGTTATTTATAGACCGAAATTTTATGAACCCAATCAATCTTTTGCATGTGCTATCTGTCGAACAGAAACATTCGGATACACAGATTGTCGGGATATACAGGCTGATTTGGAAACTCTCGAAGGATTATGTCCTAATTGCAGAAAAAATATTATGCTATGCGATTTACGAAAACATTTGGAACAATGTCCACCACAGCCAAAAGTCGGCGTTAATGATATTTTAAAAACTTTTAACATAGATTTTTTCAGCAAACTATCTCAACCACAAGCTGAAGCATGCAAAAAAGCACGATCTGGAGAAAATCGTTCTACATTTCGATGTCCCTATTGTACAAAAGCAAAGTACAGTGCTTATAATTTTGCTATTTTTTGTTGTTCATTACATAATCTTAATTTGATGCTTAGCTTTACTGTGGAACTTCTTTGTGCACATATAGAAGAAATTCATTTAGATGATGATCCTCGTCGAATTTGGTGAGCAATATTACTGTGAATATATCTATGGAAATTTCAAGGCACTAGTTTAAAATAAGAACTGCGTTAAATTGTTCTAGTATCAATTCAAATTTTTTTCCAAAATTTATAATATAGGACTTGTGAGTAGGTGTTTTATAAATGCGAAAATAAGTTTGGACGAAAGAAACTCATTTTCATTCGGAGCAGAGACCTATCGTTTCCTGCATTGCATATTCAATATTACTACGTAGATCTTTGTTCATAGAATTAAAAGTGAAATTTTCTCTTAGAATTTATATAGAAATCAAAAATTCTAGGATAGATCATGTTCATTGTGAAAGAATATTTCTGGAAGAAACTGAAACGAATACTTCAAGTGTAGCGGTATTTTCAAACGAAATATTCTCTACTAATACCGGTCGTAAATTTAACCAAGATGTAATAGTATAATTAAAGATTTTGCTTTTTGATTCGCTCTAGTTGGATTAACCTTTTTCTTAAATGTTTTCAAAATATAAATTACAGACCTTGAAAGACAACCAACTAGTCATTACTAAATCAGAAAAAGCATATTCAAAAGAAAAAAACTTTCTTTTTTATATGATGTTTTCCGGTTTCTGAAGACTCGTTAACAAAACTGTAAAAGTAACGCACAATTTTCTTGACTAAGGTTTCAATCACTCGCTAGTTTTTCTTGAATAAAAAATGTTATGATCATATATATATATATATATATATAGTACAATTTGTGCATCAATGCCTTGGGGTGACAAAACTAGAGTATCACATAATGTTTATAAACATATTTACAATCGTCATCGATTTAACTATGGTAAGATAAGAAAACTAGTTCGCTTGTTTTTTTTTCTATTTGTTTCTATGATCAATATTATTTTAAGAAATATTCGTCAATTATGAACAGGATGAAGAAAGTATGTTTGCTGAAGCTGTTCAACGATCAATGATGTTCTACTAAAGTTAACTCCCGGTGTCGCTTTTTCGTGGAAACTAAATATCATGAAATATTTAACAATACGTAGACATATTTGTTTTGCTTTCTCTTATTTTCTATCGTTTTTCGTCTCAATTTTATGCGATTTCAGAAAAACTCGAACAACTAAGACGATTGAATTTTCCGCGTATCTCACGAAATGGAATTCATATATATTTTTTTTAAATAAATTTTAGATGTATTTCAGAACAAAACAGTATTAATTAACAAAGAGCATTTATTTTATTTTATTTTCGTATGAATGTAAAAAACCAACCGTCAAAACCCAAACTCCGAACATGGGCATCCGTGATCAGTGGATCATTAGCAGCTACTGGTGCTGTTTTTTTCACGAATATGCCTGAGACTATTAAAACTCGAATGCAGCTCGATGGTGAAGCATCAATACGCAATGGTGTAGGTACGAAAAAACAATACAGTAATATTTTTGATGCTTATAAAAAAATCATACGGCAAGAAGGGTTTAAAGCACTTCAGGCAGGTCTTGGCCCCGCTATTGGAATACAAGTCATTATGAATGGATTACGTTTAGGACTTTTTGAACCTATTCAACACACAATAAGAAATCTAACGAATTGTAGAGAACATAGTACTTTAAACAAAGTTTTTTCTGGCGCAATGTCCGGCGTCATAGGTGTAACAATTAGTTCACCATTGTAAATACATTCTGATTTTTTTGTTTCGTTGATATTTCATGTTCATTTTTTGTTTAGGTACCTAGCGAAAAATCGTCTACAAGCTCAGTCAAATTATTTTCACGCTGCCGAAGAACATCATTATAAAAATACGATTGATTGTTTAAAAAAAATCTATCAACGAAGTGGCATTTTTGGTTTATTTTATGGTGTGACAGCTGCTTTACCACGTGTTATTGTTGGCTCGGCAACTCAATTAACAACATATGATAAATTAAAAGAATTCTCTATACAAAGTTTAAATTTACGGGACGGACTTCCAGCTCATCTTTTTGCAAGTTTTATCTCATCTTTATTTACTGTTACTATGATGAATCCATTTGATGTTATATCAACACGTATCTATCAATCAAGTGGTCGACAGACAGTCTATAATGGTGTTATAGATTGTTGTAAGAAAACTGTGCGTACTGAAGGATGGAGGGCATTACAAAATGGATGGCTAGCACTTTATTTAAGATTAGGTCCACATACAATAATAACATTCGTATTTCTTGAAAAAATACGCGCATGGTTTTTAACATTTGATAGATTTAGTACAAATCCTCAGCCTATTCCAATAGATGTTCTGGTCAATAGTGATGCAAGTTGAAAAACAAACCAAAAGAAAACATCTATTCACGCTCAGTCCCATGCTTTTTTTTAATTAATTTTCATATACGTGCACTTATATTTTTTCGATAGGAAGTATGTAACTGATTTTTTTCAACATATCTATATATTTAATAAAAAGCGAAATGTATCGATTATAATAGGTTAACTAAGATTTCTTTCTTTATAAATAAGGCTAAGCTAAAGAAAAATATACTATTTAATAGTTCCTCTACGTTACCGCTTTCCAACATTCAATTATCGTCAGTCTTTATCGTCTAAACAGGCGTCAAGACGAAAATGTATACGGCTAAAAGTATAAATGCATGCTGTGCGATGTTGTCATATAATAGATGAGACAAACCTAATGGTTCTTACACATTGATCGATTATAATTGAGAATGTCAAGCGGTAGTCCATATGTATATAAGACATTAATCTTATCTAGAATTTTCGACTATTTATCTTGCCTTATATGTTTTGAATCCTACCTTAATGTTTCTGTTCGATAAAAACAGCCGGATTCTGGTCAACGGAACTCTTAAAAGTGCGCACATATTCAATGTTAATTGGCTGATCAATATTACGAAAAAGTTGATATTTTTTATGAGATAAATGAAGAAAATAAATTCGACTCGATCGATATTCATCAGTTCTTATTTAATGATGAAATGTATTCGACATTTTGTTCATTTTATTATGTCTATTAAGCATGGGGAGAAAAATTAGACGTTTAAAAATTCTTCTTCTAATCACATGAAACCAATGATTTTTATTGAGAGAAAAAAGTCCTTAGATTATTTCTTGTACAGCAAACATACCATTTCATAGAATCATTATTCGATGGTGATAATAAGCTAACGAAAAATACCAACCATGCGTCGCTGATTTAAATATTCAAACTAGAAAACGAATATTACTGGATGGATACTTCATTCTATGTATAATCAGTACATAAAACTAATAAAATGATCGAGTAATTCTAGATTTCACAGAGCATTTAAATGGACACAATTATTAATAATACACGATAAAAAAAAGTTGATGCGTTCGGAAATTGCCACTACATGTCAACAATGCCAATAAGAGAATAGATTCTATACAATGCGGTAGATTAACATTTTGTCTGAATTTAAAATTTTATTAAAATATTTTCTTTTTTCACTTCAAATAAAAAGGAGATTTACGAATAATATGAATTGTTATGATATTTTGTGTTAGTCTATCATTTTATAACTTCATTTATTTCATTCTCAACATCATTCATGGTTTGTCAAGGCTTAAAGACAAAGTCCAAAATAAAATGAGAAACAATGGGTTCCATACAATCAATATTCCTTTAAAACTTTCTAGCAAAAAAAATGAAAAGAGTGGTTTTAGTGATACAATGACGGATTTTGATCTGTATTCATTTTTGAAGAATTTTATTGGCTATTCAGACTAGTATTTATATTTAGAATTTAATGTTTCACATCGTAGAGAAAAAACATATATTTATCTCATATTTTACTGTGTTTAAATCAATATTCTATGATTGTAGAAATTCCAAGTGCTAATAAACAATAGAATTTTTATTATACTCCTAAGGTGCATCAAAGTCAAAAATCGAACACGAGAAAAATCTCTTATATATTATCGCATGGCTGGATAAACCTCGATGAGTAGATCATTAATCCCATCTTGAAAGTGTATTTAGGCTTAATTTTGTTTGAGAAATTTTCAAAATACAAGCTGCACCTGGAACAGGGTGCGCATGTGAGTCTGTTTCCACCCAACACATAAAATCACACCCACCCTGAATTCGATTATGCCAGTTCCGGAAAATTTGAACATTGTTAAACTAGTTAAATTTCGATTTTTCTCAAAAACTATGAAATATTCATTTTTCCAAGTACAATTTGTATTTTGAAAATTCCTCAGCCAAAATTAAGTCTAGAAGCATTTCCAAGATAATATTCATGAGCTACTCATCGATTTCTATCCAACCCTTTGATAATACATAAGAGATTTTTCTTGTGCTCGATTTTTCACTTTAGTGTACCTTATGAAAGACTACTCAATAAACTTCCGTTACTTTTTGAAAACTAATAATTTATTATAAACTTCCATCCTATTGTAATTAAAAATATCCATGTTTTATATTACTACATTTAAACACTACTTTTGTTAAAATTTTCAAACAAATAATTTTCTTGAAGAAAAAATTTGCTTTTTTATCAAATGTTTAATACATTAACTAATTTGAACAAAAGAAAATCTTTGTTCTTATACGTATATTTATATCATAAAATACAATGAATAAAGATCATGATGAATAAACAATGTAAATTTAACAAAAACAGATTAGTGTAATCATTATATTTCAAACGAATCGTACAAACAAACTGTTTGTCTGCTTGAATTTTTTTTTCTATCACCCATCCTGTACAAATATATGTTATATACGAGAAGAAACAATAGAAAATACAAGATCAAATAGAAGCATTTGAGTCTGTTATACATACAATGACTGAAAGTAAAACAGAAAAAGAAAAGTATAAACATATGATTGGAAAAAAAAAATATATATATATATATATATAGATTTTTTATTTTATTTTTCTATATCCACAATATGATATTGTTGATAGTGATGATAGGGTGGTTGTACAAGATGTTGTTCATTATTTGAAACAATTGGTTGAATCACTAAAGGTTGTTGATCATTGTTAGTATTTAATCGATGTGTTTTAAGCCAAAGATTATTTATTGAATTATTAGTATCATTTTCAGATATATTTTTTAAAGACCAATCATCATGATATTGTTTAAAACGATTATATTGTTCGAGTGTTAATTTTTTATGATTCTAAAAGTGAAAAAGACAAAATTTTCATAATTGAATAAAAATGCAACATGCCTGTTTTGTTGTACGTAATGAATTACGTCTATACAAGAAAAAACCAGCACAATGAAATGGTTTACGTTTAAGTGTTTTTGTATCAATACGACAATAATCATTATTTATTGTTACTATATCAGGTGTTGACGGATCATTTGTTACCAAAAGATTTCTATTATAAAGATAAATATCAAATTAAATTTTAATTAACTATGCCTGTTCGTTTTGTTTTTATCAATCATACCGATGTAGATATCGAGGTTTTTTTCGTAGTTTAGTTCTTAAATGTGCTGCTACTGCTTCATCATGATCACCTTCATTCTTATGTAAATAGGACTCAACATAGCGTGCTCCATTTTCACATATTTTTTCTTCATCTTCATCATCAGATGAATCGATAACAATCAATGAAGTTGTCATTCGCCGATCATTTTTAAACTGAAATAAAAATTTTATTATATCAATTCTTTTTAGTCCTATAATTCACTTACTGAACAAACGCGAAATAAACGATTTCCATTAGCATATGTTTCCATTTCACGCTGGTAAATAGCCTCAGCATTTTGTTGTGCTGTTGAATAGAGATTATCAACACAACCGGCAGTACCATTTGTTTGAGAATATAAACGCATGATAGTATCTGATGATTCATCAGTGACAATAGCATGAAGCTAAAAGAAAAAGAAAATTTCATTTATTTTAATCGACTTTTTCTTAAATATACCTGTCGAACGCAATTTTGAATAATTTTATCCATTGTGAATGCAATATATGCATGAATACCAAACATTTCACGTAATGAATCTTCATATGTTACACTGTCCATATTACCATCAAGCAAATGTCGTACCATATCCAAAAATACTGAATAGTATTCATCAACAGTTATATTGGCTAAACAAAAAAACAACAAACGCACAATTTTTTAGTTTGTTATAGTAGCGCATTGAAAACTCATAGTAGAATATTCTATTGAATTTTCGTTTTCCTATAAAATGAAATACGCATTCAAATTTGCTAGTAACGAAGTCAATCAGCCAGTGATCGTTTTATTTTGTTGTCTGAAAATCATTTTTAATATCAATGATTTAACCTTAAGCATTGTTTGATACACAAAAACAAAAGACGATGTTAATTATTTTATCATTGAGAATTAGTTTTCCTTTTCATAAATTATTTATAGAATCGTTCTTTTGACATGACAATAGCCGAAGTAGACATGATGATACGGTCACAATAGCTTTTTCCACTTAGCCTATCGATTTGTATGAATTTATACTCTCTAGCAGTTTTCATAAGTCAGAAAATCAAACCCACAATGACATCAATCGACTTCAACTAGTATTGCAGATTTATCATGCTCGCGAATGGGATCTATCGAAAGGCATAGGGATGGCGGCAATTTTTCATATAGCTCCTCATATTTCGATAGTTTAATTTGTTCTTATTTCTCCTTGACATTAAAGTGTCAAAATTATCTGTTTCTTGTGCAATTAAACTTGAGGTCAATATTTAAATAGGTTATTTCTACTGGTATGTTCTCTTGAAGTGTACTTTATAACATGTACACATGATTTCTAACGTTTATTATGGAGACAAGCTGGAAAAATGGTGACTGAAAATTTTGTACTTAGTATTTTCTTCATTAATTGAATTGAATTCGAGAAAAAAAAACTTACGACGATTTGATGTACGAAGTATGGAAGCAATAGATAGTGGTCGATTACGTTGAGAACCATCATCTTCTTCAATTAAACGTAATGATTGTTGAAACATTTTTAATAGACGCTCATATAATAATTGATGAAGACGAAAAAAGTAATAATAATTGTCATTGACAAAAAATAAATGAAACATATCATCCTAATTAAAAAAATGAAGAAATAATATAGAAAAACAATAATCAATGGAAATTTTTACAGGCTTTTGATACTCTTGAGCAACTTGTCGTCGTTTAGTTGCTGAAAAATCTGTATTACGTCGTCGATTTGCATCGGTATGACGAGTTGGTCGAGATTTTTTATCACGTTTACCATTATTTTCATTTTCATCATCATCATCGTCTTAAAACGAAAATTTAATTAATCTATATTTTAATATCATCTTTATGTTATCAATAGCACAGTATCTAATTTTAAAATGAAATATAGGATGGAAGCATTATTTCTAATTAAAAAGTTCTGATTTCTGTCAAAATAAATCTCGAGAAGTAATTCACACGGATATAAAATTGCAAAGAGTTTTGTCTGAAATTTTCATTAATTTCCTATATATATATATATTATCATTCATTATGACAATTAATATATCAGACTGTGATTAGTTTTATTATAGACTTCTTTTGAAATGTCATGTGAATTAAAACAACACAATACGACCATCGATGAAAATTCATATAAATAACAAAAATTAAACGAAAACTTTTATTTATTGTACAGATCGTTTATTAAGTTTAGTTTGTCTATGAGATATACAACTATATCGACTGAGTGTATTTCTCGACTTCTACTTATAAACTTTAACTTATCTTGCAAACTGGCTTGTATCTATGCAGCCATCGGTATGTGCTGGAAGCCTCGAGAACGTTTACACCTTATTAACAAATTTTGCATTCAGCTACTCATAGAACTGGGTCCTATGTCATAATTTTCTTATTAGAAAAATTCTATATTTACTCTGAACTAACTCCAGGCATCACGATATGAATATATAAATGTTTTTGATGAGTACGTAGTAATTATTTTGTTTGATCACTCACGAAGAAAATATTGCGCTTTAAAAGCTAATGATTTGTCTTATGTTTTTGATTTATAACATGTCAAAATCTACTCAATTTACTAATTATGTCAAAATTTGATATAAATGTTGATGACGGATAATTCATTTTTTAATTTAGCATAATGAATTGTTTTTAGAAAAAAGATGTCTACAATTATTAAGTTCTAATCTATTCAATTTGTACAATATAATAATGTACCTTCTTCATCGTCACTTAATTCTCCACGTGGTGTAAACAGAAAATCTGGTAGAAATTGATACATGATTTTTTTAATATTTTGTTTATCTTCTTTGGCAAATGCCATTTGACGTTTAACAAGAAAGATAATTAATGATGCAGCATCATCGAGTATCGATAAATCTTCATAAGAATAGATAAGGTGTGGTTGATTATTATTTGGTGTCAATTGTTGATCACGCTAAAAAATGAAATACAACAAAATATGAGATATGAAATCAGGTAACTTTTTTCTTTACTTCTTCTTTAATATTTTCAATTTCATTTAATAAATGACGATTTCGAATAATTCGTCCATCGGTATTTTTACAGTTAATACCCATATAATCTAACGATTTAAGATAGTATTTTTCACTTTGTTCTTTCCAGAAACGTTCAAAATTCTTTTTTGATTCACGCCATTCTTCATCTTTAGATTTTAAACTAAAAAAAAGAAAAAAATAGTGCTATTTTTCTTTCAACTTCTCTTACCGTTTTAAAACAATTGGAACAGCAACACGTGGATTTCTTTTTAAACCATCAATTATTTCACTAGCACGTTCACCATAAATTCTTTGTACGGCTTGTCTTTGTGTAAATGTAGATTGTCCACCTAATTGATCATCTAATTGAAAGTTATTCAATTGTTCTGTTGTTAAAGAATTCATATGTAATTGTACACTTTCTAACGATCTTATTGCACTTAAATTAACTTCCATAACGATATCAAGTTCAAAACGTTCATCTTCAATTTTATACATATGCTCTTCGAAAACACTTTTCTTTGCTGCTACCGATGATGATTCATCAGTAAATGTTGGAAACAATACACAATGATCATTAAGAACTTCTTTACATAATAGTGTTCGACCACTACAGGCTGGTGGAATATAAGAACGTGGAACAGAACGATAGCTGGTACCTTGTTGTGAACATGATCCATAATCTAAATGTGATTAGAAATTATATTAAAAAAAAAATAAAAGAATTTCAATTTATCAAGACTATTAATTATACGAATGATTTTCAGTTGGAAATGTTTCGATGCATCTTTAATTCTAATACTGAATAGGACCTATCTAAAGGGATAAAGTAGACTCTTATTTACAGGTTGGTTCTAGCAATCATGAGGAACTAATAGAGACACATACGTATCAATGCAATTCGTGTGTATCTAAAAACTAAAATTATGATAACTAGTTCTTCACATAAGATCACTTCATAGTTAGAAAAAAAAAAAGAGAATATATCATTGTAATCTGCTTTTTGAATTCATCAAATCCATGATTTGTCTACGTTTTTTTCTTCATCTTATTCATAAACAACTTACCAATACTAATCATACTGTCAGTATCATTTTGATCATAAATACTTTTTGGAATAATAACTTCACCAGGTCCACGTAAATTAATTAATTCTTGAAATGTTTTCAATAATTCTGGTACATGACTAAAAGAAAATAATCATGTTCATTTTCTTTTTCCTTTCAATAAATATATTTTACCCAAGATATGATTGTATAAGTTCAAATAATTCAATACGAGTTATAATTCGTTTTGTATACAGAAGAATACAACGTAAAAAATTATCAAATACTAATGGACTACGTAGAGTTTTTTGCACCTGAGAAAAAAAATCAAATAATAAAAAACGAATAAAATTCTTATCAATTAAATTACTTTATCGAAAAATGATATTTCATCTATTGATGGTAAATTTTTATTTTGTCCTGTTGTATCTTGAATATTAATATCATCAATCGTTGATGATGTTATTGGAATATTATTTGTTAGTGAAATACGTTTTTTCTTTGATATTACTTGTGGTTTCAATGATGAAACAGGTCGTTTATTGGTATTCATGGATGCTGTTATGATTGTCGATCGTTTTGGTGACGATGTTTCATCTTTATTTGTCGTTGAAATTGAAATTGTCTGTGATGGAATTGATGAAGTTGTTGTCAATGATGCTGATGGTGTTATTATCGATGAAGCAACTGTATTACTTATAATTAAACGTGGTGTTGAATTTGATACGACGGGAATTATTGATGAATTTGAATTATCTGATGATGATAAAATATCCGAGAGAGAATTCAAGCGTTCCTTTATAAATAAAACAAAATGAAAATATGCTTTTTATTTTAAATTGTATTTAGATTTACTATTGGTTGTTGAGTAGCATCTGGTAGAAATTGACTGAATTCCGAGAGAAGATCTTCATGATTCGTAAATAGTTGTGCCACTTTAGCATAAACTTCTGTTTCCGACAGGAATATTCCTTGATTATTTCCTTCATTGTTCGTTGTTGATGAAACTATTAATTTAATAAATAAGAAACAATTTTTTTTTATTGTACGTCAAAATAATGAATAAGATATGCCAGAGATTCTTAGAACGACATCTCGACAACCGAAGTGTCTGTCAATTATTTTTATTGACGTTCGTTGTTCTATTCAAAAATGCTGGTCATGATGCATCAAATATAAAACGATATGTTACTTTTATAGGAAAAAAAAGTTAGTTTTGACTCAATGTTCTATGAGACATTAGTATATCGAATTAATTACTTGTTGGTGATTCCTTGGCATCTTTTTGTTGTTTTTGATATGTATGAAGAATTTCAAGAAATGTTTTATATACATTTGGATTTCTAAAGAATTAAAATATTTCAAGTTTTACAAAAAAGAAAGAAAAATATCAAAAGTAAAACTTACTGATGAAATCGATTTTTAATTTTATTGACATAATTAATTGCATGATTAAATTCCACTGGTTGTCCATTAGCATTTGTTGAATTATTGTTATTATTATTAATATTAGTAGTAGTAGTAGTAGCAGCAGCAGCGGCAGCAGCAGCAGCAGTAGTAGTAGTAGTAGTAGTATTTAATGTTGGCTGTTTATGTGTTTTTGTTGAGAGATTAAATCCACCAGTTGTACCAAAATATGGTAGCTGAGGCGCGCTGGCTGCTGATATTAATGTATTAACTGCATGTGTTGTTGGATTAATTGGTGGTTGTGGAGTTTCATTTTTAACTTGTTGTGTCTCATCATTATCTTGATTTAATAAATTTGATGTTTGTCGTATAGTTGACGAATGATATGTAGTTGATGTTGGCGTTGTTATTGCTAAATTATATGTTGAACTAGAACCGCCAATAGCAATAGATTCTGTTCCCAATGTTGGATGTGTTACTTGAATATAACCGTGATGATCATTGCTAACTTCAATTTTATAACCTGGTGGTAAAAATGTGTTGAAACCGACAATCAAATCTGGATGACCATGAAAGAGTGTAGATACACGATTGATGACTTCTTGAGTATCAATACTAATAAAACATATTCTATTATAAAAACAAAATCGAATGATTTCAATTTTAACAGATACCTTTGTGATTTAAACTCTTTCATAATATCCAAAAATTGGTTGTATACTTGCGGCTGAAGCGCAAATTGGTTCTTCACCTTATCGAGATAACTAAGTGCATCCTCCACTTTCAGGCGCTAATCAATCAGCATATAAATAAATAAATCTTTTAAACTGAAAAAATCAAATTTAACTTACTGATGATGCTGATTGCCCTTGGCCGGATGTGGACGTATTACTAGTATTCGATGATAATAAACCACTTGAAAAATTAGTAAAGAGATTTATAGGTGATGAACTATTTTGTATATTTGAAACAATTGTTGTCGCAGTTGATGGCGGTCGTCTTCAAAACAATAAAATTTTATATTAATGATTTTTCTTTTGCAAATTGCAATAACTAATATGAAAAAACGGTAGTAGTTTGCCTTAGATACAGTGCTCTCACTTTCACTCGCTGTCGTGCATGTGAATCCTCTCTTTTGTATGTTTATAGTAAATTATTGGTTGAAACACTTACGTCGAAGGATTTTGAACAAGTGTTGGAACAACAGTATTCAAACCCTAAAATATAGGATTTAAGTTATAATATTCATTTATTGTTATTATTAATATTTACCAAATTGTTAGAACTCGGGTTCATATGATTGAGTTTTTATTTCGAACAACAACACAAACTTCTCTTTAACCGGTTTTTCTTCGAGATCCGTCGATCACAAAAAAAAGCCCAATGAATAGCAATCTAAAATTGTAAAAATGATCAGGACATGAAATAAAAAGAAAAAATCCTACAGATTTCGAACGACACAAATTTTTTGTGACAATGAGCGCTATGCATGCTTTAACGTTAACATTGTTGGTAGCGATAACAAACATTCAACCAATAGTAATCGAGTATGCCGCCATTTTAATTTATAAATAACGTTTCCTCCATTATCTCAACATTGATCAAGAAAACAGCAAATAAGGTTAGCTTGTGACTTTCATGCTTATTCTTTTCTATTTCCAACTTGCAAGCTGCAATATTGTTGTGTTCTGTTTCATGCCGAGATGATCGTACCAAAACTACGGTAGTTCCTCTCCTACTATTCTTTATATTAAAAAAGAATTTATTCGACACACTTTTCTTTGGCCATCGAATCGACACAAGATAAATTCACCTTCACACCGAGAAAAGGTCAATAATGCAGCTGTGTTTCGTAATTTTTTTTACGCTGAGAAATCATGCGCTTCTTCTTTTGTAGAGTAAACGATGCTTGTGCTCGTGATAATAATGAAAATAGCAACATTCATATTCAGACTTCGCTTTATAAAGGTGTCTTTTTGTTGTATTTACTAGAGACATTTATTAACTCTACGAAAACCGTATGATAGGTTTCTATTGTTGTTGATTCATTGAGAATATCATGACTATTGTTTGTGATTTTGTATTTTTGTACATATTATTCGTTTCATACATTTTACATGTGTCAGAAACTGTGAGACAAAAAAGAAGAAGAAGAAAAATATAATCACTAGCAGAGAATAGGATCAGCCCAATATGCACTGTTATTATGCTTAAGCTTCTTCCGCTGCTTATTCCCACTTATTTAGTAGTTGTTTGCCATCGGACGTTTTTCGTCTTAGTTTAAGGGCGCTGTTAAGGATACTATGACTGATTACTGACGACAACAAACGATCTTCGTCAGTGACTTTTCTAAATATATGAATAATAGTTGTTGCTAACGAGCTATCGGCATACTGTCATTACAAAGCATTGCATAAATCCTATTTTATTCCATTCTTTTGAAACGATTTACTATGTAGAAGCGTTTTGAAGTGCATGATGCAATGAGTATAGGGTGATAAAAACAATAACAAGTTTCTCTCTCTTTTTTTTTCTGTTTTTCTGTTTTATTTTTCTTTGCCAATAGAGCAGTTTTGTTTCCTTGCATCTAGTCAGGACAAATATGCATGCATTAAGCGTCAACTACACGCGTGTTTACGTATATTCAAAGACTCAAACATATACATTCTACAAGAAGGAAGAAACAGAACAATACCGGGTGAATTAGTTTTCGGATTGGTCAGTTATTTTTTTCAGTTTTATTCGTAGTATTTAGCCTTAAGCAACCCGAATAAAAAAAAAACGAAGCGAGTATGTGTCATCGACAGCATTTGATACTAAATATAAATCTACATGAGTTATATATATATATATATAAGTTTTTTTTTCTTGCTGATTCACCTGTTTTTATTTTTTTTTCACTCAAAGATATACCAATTAAAAGCCTTGACAAGAACCAATTAGAAACAAGTTATATGTTCTTTCCTATATATAACTAATGTCGATAGTCATCAATCGAGATCTTTTTTAGGAATCATTAATGAGTAACTCATGCTCAAGTACATTATAAAATTCGTATTGTTTTTGTTCTTGTTTTTCTCTCTTTTTTTTATTTTAAGAAATGCTAATCTGATGAGTCTATAGTAAATGGAAAAAAAAGTTGGGGATTTTCATCATGTTGTCTGTTTTATTTCATTCTTAACTTACTCGCAGAGACAAGAACGACAAGTCAATTATTCTAAGCGTATTCTAGATTATATGTTAGAACATGGGATTTCTAACGTCATCATTGACTTGGATATTTCTGGTTTTTCATTTACATTTCTATATAATCTTCATTTTTCAGATTAACTATGATTGGATTGAATCAAACAAAGAAGATTTCAGGAGTTTTAACTCCTGGTAAGAATTCATTTTGACTTTTTCATTACTAAGTATTTATATATAACTATAAATATGTGTATTCTTTTTTTTCTTAATTTCAGATATTAAAGAAAAACCAATGGAATGTTGGTTAGAACAGCCAACATCAAATGCAGATTTTTGTAATGCTATTGACGAAATAATGAAGCATGAACATGAAGGGGACATATTACTTGATGGTAATATATCACCAGAAGGTCCATTAGATCTTGATTTTGATTCAATATCTGATCTACTTGACAGTCCATCAACAGCCCAAGGAGCTACAGCACCACCAATATCACCGTCGTCAACAACAGATTATCCTCAATCAAATAATATTTATATGACATCAACATCGCGTCCAACTTTTCCTGTTAATAATAATTCTAAATCGAATACATCCGGTTATTCATCATTGGGCATAAGTCCAAAATTTACAACACTAAGCATTAATCAGCATCATCATCCATTTTCACCACCGCCGCCACAAGATTCAAATAATGCTTCAACATTACTTCAATCATTTGTTCAAGGACCTATTACAATAAATTCAAAAACTAGTTTACACCCACCGCCATATGCTCAAGAACAACAACATGCTTCAATTCTTGGCACATCATATCCACTTGAATTACAATTAAATAGTGGTTTTTCAGATGTTAAACGCTTTCGTTCGTCTAGTATGAATGAAGGAGCAACACAACAGCAACAAACTAGAATAGGTAAGTCATTTCTATACACATGTATTTCTTTTTTTAATTCACTAAAAACTTAACTTTCTTTTTTTTTGTGTTGTTTCTTTTGTCTACAATTAGATCCTCATCTATTCGATCCATCTCGTCTTAAGTTACCTTCTCATATAAATACTACATATTATCCAAGTCGAGCATCATCATCAACAAATATAACCACACCGACGACAACAACAAATTCATCGACATCATCCCTTTCAACTGATGTGTCATCGAATACAGCATGGCCATTTGGTGGCTATACACGGCCAACATCAAATTCATTTTCTGAAGTCATTAATCAACAGCAACAACTTCGTTTGAATAATAGCTTATCGGCATCTTATGGTGGTTCGCCGTCATTTTATTCAATGCCTCAACAACGAAATCAAACAGAGTTTTTACCAGATATTAATTTTCAACCACAGCAACCAAACAATTGCACACTCTATTCACTGAATCAATCGGGAGCTGGCGCTACATCTTCTCCTCCTTCTGCTTCTGCTCTTGCTCGAAAACGATCATCATTAGTTGGTTTTTCTGTTCCAGAAATTAAAGGTAATTTTGCAATAAAACACAAAAAAAAATATCTATAGATCTTGTTTTCCTTTAGATGATCCTAGTAGTCCAAATTGTACAATGGAACAGCAAAGTGAGACTGATCTTTGGTCGGATATAGAACAAAATTCTTCCGATCATATGCAAGACAATGATATTGATGATGACGATGAAGCAACATCCGATGATGATAATGCAACAACAGTATCAACAACTTTTAATCGCGATTTAGAATCATCAAAATCAGCACATTCACATCCAAATTCATCATCACTTTTTTGGCAATATAATGTTCAAGCTAAAGGGCCAAAAACGAAACGAATACTTTATTTGAAAGAACGTGATCCACATCTATATCGAGAATTCAGTGACCCAGTTTATCAAATAAAACTAACGCAAACAAAAGGTCAAACATTTACCAAACTTCGAAAAGGTGACGGAAATGATGTTACACCAAATCCCACCAAGCTTTATCAACTCGGAAAACAAATAAGAGATTTATCAACATTTGTTAATAAAACAACTGCAAATACTCCATCCGTTTATCACGGAATTTATCATGTTGATCAACCAATACATAATAGTAACGATACGGCTGAAGTCAAAAAAGAAAAAAATAAAATTGCTAGTCGGTGTGTACTACAGCAATGAAAAGTTCTTGCTGTTTTTTTTCTTCTCTTCTTCTTAGTCTAATTATTTATTTATTCAGAGCCTGTCGACTTCGTAAGAAAGCACAACATGAAGCAAATAAACTCAAATTACATGGGTTGAATGAAGAACACAGTAAGCTTCTTGCAAACTTGTTTTTTTATTTTTCTCTTTGCAATACAATTAAATGAAAATAGAACAAACAAAAAAAAAACGACTGTCAGCTAACCTTTTCCTTTTTTTTTCTATTAAATAGCCTCAGTTCTTCTCTTGTTTTTTCCTTTTCTCTCATGACAAATAGTGTCTATTATTCTGTTTTTGCTCTAATCTGGATTATCTTTTTTTTCTTCTTTGGCATATAACCAAAAAGAAAACAGAACGACAAATTTAGATTGCTAGAGTCGGGCAATATTCGTGATTTAATCTTAAATTACCATTTGCCCTTTGCAATTATTTGAACACTTGACTTGATGACAAAATTTTCAATCTCCGGTTTCGAACGATAATAAACAAAATCTTATGAAAACAAAACAAGAAATTTCATATTACATGAATTCAAAATAAATTGAATTTTGCTTTTCAAAAATAGTGTTGAGACTTATTTACAAGACTATTTCTTTAAAATTTTGTTTAGAAACATTAATTGATTTGATTGCATCTGTAAAATTACTTGTCCTCAAACGATATAATGATGGTCAACTTGCGTCACCTTCATCATCGCCTAGTAAATCACTCGAAGCTGCATTGGATCAATTGATTACTCAGAAATACAGTAATCTATTTGATTTAAAAACAGAATTTTTCACTGCGTGTTTTGCTTTTGTTCATAGATAAACCAGTTGCTGGCAATACTGATGGTTTTGTTCAAGCAGTAATTACCGATATGGAACGATTGTATGCTTCAAAGCAACAACGAAGCAATAGTCTTAATACATAAAGAGCACATAATCTGTATATTTTAAAATTAATTTAGTCCATAAATAGAGTTTTCATTTAAGAGATCAGTAAAATGTGAACGTCTTTTGAATGTTCTCCGGTGACTTGATTAGAGTGTGAAAAGAAGCATTTCTTTGTTTTGTTTCTGTTTCGTTTAGCTTTCCCATGAATCCTGTGAGTTCCTATTTAGTGATGATGCTTACGGTTAGTTTTTCTCTTTGTATGTTTTTCTCGTGTGGTTTGACTCAAAAAACATGTTTCTGTTTCTTTTGTACAAATTCTTTTTTTTTGTTTCTTGTATTCAACAATCATTGTTCATTCAACGTCTATCATTTGTCTTATTTTTCTTATTTTTCTTGTTTGTAAATTATTTTTGACTTTGTATAGAAAAACAAACGATTGATATATATATTTGTGTGAGTGTGTTTTAACATGACATCTTGGTTTTGTTTTCAAAATTATACATTTGCTTCGTTTGCTTTTTCTTCTTGTTCCTTTGAACAGTTCTTGTGCTTACAGTAGAGACAAAACGGTTGTGATCTGTGGCAAGTATCAAAATTGATGATTTCTTACAAGAATTTGTCTGTTTGTTTTGTTTGTTTGTTTGTATATTTATTCAAGCTTAAAAAAATACAAAGTTCAAATATTGCTATTTGAACTTTGTATGTGTAAAGAATTTTTGTTTTGTACAGTTTTTATTTAAGAAAACAAGTATCATGTTGTTCTTTATGGATTAAATTGATTGGCAGAATAAAGAAGAAAAAGAAGCGTTACTTTTTAAAATGATTAGATATGTTATTTGTTTTTCTCATGTTATTAACATAAGAAACAAACTTTAAATCCTCTTAGCGTTCTTACCTCATAAATGAATAATTTTATGCTATTTCATTTTTAATCAAAAGCATGCGTACACATGCTTATCCTGTTCTCTTTACACACTTTGAGTTTAATTTTTGTAAAAAAAACTACATCGATGATAAGATTATCATAAACTTGGTGCGATAACAAAAACAGTACACGTCATAAATAATCAAGATAGGTTATATTTAGACTGTGATTGTACTCAGTACGAAGTTTGTAAGAGTGACAACTAATTGTGAAAGAAGATGTCAACAGGAGAATTTTGTGTCGTATAATATCGAAGCAAAAAAACTGAAGGAAATGTGAAAATTTCTGAAAAGATGCATTCAACCTAATAAACTTTGCTGTAAAAAAGCTAAACCAATAGCGTACCAGTTTTTTTAGAAAATGAAATCAATTAGAAGATAATTAATTTACTATTATTTAGGATGTTTGAACTTCCGAGCATTAAAAAATCGCGAATAATACTCGAGCAGTTCAGTTGGCTGATGTTATCGTTTGTTCTGACACTCGATAAAATTTTATAAGATTGAATGAAAAATAGAAAATGAGTGAGACACAAATATTTAATCTGCATAGTTTGTATTTCAAAACAGAAAGAACATCCCATTAGAATTCGATAGTTTTCTATTCGTGATATTGGTCTAACTTTTTCAATAGAATCATTTTCTCTTTAATAGCATCTCTCTGGATCATCCAAAACATGACTAAGTTTCTTTAGTATAAATTCCACAAAAATTGTTCAAATCGTAGCATTTGATTTCTTTTCATTTAACATATATTTTTGTTTTAAACATTTCGTCAGGGGTCAAACCATATTAATTGAGAAGTTCTGTAGGCAAAGAAATATATTGAATAAAGCTTTACTAAAGGTAAGAGCAAAAGGTAAAAATAGTATTGCACCCAATGAAAAATATTCGTTGATTTCAATCAAATTATTGTGCAACAAAATCCAATCCGCAATCCGATTGACAATTTTGATTTTAATCGATCACCATTTAACCTAAACGTGATGTTATTGCTAGCCCAGTGGAAATTAGTTTGATTAAAATCTGATTGTTCTGTAGCACAATTCGAATTATCAATCGATTGACAATGTGGATTTTACTGGAAAACAATCCGATTTCAATCAAACTAATTTCCACCGGGCTAGCAATAGCATTAAATTTGAGTTGAATGGTGGTCGATTAAAATCAAACTTATCAATCGGATTGCGGATGGGATTTTGTTGCACAATAATTTGATTGAAATCAGCGAATATTTTACACTGGGTAAACTCTTTGCCCTATTAACCTGCTATTTCTGTTTTTTTTCTCGGTCAAACTTTGCAGTCATTTATTACGCATGAAATTTACTTTAATTATTACAAACAAATATAATATTATCGATAGCCTATTGCTTTTTAAAGAACCTACGAACAATATCAACCATAAAAAAAAGACATCAACATAAATTGTAGAGTAAAACTCGGTACATTATTATTCACACGTAATTTTTCATTATCTATTATAATAATGTGAGTATCCAATACGAGTATGTAGAGTTAGCGTGTGATTGTATATATTTATCTATTCACTTATCTAACTCGCGCACACTCATTCGTTACACATATAAAAAACTATATATCAAATTTATGCGTGGCAGGTTCATCTGTGTTTTTGTAGATTGAAGAATATTTTATCGGTTCTATTCAAGCGGATGTTCTTTGGAAATTTATAATAACAACCATGATTTTTATGCCTAAAAAAATAATATGAATACTAAAGCATATATATTTTTTAATATTTGATCGTCAGCACTAACGTCACGACTAGTATTCAAGTACATACTAGAATATGCATATTGATTAACATTTTCCTATATAGAAAATGCCTCTCATTTAAATTTCGAAATCGAACAGGGATGAAAAAATAGTAATATCTTGATTTATTATTTCCTTTTTTAAATAGATTAGGTTTGAACTAAGTCATGCATGTAAAACAAATACTACACCAATATAAATCTATTTATCTTCACACATCAAGAAGTACTTGTTTCTTTACACATAGTTTTGCTTTGATTAATCAAATGTAAAACGACTGCAATATACCGATATGAATACATACAGAAGTGCTCTCTTTTACTCTCTAGTCTATGTTAAGTCGAAAATATTTTCGTCTGCATTTTCAACTGTCGTATTTGTAGGTTCTGGATATTGAGGTGGTGGTTCTACTGGATCATTGATTTTTGATTCTAATAATTTGCAGCATTCATCATTGTCCATATTTTTTGCAATCATTGCTGGAGTAAATCCATCTTCATTAGTTGCATTAATATCAGCACCACGTAGAATTAATAGTTTTACGACAGGAACCTTATCACCATAACCTTGAACTGCCAAATGCAATGGTGTATTACCTGTATGATCACTGGCATTGACCTCTGCGCCAGCATCAATTAGAATATTACAAATATTAAGATAGCCAAGTGCTGCCGCTAACATCAATGGGCTCGTACCCGTTTCAGGATTGAGTGAATTTATATTAATTTCTTTTTCGATCATTTTTCGAAGAAGAATTTCATTTTGAAAACGAACTAAACAGAAAAATAACTAGCTCTTGGTCTGTAAAAAAAAGATTCAATTTATGACATACTACAACAAAGTAAAGGTGTTTCATGAAATGATGGTGTTTGCGTTGCATCAAGACGCTTGGCATTGTCAACTTGATAACGTACTTCATGTAATGGATCTGATCCTGCATCAAGTAAAAGTTCGGCTAATAACGGTGTTTTAGAATTTTCTTCAACACGTAATTTAGCCAAAATAACCAATGGATGATTCCCATCAAATGCATTTGCAACATTTGCATCACTTCCGAGTTGAAGTAAAGTTCTAACAATATCGACTTCACCCAACAGCAAAGCCAAACCTATGAGTTAGAATAAGAATTTATTAGGAAATTTTTGTTTTCTTTGTTTTTATACCTAAAGCTGTATTGCCATCGGCATCAATAGATTGCTGTAATAATCTGGGTCTTCCATCAGATAATTCCCGTAGTTTTGTTACATCACCAGTGATAATTGAATCTCGAAATAATTTCATTTTAAATGGAACCGTATATGAAAATAATAATTTCGTTGAATGAAATGCCAGACGCCATGACATGTTGTTGGTGAGCTATTCTAATTAAAATACCAAGTAACAATCTTCACTTTGTCTTGTATGATTACTATGTCGCTATTTTGTTTTTATGTTGCAGTTGACTGCACATATATTTATACATATACGAATACCTTACGCCGACGCTTTTTAAAGTCATGTCTCTGACACGGGTGATCTACTTCGTAATTTTCTTTTTATAGATTCTTTTTTCTCATCTTTTCTTTGTGTTTTTTTATTAATATGGATCCCACGTTTTAAATGATCACAAATGTACATAAACAAAGACAACAAATAAACATCAAGAAAGATTATATACGTAAGTGATCACATTGTATTTACAAAAAAACAAGAATGCAATCAGCTTTTTCTTTCTCACAAAAATTTACAATCATCATCATCAATATAGAATAGAGAGAGAGATAGATAGATAGAGAGAGAGAGAGAGAGACAGCAAGATAAAGACGGGGTAAGCAAGTAAAATCTACTGCAACTATGGTCTTTGCATACGATGTGTACGTATAGATATGACATTTTATTCATTCCATACATTTGATCGACGAACAGCTTGTTGAAGAAGAAATAGAGCTTGTTGAATTTGATTTGGATTACCATTTATTGTTATTAATCGATCATTGGTGCCATTCATGGGTTGAGAATCAATTTTAATTGATGCGCCTGATTCATGACGAATTTGAGATATTTTCGAACCCTTAGCACCGATAACAATACCTTTTGGAGTTAAAAAATGAAAATCAATTAATTTATATTTTAAAAGAGCGAAAAATTAACTATTTTACCCGCCATTTCATTTGGAATAGTCACTTGTGTGGTTGTCGATGGTTCATATTGTTGATGAGGTGGATTAAAACCACCACCACCACCACCACCACGAGTGCGATTTCTGTTGTAACCATCGTCAGCATATTTATCATTATATTGTGAATAACCTTGTGATGATGGGCCATAACTAAAACATTATTTATCGCAATAAGAAAAAAAAGAATAATTATTTTCTTCACATACGAATGATTTCGATATTCAATAGGATTGCTGGCTCGTAAATTTAATTGATTATTACCCATTGAATTATCGGAATAGCCTCCGTAATCTGCAACATTATAACCATTATATGCCGATGGATCATAATAACGATATGAACCACGTGGTGGAACACCATTAAGCACACTGTAAACTTCAGTTAAACATCTTAAAACATCATCTTTACTGCCACGCATTGAAATACCTTAAGTAAAAGAAATATTTGTCGGTAGATATGATAGATTTGATTTTTTACATCGTTCTGTTGATCCTCCAGGGCAACATTCAGGATAGACTTTCACATCAACATTATCTAAATTAAAATTGTTATTAGCCTCATCTGATTGTTATTCACCGCTTTCGAAAAAACATATTCTACCTGTCCCATGAACTCACGTTTCTCTCTAAATTCTTTGATTCTTGATGCTCCTTTACCTGAAAATGCAAAACAAAACAAAAACAATATATTGAATAATCAAGTTAACTTTTAAATATAATTTTTTTCTTACCAATCAATGCTCCTGCTTGGGATTGGTGGATTAGAGCGCGCACTTCATTTTGGTCAGGTTTATGTGAATGTTGATGACTTTCCGAAATACACGTAAGTATATCGGATATACAATTAATTACATCTGTTTCATCGCCATTAATAATTAAAACACGTTCGGGTACTTCACAGTCCGCTATTTGTATTTGGCATTGATGTTTTGTACGAAGCTCTTGAATAGTTTTTCCACCTTTACCAATAATAGCTGGAAAAAAAATAAAGAGTTTAAATTTTTTTTAAATTTTTTTCTAACCTCCTGCATGGCGAGATGGAATCAAAAGTCGAAAATTGGGTTTTCCATCACGCATTGTACGATTTCGTCTTCCATCGTGTCCTTGATTATCGTCATTGATTCTATTCGAATTCATTGTGCTATCATCAACTTGATCGTCCATGCTTGTTTTTTTAAATTTGTTTTCAAATGTGGATGCAAAAACACATACACAATACTACGTTCTCCTATTCACTCGTTTTATACGCAGGTATAGATTAATCTAAAACAGAGTTCTTAATTGAATATAGAGGCACAACAAAATTTTGAAAGAATAAACGTTTGTTTTATTCGTTTACGATCGAAACCTATTCAATATGAAATAATTATTCAATAAACAATATGATCTTGATAGAAATTGCATTCTGTTGACAAAGCTCATTGATAACATCCATTTATATATATAAAAGAAAATATTTCTCTTCTCTCGTTTGACAGATGCATTTTCACTATAGATATCGCTAGATGACAGTGCTATAGGATGATTTTTTTTTTTTGTAAATCAATTAAAAAAAATAAATCGAGCTATAGCTATCTATCTAGTTAATATGTAAATACTTATAAAAGAATTGTGCATGATAGAAATTATCAATAATGGCAATATTATAGACTTTATTAATTACTCTTGGCTTCTAAACTACTTTTGAAACATTGTAGGCGACATGGGCTAAAGAGCACACATGAACTTCAAGAGAGAATATCTGTGAATCGTTTTCAAATGAGTAAAGCTTGAACAGTTGGAAAAAACTTCGAGTGATGCATGTGCCAAAACATGAATAAGAAAAGCACTTTATCTTCTCATGACCGCTTATTATATTTATTACAGTGGCACGAAAAGAATATCATGAAGAATCTCTCAATGTTTCTTTCGATTTCTATTGGACATTGAAATCTTTGTAGTCTCATTTATGATTTATTTCATAAGACATACTCTAAAAAGAAACAATTACAGTGTATATAAGATAGTAGCTATGATACACGAGATATAAATACACATATCTATTTAATTCTGTTTTACATAGTAACTATCATTGTTAATGTTTCATCATAGTTAACTACACTGAAAAATAGTATATTTATTGATTCTTTTGTTTTTGAGAGGGTGAGAAACAAGTAAATATCATCATAAAAATTTTCATAATAATAGTTAGCTATATTAACAATGAATCGAGTAAGAAAATCAATAAACAAAATGATTCGAATAGAATTTATTTTTTCTATTTAGGGTTTTAATCCAGTTGAGGTCTATTATAATCGTGATTTACATTTACATAAACCTGGCGTTATACCAAAAGCATCTCGTCGTACTTCAGCCATAACATCAAGCCGTCATAAATATGAATTAAAACAAGAACTGGGTACAAATAAAACAATTGAATCTTGGTTTGAAAATCATTCACCACAAGGTTTGATCTAGTTTTATTTTATTTTTCTTAATTTTCCTTAATCTCTTAAGAACGGCAAACTGTTTACAGTTTTCTTGATACACTTTATAAGTCTAATAATGTTAAAGATAAAAAAGTGCAAAATAGTCGATTATACAATCGAGTACGAACAGCTTCAGCTCATTCGTCACGACGTCAATTACTTGAACCTACTCAACGCGATAATCAAACATCAAAACATAATATTGGCCAACTTGTTGAATCATTAGAAAGGTATTTTCTTTTATTATTATAACATAGATAAGCTAATCACAAGTTGTTTTTCTCTTGAAACTTATTCTATGCTTTTTCTCCTTGATATAAAAAATGTCCTTGTAAAAAAGATAAAATCTAGCTGATTGTAGCTGCAATGAATTTTTTAGAATTGATTATTTCTTTCTCGATAAAGATGAACGAGTGAAAGACTCTGTTCTATGTATTTATCAGGTTTAATTCGTAAAATCGGTTTAGTTCAAAATCACTAATAATCGTAACTGATAAAATAAAATAGGACTAATAGAAAGTTTTCTTCCTTCTAGGGAAGGACAATAAAAATAAACTTTCTATATACCTACCAAACTTCGCACAGTCTGTTCATCAATGAGAATTTACTTAAATTTCTTTTAAGCTTTCGTCTTTCAACATCAGTTCAAGAAAAAGGTATTCCAACAGCATCAAACGATTCAGCAATTCAATCAGCTGATGTAAATCAAAGAAAAAGCGATGCTAACATAGAAACGAATAGTGTACGTCCATCAACGGCAACGATTAGGCCGATTGAAAAAATGCAATCTGAAAATAATTCTGATAATCAATCGACTACAACTAATAGAAGAAACTTGCGTTATCTTTCGCAATCGTGGCGTGTAATTAATCCGCAAGATGATATTCAACTTAATCCTCGTTCTGACAACAATACATCATCATTTTTCAATTATACAAAAAAAGCTTATCCAGAATATTATTTTATTCATCCTGATTGGTATTAACATTCATTTAGTTTTAGATTTTTTTATTTTTAAAGAAAATATTTTGTCTAGAAATAACAGAACTTTCATTTTTCAACTATTTTTTATCAGTAATAAATAAAAGCTTCAAATAAAAGCATCAACAAGAACACAGATTAAATAAATGTAGTATGCTTATTTTTATTTTTTAAGACAAAAATCGTCATCGTAATTATGTTACTACTAAAGAATTCGTCAGAAAGTTTCAATAGCTTGTATCTATTTAGTATATGATCTTGGCTATTTTACAAAAATAAGCGTAAAAATATAAAATCTCTCTTTCTTGTTATTACAAGATATAGAAAACTTTTCTAATTATCATGCAATTAATGCGATGCTAAGCAAAGCATTAATGTAGCCCGTCGCGTACGCATTCAAAGTGAGCATTTTTATGACGTGATGATCTCAAGAACGAATTTTCGTTTGATACTCGTTGAAACAGTGTTAGTAACATTAAGAAAGATCTCCATATAATGAAAATTTTGTCCGATTGTCGCGAAAGCTCGAAATTTTTTCTTAACAAGATTCGATTGTGTATGTTTGAGGCCTAGTGATCAGCGGAGTTGAACTTTTTGACTACAATTCCGACTCCGACCAAAAACTTTTCCAGACTCTAATACCGACTCCGGAAAAGCCCGAAATTGATTTTTAGCTTAGAGACACCGGATTTACATCAAATGATTAGTATCCCGAAAGGATGAATAAGCAAGGGAATAAGTAGGAACTGAACAATGTGTATTATTTTAAGAGTTCTTTGTTTCTTTGGTTTTTGTTCTAAGTCACTAATATTTTGAGTAAGAAAATTTTGATAATTAAAGATAATGATTCGCTAATAAAATTCAATGAAAAGAAGAAAACATCAACATTAAGCGAGTAGTGACGTTTTTAATGTTTTTTTTTTGTCAATTTTTACTAGGAACGTGCCCATGTGGAAGGTGGGGGTAGGAGAATCCGTGCTCCTAACTTTCAAACAGAGTGGCCTTACATCGTGAAATTTATGTAGAACTTTTTGTTTTAAAATCTGAATGTTACAAGTTTGCCCCGAGGAATATATAAATCAAATACATGAATAATATTAGAATCTATTTAGAAAAATGTGATTCATGTGCGATCTGAAAGGTTACCGTGTCAGCGAACTGCATGTTTTGCCACTCTCTATCCGTCGGCGTTCTATTGCATTCGTGTATGGAAAGTCGTATCGATCAATCTACAACATTTGATTCTTTTTCTTTAAATTGATAACAATAATATGATTGCTATACACCAATTTAGGCATCAAAATTTCTTTATTTACAATCCAACAGAATACCTCTTATTAGAAGGTGATATTTACATAAGCTTGATTAATCATAAAGCAACAGAAAACAAAATGCTAGAGGAACTGTTGTTTTTACGGATTTTGTTTTACTTTATTATAATGTAGAATATATATCATCTATCTATTCTTTTTTTGGTGATAAATATTTCAGTGATGTTATTAATATTGCTTAGTAAAATTGTTTTGTTGGAATGTTTTTCTTACTGTTTCGAAAGATCTGAAAAAATTGAATTATTTTTTATTTCAAATATCATTTTACAGAAAAGAACTTGTTTGGTCATTCGATTGCTGTCGAAATCTATTGATCAGCCAATAAAAAAAGATTATAACTTTAAGAAGAAATTTCTTCGTTTCTCCAAACGATCATTTTATTTTTATACGCATCAAAATAATGCTCTGATTTATTGAATAAAATATAACTACAAATGTTTTCATGATAATTTTCCCATTGATTTGGCTGTTAATAAAGAATCTTGCATGTACGTATCCACCATGCTTGGAATGCAATTAGCAATCACTGTAACTTCCGATGGAAATTCATATCCATGATACGTAATACATGTACTCGTGTACGTTTGACAGTTTAATATAGCAGGCTAATGTCAGCCTTCATTTGCTTGACACATCTGCATGTGAACTTGACATATTGATCTGATATAGATATTCTTTGCAAAATGGATTGCCACCGGATATTGCTGAATATCTTTTAATGGTATTTGACAAACTTTAATAATTAATGCAAAATCATTCCATTTACGATGCTTAAGCATTGCACTAGCATATGTACTATGATCTGTGTCAGTATAGACAAGTACCCAGGATAATCATTTCGGTTGTCGGAACGGGCATCTTAAAAGGCTATAAAAACGGCCATCGTTTTCAACACTTTGTTTGTCGTTTTCCGAGCTGACGGAAACGGCGCCGCTTTTCCACGTTTTATAGCCGTTTCAGACCGTTTACCCACCGCTTTCTTGGACATGGACAGGTCATAATGTGTTGCTACGAAATCATCATTTGTCGATGATTCTAAAAGAATAGTAGAGAAAAATTAAATAATAAAGAATCTTATTTTCAAGTACCTGTAACGTCTATTGCTACAGAAAAATGTTTTCGTTTCCTCTTCTCTTCAATTGTACTTTCTTTTGTTGTTTTTCTCTATGTTTTATAAAGTAAACAGTTCCAGTTTGATTCAAATCGATTAATACTGGTGGACAGATTGTTGTAGTTGGGCTTGAATTAGTTTTGTCAAATTTAATTCCCATATATGATCGAATGATGAATTACAATACTTTTAATTAATCTGGCATCTACAACAAAAATAAAATATTCATAATATGCTTTCATCAGTTTTAGTATCTGCAGATATAGAAATTCTTTGAATAGGCAACTAGTAGACGGTCATAGTCTGATGATTCATAGAATCAATAGCAAGCAATGCATTTGAAAAAGTGGATGAAGGAGCACCTTTTTCAAGGCTCTAATTGTGTCATTCGACGCGACGACGACAGATAGACATTTTTATTTAGTACAATGCTTTGTGTCCAATTAGTACGTTTCGGTGTTACCACTAGTAGGTAGTCACAAGAACACAACAATGATTGCCTAAGCCAATACAAACGCTATACAGAATCTTTAAAGGTTACCTATGTAAATTAAAACAATATCTTCGACAATATTCTGGTAAGAACATGTTTTTTTTTATCAATGATTTATTTTCAATCCTTTTTTTTAAAGATCTTTATCGTGCCAAAAACGATCGTATACAGTCGGATGCTGAAATATCCGACCACATTACGGTCGTTAGCAATCGTTTACGACACGGAGAAATGCGACGCATGCCAAAACGTCAAATTACGGTGATTTACGGTCGGAAACGTTATAAAGCGGTAGTATACGTTGCCGGATGCGCCCGTTTACGCTCGTATCAGGTGGTCGTAATGTTCGTCCTTGGCTAAGATTTGTATATGATATCAATTGTGTCTGATTTCTCATATCGAATTCCGTTTAGACAACGTAAAATATGAAGCATATTTTTTAGTATACCGGTTCAACGTACTGAGACTTAATGTTGATTTAGCCAGACTTAAAATGACACCATCAGAAAATGTTAGTCACAAGTCTATTCGTTGACAGCTAAACTGAGAAAACGATTTCAGAATGTATCGCTAGGTATGAATAGAGTTTTCCAAGTGATGAATTTTCATCACGTCTACATGAAAACTATTTAACATTTCTTTGAATTCAAGATTTTTCGAATTGTATTCGATTCGATCTTTGCATCGCATTCTGTGTTCGCATGAAACTCGAAGACCATGTAGTTTTCTATTGATTTTCTTTGTATTCCTGTCATAGCATCAAGTATTGTCATATGAAATAGTCACCAGGAGTCAATTATGACAGTTTCTATCAGCGGTACCCTAAAGATCATATGGTCGACCTTTTTTCATACTATTTTTACAAGCCTCTTAACTAGCTAAAACTTTGCAACACATTCTTGTGCTCCTCGTTACTTTGTTTTTCTGCTTTTGAATCGGTATAAACACAGTTGTAAAATCGTTATACTCAAATAAACACAATGATTTATCGTACTACATCTCATACGATGACTAAGTTAATTTTAGTGATAGATGATTCATGATTTATTTCATGTAAATTTTTGAATGTTTCGATATCAGAGAATCGTGCCCATTAGTAATAGATTTTAATTTCAACTAAAATCAATATTTATTTGTTTTAGTGTGTTGATCTTCATCATCATATGATATTTGTGTGTTAATCGAAATGTGCGTTTTGTCGTTTCTAATATTTTCTACAGAATATCTGGCAGGCGTATTTACCATTACTCGAAAACATCAATCAGGAGAAAAACTGCATAGGCTTGTGATGTCACAAGAGATTTCTTCACTAATTACTATTGTTACAGCGCTTTTCTCACCGGTTAGCCGTTATTCGATAGTTTAGTAACTAGTTGATCGGTGAAAAACTTTTGATATTATTACAGTTCTCAAATAAGTTTATCCCGAAAAATAATGTAAGATTTTTCTGAGATTTTCAACATATTCAAGCAAAAGAGTGCTACATGAGCAGGTCAACATCATAAGCGTCCGTCCGACAGTGACTGATTATTTCTTTTGTACTTTTCGTATGAATGTTTCCTTCAGGATACACTTCAACGTGATAATCTTATTTTATTTTCTGTTTTGAAAAAAAAGGAAGTAATAAATAAATATCATTACTAATCGAACTACGAAATAACAAATCACCCAGCTGAGATTTTAACAAAACCTTCAATCCTTGATGAATACATCGTCTCGATCTAATCCAACCTTGATATAAAGCGATAGTATCTAATGGTGTTTTCATGCGAAATCTAGGTTGACAATTGATGTTTTTGTTTTTTATTTTAATTCTAAACTTGTTTTTATCTTCATTCAATCAAAAGGCTATCAACTGATCTCACTTATAAATAACATCTGATTATGGCATAACTAGACTCTCTAGCAGTTTTAAGTCATCTTTGTTTTTGTCACAATATGCCAGTCAGTTGAAATATATGCAAAATATACTAATTCTTTTCATGTACTAGAAAAACATTGACTAATCTCTTACTTTCATCACACAAGCTAAAAATTGAAGAAGAAGAAAAAAAACTTCTCGTTTTTCAATGCAACATTCATATATTTTTCAAAAATGTATTTTCTGTTTTTTTCCTTTTTGAATATTTCTTCTGAAAAAATATCGATGACAATATTCATTGAGTTGTCATACGATCAATAGAGAAATCGAATGTAATATGGAATTCTATTGTATTGTTGACTTCATATTTATCGAAAACCATTTGATCGCTTCATTTCATTGTAAAACTACATTAATAACATTACCATCGGTAAGTAAAAATAGTCGAATATGAAAGGTATTACTAAGAGTACTGACAACACGAAAAGAGATCCATTTTCTTTTTGATTACTTTTTGATTCTTTGCTTTTACGTATAAAATAGCGCTTTGCTACCTGATATTAATCTATTCAATGGATAGGATGATTCATTTTACTGCGCAGACATTTAATAGACCATGCAAAAACAAAATATATAGGATACGAAGTGTATTTTTGTGGATGAGAAAGAAATTGTGGTAAAGCAGTTAAAAATAAGTTATCATTGTCATCAACATAGCATATATCATTTCATTGGATTCTTTATACTGACATGCCACATGCATATCATTTGTTTTCGAAAGTTAGTATTACTGTTGTTGTTGTTGTTGTTATTGTTGTTAAGCTGATAAGACCATTAGTCTCATAGAGAAAGATATTTTTGTTCATTCAAAATGTATGAATATAGCAGAACTCGTTTTTTTTAATGTTATAGCGTAGAAAAAAGTAGGAAGGGAATCAATGACTGTTGATTCTTTCTGAAAATGATGTCAACATTTTATTTCACTATTTTTAGAAAGAAAGAAGAAGCAAGAGAGTAAACTGCTTGAGACAATCAATCAAGCGTGTAAATATTTTGCAAAAATCGATTTCTTCTTCTTTTCGTTTTCTATTTTTTGTATACAGTATTGAATAGTACGACAAAAACAAAGTGAATGTGGTATTGCCATAAATTAGTTGTATAGTACGGATCATAATCATTCTATCATGAAGGCCATTTATATTATCAGTAGGTTTTTTTATTTGACTTTCTTTGCTTTTTCATTTATGCACATCTATATTGCCGTTGTTATTTTTATGGTTACATGCGTCTTTTTCGTTTTTTCTATTAACATGATTTCACATTTTCCCCCGTCGATACTTGCCTGTGCAGCTGCAGACACGAAAAAGCAAATACATGCCGCCGTGTTTTAGTGTGCGGAGAATAAAAAAGCCGCATGTTCGCTTCATTCGTAGGAAAGCGAAGAGCGCTGATGATGATTGTGTCCATGAAAACACAACACATATGAATACTCTTATAGGCAGTTGAGAATAAGAATAACAATCACAAGTAAGTAAGAGAACGTCTTTGTTCTCTCATCATACAAAAAAGCATCCTGAAATAAGCGCACACCAATTGCAAATCATGCATGCTAGATAAATTATGCGAATAATACCCGAATTTTACGCTTATAATTATTGTTGTGCGAATAGATTAATACTATCCTATAAATTTTGAATTTTCGAAAGTAATCGAATTCATAAAACATTAATTAATATGTTTTTTATTTTGACTTTTACTCATTGTGTGCTGCCACAACACAATAGCTATCATTGATGACAACATCCGATAGAACGATAATAGTATTGCCTATGATGATAACGTGCACACGAAAGATGATTAAATAGAATCAAGCGTATGACCTTATATTGTATATGTTTTAGCTAGGCAATACTTTGCATTGATATTATGAATATTTTTGTAAGCGAATCATCATGTATACAAATGACTCTCTTCATTCTTTATATGCGTCTCTAACTTCGCCAGGGCATTGTGCTGTTTTTTAAACGTATTTTATTAATGCTGCTGCATAGGCTTGCATCAGCTGCTATCAGTATATATATATATATATAACTTTGTGGTAAACATGTTTCTTTTGTATGATTGTTTTTTAGATAATGCATCGTCGTATTTATTGCGTTTCGATATGTGTTTTTTTATTCATTGCACATCTCGGATTATGTTCCGATGATACAACTGCTATTATTTCAATATCTGAGGAGTATAATAATGATCTCAATTCAGAAGAACATGCACATCCAATGCCCCCAATACCAGCACCAATTGAAGCGACAACAATAATAGATTCAGTTGCTGAGAACGTACCTGAAAATATTATTGTAAATGTCACAGACTCGACAACTACACTTACAACAGTGATGATAATTAATGAAAAACGGGAGAAACAATTTCGTACCGATGTATGTCATCATGTTTAGCTTTTTTTAAAATTTTTAGGATCAAGGAGTAAATGATTATTTTCAGTTCTACACAAATATTGATTCATTTGAATAGCTATATGCTATAGAAAAAAAAGGAATTCAACAACTTTATCAAAACTTGTTGACAGGCAGGCTTAATTGAATGTATACAATTATGATAACAGTGACACGTTAAAATGTATCAAAAAGCTCGATTATTTGTAATTAAATACATGAGTTTTTTTCCTTGATCCTATGTTCTTATCATTTGAAAAGAAACAAAAATAAAAACAAAAACAAAAACAAAAACAAAAACGACCTTTCCCTTCATTTTTTTTCTTTAGTACTCGTTAAATGGCAATCTATCGTCATCATCCTTATCTGATATGATCCTAAATAGTTATATAAATGATTTAATTACACTTGTTTTTAAAGAACATGAAATTCTATTAGTTAATAAAACTGATGGAACAATTAAACATGTTTTTCAATATGCGCACATTGTTCCAACCAATCAAGAAATACATCCATCAAATGTCAGTATTCAATTAATATGTTTATAATTAATTACTTTTTTAAATAGTTTCTTGTTATTTTCGATGAAAATACTCAAACACTTTGGACTTTCAATTCTACTCATCAACAAAATACAATCATATCATTTAAACCGAAACAAATCCATATATTTCCAGAAGGAAATAATTCGTGGATTGCTGAAACATCGGATGAAGTTGATGTAAGAATGTTTGGTTTCTTTTGTTTAATCATATTTTATATTATCTCTATATCATAGTTATACATTAGCCAAGATTTCGGTATTGCATGGAAAGCAATCAATTCTAGTAGTAGTTCTGCAGTACTTGGCTGGTATGTTTTTGTTTGGTCAACGCCCTCATATGACCTCATACATATGTTAAGTTACTTTTACTTTCATCTAGGGCAAACAAAGCAAATGCCGTTGTTATTGTTCAACATTCACGTTACATAAAATTACTTGATGTAACAACACATCAAATAACACCGATTTTGAATGATGTATCATCGGCGAAACTTTTCTCGCGTTATCTACTTGCAAAAACAACAGACGTAAATGATACATGAAATATGCTTTTTTTAAAATTTCATATAAGATGTCAATCAAATATTTTATTTAGGGTTCAAGTGTAATTAGCCATGTGAACAATTTAGCTGAGGAAGGTTTTCGATCGTTACCCAAACGATTACAATCTCAAGGCAATGTATGAATTAGTTTTTTTTTTTATTTTTGTTCAAAAAATCTATACGAAAGAAATCTTCGCAAATGATTTATTTTCTTTTTCAAAAATATTCAACATTAGGCAATCGTAATGTTGCAGAAATCTCATTCAGTTTTTTTGAAAATAGAATATCTCAACACTCCATGAATCATTTTTATCATTGAAACTATTAGAACTTCGTAAAATCGATCGAGAAGAACTTTAATTTTAATTTTACAAATTGGAACCCGCAGATTTCAAAACTAGAGCAAATCAGTAGAGAAGGATTAGAAATTCGAAATATTTTTGATTCTTTTTTAACCTTGAAATTCATTATCGAAGCCAAAAATTTGTTTGAAATTCGTAAATCATTGCAAGCAATGTTTTTTTATTATTATAATTCACTTTCGGTTTTAGTTTTATTGTGCTATTGAAGATGTCAATACTCAAGATTTATTACTTTTATTTATTACTGATAACAAGTTACAAGAAAATAATGAAACAAGAGTACCAACAACATGTAAGCTTATGGGCTATTCAAAACAAAATCTATTCAACTTGCCAAATATTAATTGTGAATCAATAAACATTGACAATTCATATAATACGATCGAGTAAATTAATATAAGCATAAATCATAGAAATTTAAAACTGTTTTTTGCTTAGATGCTCAACAAAACAAATACCATTTTATCAGGTGCGTGGGTTACTGAAAACTGTTTTCTTAGCAAATGTTGGACCCGAAGCAACTACAATGGTTTCATTTGATGATGGAGTTACGTGGAATAAAACGCATTATGAATGTGATAAGGTATGTCAAAAAGTAGCTTATATTTTCAAAAAGAGCCTATTTAATATTAGATGATGAGTTGTCCGGAAAATGCATCAATTCTAATAAGCTCATTAATATCTTCAAATGATGCACCAGGAATTCTTGTCGGAAAAGGTAAAATAAATGTCAATTTGAATGATTATGCTTTTATTTGTTTATTTACGTTTTTTGAAGCTTTCGATGGTATCAGTGAATATGTAGCAATCTCATCCAATGGCGGGCGATTATGGCACTTAGTAAATTTTCTTTATTAAAGTTTTCTATGCTGATCTATTTCGAAGTTTCTTTAGAGTTTCAAAGGTCATGACTATTTAACTGCTATATCAAATCCAAATGCTCTTATTGTCACTATACCAAAAACAAACCATTCATCGTTGGATCATTCTTTTCGGTAGGAAGAGGATTATTATTATTATAAAAGAAATTTAAGAATTCTATTTATTTCTACTTACGATTTGTTAAGATATTCAACTGATTATGGTCGTAATTGGCATCATGGAAAAATCTCAAATGATACCTCTTCTCAAATATTATCTCTTATTGCTGATAAAAATAATATGTTTTATATTTTATCATTAAATACCAAAAAGAAATTGAATTTAATTCAACTCGATTTTAATCTTCTTATTGGTTAGTAATACAGATTTTTTTTCATTACTCTCAACTATAAAAGGAAATTATTTTCTAGCTGAAAAATGTGCTCATCATCAATTAAAACAATGGTCTCTACATGGTATTTGTATAAATGGTTCGAAATTCTATTATAGACGGCGTACATCTGGTTCACATTGTCTTGATGATGCATCACAAGTTCAAACTGAATCATGTTCATGTTTATTAACTGATTTTGAATGTTCACCTGGTTATCGACGTTCAAAAGATGGAATATGTTTACCAAAATCTCATTATATCTTAACGCAAGATTGTTCTTGTCATGACAATAATACTCTTGTAACAAAACGTCGTGGTTATGTTAAACCAGAAAATAATCATTGTAATAATGGTATTGAAGATTATCTATCCGATGCTTTTATAACACGTCGCGATCCAAATCAACCGAATTTTTTTGTTTATGGTACAAACTCACGTACAAACCGTACAATCGCTGAAATACATTCAAATGATTTTGACCAAGAACAAGATGATGATGAAGACGACGAAGACGATGAAGTTTTAACAAAAAATGCTAATTGGTCTGTCGAGGAAGCATATGAAATAACAGCACTTGTTTTTGATGAAAATAGTAAACAAGTCTATATGGCTGTTGAACATGATCAATCATCAATTATATATCGCATAGGAGTAAGTGACAATTGTCTGAATATGATTTTCATCAAACCATTTTTGCTTTCATAGAAAAATCTTCGTCAAAAAACTCGTACTAATAAAAAATTAACATTTGATTCAAATAATGAATTGTATAAAGGTGTCGATGAACGTATTGAATATTTAACTATTGACGGTTTAACACAGAATCTATATATTCTTATTCGTAATAAAAAGACGCTTCAACAAAAAATTAGTATTCTGAATATTCGAACACATAAAAAACGCACAATTGTTAAAAATCAACATATTCAACCGTCGATACTTATTGTTGATCCAATAAAAACAAATCTTTATTGGATTTCGCATGACTCACCATCGAAATTGAATATAGGAAATCTTCAAGGACAAATTAAAAAACAAATTCAATTATTATCAACAGATTCAAATATAAGTTATATGTCATATGATCCAATAACACATGCAATCGTATTTGTTAGTCAGTCAACTATCTATGGATTAAATACACTTGACTATCATAATAAAAATCATTTATCATCAAGAATCATCTATGAACATTCGTCAATCATTCAAAATGCTTTATTTATTCATCCAATTCTTTATTTTACACAGGAAAATAATGATTCTGAAGCATCACCGGTTCGTTTACATTCTATTGATATATTAGCAAAAAGTTATGCGAAAAATATGGCGAAGTTTAAAAATGTCAATTCATTAAAATTATTCGTTGATATGGCTCCCATTTTACCATTAGGTTCAAGTAATGATTTCTATTTAATAGTTTATATAAATATATACGATTGTCTGTTTAGCATCAATAACGAATCCATGTATAAATAGTCCTTGTTCTGATTTATGTATTCCACTCGAACATGGACGATTTCGTTGTCTATGTAACGATGATGCACGGTAAGAAGAATATTATTAGATAAACTAAATTTTTATCAATCATTCAATTGGAAAGAAAATTCATATTAGAAGTCTCGTGAAAGGTCATCTATATGAATAGATTTTTTAATTTTGAAGTATTTGACTATTCTGAAGTCTATATAGCAATCTTATAATTTTTATCGAAATTGAAGTCATTTAGTCGATAATGATCAATCAGTTTTCTTTTCTTTAATGTATAGTTATCAATCATGCTCGTGTCCAAGTGATGAAAAATTCATTGCAGGTGCTTGTCAAGCTAGTAAGCATGAATTTATATTTGTTTTGGAAATATCAAGCATTTCTTTGCGACTTAGAAAATGAGCAATGCGCACCTGGTCGAGTTCTCTGTCAAAACCGTATACATTGTGCTGAATCAGCTCGAATCTGTGAACAAGATCATACACAATATACAGAAGCATTCAAAGCTACAGCACGTTGTACAATTGATAAACCAAATGATGGTTTTGATTGCCATTATACAGGTATTGAGATAAATAATTCGAATCGTACATGTATACCAATTGAATGGCTTTGCGATGGTGCTTATGATTGTCCGTATGGTAACGATGAAGATCATTGTCATAAAATGACAACAACAATGAAACCAGCGATGAGAATACCAAGTCGATGTTTAACTGACAAGAAATGTAAGTTAACAAGAGACAAAGTTCGTTTTTGTTCTTTCTCATCTACGTATTCTTCTGTTTTTTATCTAGTTACTCATGTAATGTGTGATCATAAATGTATAAAAATTAATGATCTTTGTCAAAATGTATCCAATGGATTATTATGTTCGGATCAATTTCATCTCAATTGTAAACAAACACAAGAGAAAAACGAAGTAATTATTAAATAATCATGTAAACAAAAAGATAAAATTGTATCATTGTTTGTAGTATGTTTGTAAATGTTCTGATGATCGAAATCATTGTATCGGAATGATTGAACATTGTGATGAATACGAACATTGTGAACGAATATGTAAAGATTCAATTCATTATGGTAAATTAAAAATCGTTCATAATTAAATTTTGAGGGAAAATACTTTTTTCTAAATTTTTATTACAGCTACTTCAAAATTAAATAAATTTGATGAACCATCGTCAATAGTATGGATGATACTTATTATTATCATTCTTATGGTTCTTGTCATCGCCATTGTTCTCATTACTCTTCGCTATTTGAGTCGACGAAAAAATTCAAAAAAGAATCCAACACAAACACGTATGTTATGAAAAAAAAGAATAAAATCATCTGCATTTGACTTTAGGTACTCGAACAGAACCAGCAACAACAACAAATCATACTTCATCAAACGATGCTCATGAACAGTTACTCAGCCAAGCTCATACAACCAACAAAACAAGCTAAACCATTCTCTTTTTACTTTCGTTTAATTTACAAGATTAGTTTTCATGGTTTTTTTTCTCTTCGTACATTCATATCTTTACCTCATTTATTTTACGTTGTTCATCTGTCTTAAACAGGTGCAACGCAACAGTCATTTGTCGTTTTTTCTTTGTCTCTCGTTTTTTTTATATTTCCACACATGTGAAAGTACTGTGCCACAGGTTGAAGATTATGATCATGAGAAATTTCTGTCTTCTACAGCATATATGGGTTTTGTTTGTCTATTAGGTAAAATAAATAGAAGAAAGAAAACATAAATAGAAATACTATTAAATTTAATCCTATTATTATGAAAACATCGATATAATAATTGATCGTGTATATGCTTTTGTTTCTTTCTTTTGTTTCTTTCTTTTAACCTACGAAACACGAAAAGGAAAATTCAAGTAGTAGTAGTTACACAGATCTGCAGTTTTGTCTTCATGATACTTCGTAACAGACATAGAAATAAAAAGCACGAACAAAATTTAAAAAAACGGATGTGAAAAGAAAAAAAGTGGCACACACACACGCACATATAGAAATCGAATTTGTTTTTAAAGATTTTTTTCTCGTTGTTTTTAACAGAAAAACATACAACGTGCATAGGCGCAAGAGCAGATATACTTTTAAATAAGTAAAAACAAAAATATATACGAATCATTGCGCGATTTCTTTCTGGTTTTGTCGTTTCGCAATCTATTTTCGAAAGAATATTATGTACAAAAAGAAAAACGACAGAGACATCAAGAAACTGAACAATCAAAAACAAAAAACCGAATAAGAATTTAAAATATATGTTGGAACATGATTTATTTGTCTAAGTTTTAGTCGCTTTCACTTATTTCACCTTCTTCATCTTCATCGTCTTGAGAATTCGTGGGTTTGGTTTCATTCGAATAATTTGTTGCTAGTGATCGTTTATCGTGAGTAGATAATGAATCTTCATTAACATCACTACTATTCGATATTTCACTTAATTGAGCCAATAATTTATCGCGTTTTACGAATAATTGGTCCATATCTTGAGGATCTATAACAAAATTGAAATAGTATAATTTTGCTTTTGATCTAAACTTATTGAACTTACCGGAATATTTGGTAATGGGTTTTGTTGGATTATTTATCTTTTTTTTACCGTTTGCTTCTGTTTGTTGTAATCCTCCACCTCGTCGATTATTATTCATATTTGCCGATGCCATTGTGGTATCACGTTTTGGTCGTCGAATAGAAAGACGTTCTTCGGATTCGTACTTGTATTGATTATAATTCGAATTTGGTAGATGAGGTCCAACGTTTCCCATTGCCATTGAATGCGGTTGCAAGTCATATGGTGGCCTCGTAGGTGGTGGATATCGATTGATAGGATGGTGATGACTGCGTGATGCTGATTGCATTAACGGTTGAAGTGGCGCTGGTGGATAGTAAGACGGTTGCATAAGTGGTGGATGATGATGTTGTTGATGATTATGTAGAAAATTGAATCGACCACCACCATTTGGCGGTTCAACTGGATGCATCATTGTTCGATTCGATGGTGGATAATAGGGATGATTTGGTAAGAGTGGTGGTACCGGTTGTTGATGCCCATAAGGTGGCTGTTGTTGTTGTGGAGGTAGAGATTGTGGTGGTCCTGGAAGTAAACCACCAGATTGTCTTGTTGGTGGCCAATGTGATTGATGATGAGAATGAGGATAATGATGATGTGATTGATAATGCATTGGAGCTGATGGATAATTATTATTATTGTTATTGTTGTTGTTATTATTATTATTATTATTGTTGTTATTATTATTATTAATATTATTATTATTATTGTTGTTTTCACTAAAGCCGTTATCATCATCATCAGCAGCAGCGAAACTCTTTGAACGACGTCGTTGATGATATTTATTTGAATATCGTCTCGATGATCGACGTCGACTGCCTCGTTTACGTGATGATGACGAAGATAATGATGAAGACGACCGAGACCGAGATCGAGAACGGGACCGAGAATGAGAACGTGTGCATGAACGCGACCTTGACCGTGATCTTGATCTTGATCGCGAACGAGATAATGAACGACTAGGTGTAAGTACAGGCAATTTTGAGGCAGACGATGGATTTATCGCATTTTTTAATTCATCAATTAATGTCATTGAAGTTGCTTTTAAGGGTCGATTTTTAGACGCTAAGATCTTGCTTGTATCAATCAACGAAGCTGTTGTTAAATCAGCGATATTGGCATCAACTAAAACAAAGATATCGATTCGCTCATTTCTATTTTACATACAAAAGAAAATAGTTTCAATAAAAATTTTTCGATCGAAATAAATCTAGTTCTAGTGTTTAAAAAGTGGATTGGTGAAAGTTGAGCACGGAAAGATAGAAACTGGAATTATAAGCACCGATAAAATGAGCATAGGAAAAATAAGCACGAAAGAAAAAAAACTTCAAAAAAGTAATGAATAAACATAAACCAATTTAGGTTAATTAGATCATATATAACATAACAACATAAGCATAATAAGTACGAATTCTGTACAATAGTCTAATTATTCACACTAGACGAATATAGAGAACGTAATTAATTGTGCTTTTGGGTGCGTGGTTGTTACTCTTATTTTACCGTTTAGTGATACCCACACCCACACTCTGTCATAGACTGTAAATAAATTTATTGTGTCAGTCAATACACTGTATCTGTATGAGTTTTGTTTTTTTCGTGCTTAACTTTCCTGTGCTCATCTTTCCGGTTCTCTTAAAAAGTACGTTAACAAACCTGCTCCATTACTGCCACTTTTACTGTTACTGGGTTCGACAATGGTATGATTTTGATCACTACTTTCAGATTGCGTTCGATGTTTTGGACTATCGAGTTCCATTGCTACACATTCGAAATCATCCACAGATGCTGATGGTTCTATCATATTCGTTGCATATGTTTCAACATTTGAAGCAAGACCTAACGACGCTTTTTTTTGACGTTTTAATAATTGTTCAGTGCGGCTATCAGTTGGAAGAGGTGGTGTTATTGAACGTGGTTCATCTATTTTCGATAGTTCTTCATCAACAGCTCGCATATTTTGATGAAAGAATCGTCGAGCGTTTGAATCATCTTCTAATTCTTCATCTGACGATGCCGAATCCCAAATATTATCAGGTTTATTGATTTTCCAAGAATCTTGAAATTCATTAGAAGTGATTGGTAATGACACTACTGACTGCGAATGTGGTAGAGTTGATGAACAACTTGGTCTTGAAATAGGGCCGCTACCAGGTGGTGTCGAAAATGTTTTTCTAGAAAATGATTGTAAAACATCATTAGTTGATCCTAGAAGATTAGATTGACTGGGACGAGAATCAATAAATGATTTTGTTGATGAAGATATAGATCGAGATGATAGTGATGGTGGTGGTGGTGCTAATGGCAATGATGGCGGTGATGGTGGTGGATACAACGTTGATGATGGGTCCTAAAAATTGAATTAGAAATATAAAATTTTTGTTTAACTTATTTTAAGAAGACGATTATTTACCGGTGAAAGAGGTGATTGTGATTGTGAATGTTCAATACCAATTGAGACGGCACGAGGAAAATTTGAAGTTGAACGTATGTCATTATCAAGTAATGGTGGATAACGTTGATTAGATACTGATATTTGTTTTCCGACAATATTATCATCAAGACGTATAGGTGATAGTGGTGCGAATGAATCTACATTGTCCATCAGATGTGTTGGTGCAGATCGATTTGGATGTGATGGTGAGCGACGTTTTGCAGGCGATTTGTGCATATTAGAAAGGTTCTTTTCTGACAAATTCGAAGCGTTGTTGTTATTAGTCAATGTATTTCCAGGCGCAAGAATATCAGACTTTTGATCAGTAAGACTTTTTGATGACATTGTTTTTTCTATAGATTTTTGTTTATTAGCTGGATTTAATTTTGGTATTTTTCCAAGTGTGACAGGTGATGGTTTGGCTGAATTTGACTCAGTTGATGGTTTAGTAGTTGCTGCTGCTGCTGCTGAATTCAGAGTATCTGACGATTTTTTCTCTGTTACTTTTGACGATGATGTGACTGAAGAAGGTCGAACAGGCTGTTTTTCACTGTTGTTATTATTTAACGGTAATTTATTTGTTGTCATCTTTATTGGTTTCTTTGGTGAAACAGTCGGAGTTAGTTTTTTTGTGGTAATCACTGTTTCTTTTTGTATAGGTATCGGTATGGGTCTGAAGAAGAGAAATTAATTTGTAAAAAAGAAAAGTAAATTAAATATTTCAGTAATACTTTTTTATTGGTTTCTGTTCGACAAGCTTATTAGTTTTAATATTAGTACTCGGTATATTATTCTTTTTTATTTGTGTTGATGATGGTACTTGCTTTAATCGTACATTTACTTTTGATTGATCATTGATATTTTGAGATTGTCTATTAGTTGATACAATAGCATCAGTAGATGTAGTAGGTTTCCCTAAGATGATTGCAATTATGAACGATAGGTTATAAACAAAATAAACTTACTGGTAGCATCTTCATTAGTCGATAACGAAGGTAATGCCGTTTGACTTGTAGTATCACTAAAAAGAATTATAAAAAAAAGTATAATTTCTCAATATGAATTAATAAGATGTAGCTAACTACTTTGTTTGATTTTGGTCTATGGATATTGCACAAGAGCTATTTGAGGGCACAGATGTTTTATAAGAGTTTAATTTTTTTGTTGCTGTCGTTCGTTCCGGGATAGATTCTTCGATAGTAACAGATTTTTCCTGAATGTGTTCTTCACTGAATAAACAAGTCGAACTTTTTGTTGCCATTGTTGATATATCAACAGATGTTTCATGAATAGTTTCATTACCACTTTCATTAAAGAATTGATTTGACTTTGGCATAACAGTTATTGTTGCTTTAATTGGTGATTGAACAGATAGTGCTGGTTCTGATTCAGGTATAGGCGAATAATCGAGTGATGAAGAATTTGATTGTTGATCATCACCTGTTTCATCATCATAAATATCTTGTCGAATACGATAATTTGAACTATCTTGAACCAATGGTGGAACTGTTGCTACAATTAATGGTTCATCTTGATCATCACTACTATGTGTTTGTTCGTCTTCTTCGTTATTAATTGGACAAGTGGGTGATGCTCGATATTGACCATCGATTTTTTGAATTTTTGTTTTTATTAATGATGTATGACCATCAGTATCTGATTTTGAATGACGATGAGAAGAGATTGAACGTTTACGTAATCGGTTTGTTAATGTTATTGTTGTTGTTGAACCTTCGTCCATTGGAATGTTTTTTATCGGTTAACAATACGTACTAAATTGGAAAAAAATGTCCATGATGAACTGTTTCAAAAAGAATTAAAAAAGCTAAGTACCATTTAGACATTGAAACTGAATAAAATAAAAAGAATAATTTTTGCTTTCGTGATATGAAGAGTATTTAATAATCTGAAAAATAATTTCGCTACTAATATTTATCTTTTTGAAATAAAAATTGAAAGAAAATAAATCTGACGAAACAAAAGGAAAAAATAATTTAAACAGTTAATGGCTGTCTTTTAAATGCTAATTCAATCATTGTTTGAGTTTGTATCCATAAATCTTGCGTTAACTGTGTATTATAAACAAATGATGATGGAGAACCTTCATAGCAATTGTTATAATAAATAGTTGGTTCGTTTAAAACAGATTTCATTATAGAACAAAATACTGGTGTTGCTGCAGCTTGTTGCTGTTCGAATGAGAAAAACATGATTAGTTGTAGTGTGATATTTTTTTAAATTTTTTACCAAAGATTTCGAAAAAGGACGCGCAATTGTAACAAAAAATCGATATAAATAGGAATTACGAGTTAAATCAGAATTGATTGCATTACCAGGATGACAAGCAACCGAATAAATTTCTACAATATGTAACAATTATATTACTATGAAATATATTTTGCAATACAACAAACGTGGATAATTTCGTCGAAATTCAGCAATAAACATAATTAAGCAAAGTTTCGATTGACCATAAGCAAGTAAATTATCAAAATGATGTGGTGAACGCGGACTTAGTCGATCCAATATAATACCGTTGAGCATTGAAATACCTGGACTTCTAATTGCATGGAATCAATGAGTAAACTGTTTAATAAAAAAAAACAAATTTAATTATTTACTCTACGCGGTGCGATTCACAACTAATAGCAATAACACGAGGTGGACTATCACTTTTTGTGGTTATCATCGAGGTAAGTAATCCAACTGTCAAATAGGCTTGTGCCATATAATTAACTTGAAACATTTCTTCATAACCATTTTCAGTTAGTTTAAATCTTGTATTTAAAACGCCAGCATTTAATATAAGCAGATGCAATGGCCTAGAAAATAAATTCTATTAAGAACTAATAATGGTAGTGAAATAGTAACAAGAATAAAGAAATGCAAATATCAATTATGTTAATTGTCTATACTATGTTGAATAACACTTACAAAGATTCTTGTCGATATTGTTCAGCAAATTGTTTAACATTACGTAATGAACATAGATCTAATTTTCGACAACTGACATTTGCATTTTCCTGAAATATTTCAATTATTTTCAAATATACATTCTTAACAAAGATATAGAAGTAATTACCTGCTCTTTAATAATTTTTGCACAAGCAGCTTCACCCTTCGCCATGTTTCGACAAGCTAGTATAACTTGACAACCATGTTTTGCGAATGAACGTGCAATTTCAAAACCTATTCAAATATTCGACTATAATCATTTCGAAGGTCACATACGATATCTACCTATGCCAGTATTAGCACCAGTCACGATAGCTGTTTTATTAGTGAGATCCATTCCATAAAGAATTTGCAATGCATTTGATTGATGTCCGAAATTTGAACTAGAATCTTTTGTTACTGGATTCTTCGTATATGCCAGACGAGGATCTCCAGTGGTAATAATTTTATGTTGTTCACTAAATATAGAAATGATATTCACGTCTCTATGAATTTGTGGGAAATCTTCCAAGTATTTGTAAGAAACAATATTACACTCTTTATCATTGCTAGTCGAATACTAACTATTGTTTTTAATGGGAAATTGAATAATCAAAAGGACTTGGAGTCTTCTGATTTTCAAGTCAATAATTATAAGAAATGATTAAACATACTCGATATATAGAACTGTTCCATCTTTTTCAATTACTTCTTTCCAACCAAATGGTAAATCTAATAAACGAAACAAAACAAAAAAGATAAACGAAACATTTGAGATTTTCCCTATCTACCTGGTGGTATAATTTTAATTTTTTTTGTAATAGGATGTTCCCATTGTGTGTTTTTTATTTGATGATCAATATAAAATATTCGTCCATCATGTGTCTTACCCATTTCCCAATTACTTGAAAGTTCATCGTCAGATTCATCGTTCATTCTATTAGCTTATCTAAAAACAAACCAACAAACAAACGTTCTTATTTTGATCGGTACTAAAAAGAGAGAAAACATCACACAACGATAACAAGCAGAGAAAAGTGATCATTTCAAAAGTCAAATAATAGGTTTCTATTTTATTTTAATTTTCTTTATCAACTAAAACGCCTGAATCTTGTGGTTCCTTCTTTGTTGCTCCCGAATCAGCAGCGTTGCCAGCAGATTGTGAACCTTGCTGCTGTTGTGTTGGTCGTTCATAAGAAAAGTGAATATCATACTTTTGTTTATAAGCAGTTAATTCTTTTGCTTTTTCTTCAGTCTTTTGTTTAAAACTTTCAATAACATTATTTATTTGTTCACGATTTCCTTGAAGTGCTGGTACAACTTCTCCAACTGTATGTTCAATAAGAACACCACCAATCATACGATAGCAACGACGTTGTTTATCCGTTATTGTCGATAATGTGGAAAGAACAAGATCATGCTCTTTTAAATCCGTTTCTAAATCTTGAGTTTTTTGTACTAATTGTGTTTGTTCATCACGTAAAGCTTGAAAACCCGACACAATTTTTTGTTGTTCTTCAGCAGTTAAAGCTGGTTTTTTTCCAGATGATGCAGTAGTTTTACTCGACATCTAGAATATAATTTAGAGTATAATCTTACTTATACATATTTTTAGCAGTTTAAATTTGGAAATCAGAAATTTATATTATCTTCTTAGAAGAAATAAATCTGCAAATGCCAATAAATATTACGAATACTGACGTTAGTGGATCATTGATGACATCATACCCGTGAAAAGAAAAAATTAAGAGACAAACAAACAAGAAGAAACAAACACATATGTAAAGTACCAATGAAAAATGATATGACAACCTCTAAAACTATTATTTTTATGTAGTCGAGAATTAAAATTTTTTCTGACGAGCCAAATGATAATAAATATCAAAGAAGAAGATAATTTAGACAATGTAGATGTCACCAGTTGAAATGTGGCTGTAGTCAAGTGAACGATCGGATCGATGAAATTATGTGAACCAATAAAATAATTGCCATATAGCTAAAAGAACGATCAGTATCCCTGGATTAGTATCAAAAAGAAATGCCAGAGGATGATTTTGATAAATCATTTTCAAACTTAATCTCAAAATTAGGTAAAACGAAAATGAAAATGAACTATTTTTCATCTTGATTTTTTACGTAGGTCATCCCGTTGAAGAAATTCGACTACGTGCACTAGAAAGTCTTCAAGCTAAACTTGATTTAAAAATCATTGCTGATGTCGACATACTTCAATATAAATATTTATATATTAAATTACTTGAATGGTTCAATTTTCCGTCGCCACCAAAACGAGAGGTTGTTCTCGATATAATTTTAAAACTTTCTAAAGTATGTCCTTTTCTCTAGTACTATTATGAAATGAATATGAAATCTTGCTTTTTTTTATTTCTCAATTAAGAATGAATCAGCAGCATATAATCTTCATTCAGTTGGTGCTGTTGATTTTTTTAATTCACTCCGAGTTGATTTAACACCTGAACTCGAGCGTCGTGTTGATCAAATTCTTGAAAATATTCTTGCACAACATTCTATTACACAATCATCATCATCATCAAATCTTAGTCGATCGAACTCAAGTATGAATTTTTCTAGTCATTTTTTTCTTCATGATATGAAGGCGAGGATTTTAAATCTTTTGATGTAGCATCATGCCAACTTGTTCGATCACATATTCAAGCAGAATCCAGAAATTCAACAATATTACAATCACCTATATTTAATTTCAGTCAACATCAACCTGAACTATCATTTCATAGACATGAATTCACTTCAACTGGATCTCAAAATGTATCAAATCAATCAGGAATGAAGGGAATACTAAAAACGACGGCCCCACCATCGATTTGTAATCTATTGTCAACATTTGATGGTAAAGATAAAAGAAATCATTTCATATTTTTAATTTAATTTTTTTCAGAAAGTCAAAATGGAACAACGTGCCAATTTATTACATTATTTCCATTCATTCATTTAACGCAATCAGATCGAACTGTTCTGACAAATTTAGAAAAGTCAAATTTATTATCTTCATATTGCCTTATTTTACGTTGTTTTCTTTTAAAATTTTTAGTGCTCTGCTGTCACGAGATGATCCTTTAGTTGTTATTAGTCACTGTCATTTTTTATCGAATGTAGTTCTGAATGATTTTCCTGCAGAACTTTTCTTACAAAGATCATTTATCGTTAAGGTAAATTTTGATTCAATGATTTGATTATCATTATTATTATCTTTTATTTATAGCGTTTACTAGCTTTATTAAATGAAAATCATGATGATCTTATTAAAGCAGCACTTTCATGTTTAAAAGATTATGCAATTAATTTGCAACGACGAATTAAAATTCTTCGTGACCCTGCTTCTTTCTGTCCCAAATATAATTCAAATTCAGGTATTAGAAAAATATACAATTATAATTTTATTTTGAAATCTTTCAAATTTAGATGCTTTAAAAGAACAAATTCTTGATGATTTTAACAATACATTGACAAGTGCTCGATCTGTTTCATCAATCAGCTCAGCAACATCCAATGGTTATCGTAACCCATCACAATGGTAATATTCAATCATTTTCACTCTCTCGTACAATTCATCTTTGCTAGGTCTTTAAAATATGATGAATCTCCTCAAGTTGATCAACCATCATCATTTGATATACTGGATTTTTGTTATGCTCTATTAATCGGAACATTAGATTTATTACGTCGATTAACACTAAAAGATTGTCTTCATACATGTTTACAATTAAACAATTCTGTTTGCCATATTATTGATCTATTTGTTAAACATAACTATGGAACAATGAATGTATGAAAATAGAACACGAATATTCTTTCTTATAGATAATTTTCTTTCTTTTTTAGTTTGAATACTATTCCGTCTTATTCTATCGTTTACATTCATTAATTAAACAGCAATTAACAATAGGCTATACATTTCAAAGTCGAACAATCTATATTCATAGTTTACATGTTTTTTCAACTCTTTTACATACAATAGAATGGTCTGAGGAGGTAAGTTTTTTTTTCGTCAAATGAAAAAGTGTTTTTTGTTCGACGAAAATTTATTCTAATAGATAGTTAATCAATTACCGCAAGAATTTAATGAATTAGTTTATTATATTTTAATGGATGAATGTTTTAATTTATCTTATCCACATATACGAGAACGTTTATTATCTATAGCTGAAAAATTTGATAAAGATAATTATCAAGTTTATACGAAATCAAATGATATTTGTTGTTCATTTTCAGCTGCTTGCCAGATTTTAACCATGGATGAAAACAGAACTCAAGTAAATAATTAAATAAGAAAAGCAAATTGTTTGATTTATTTTCAATTTAGAATTATATGAATATAGTTAAATATGCTGATGAAGCTTTGTTAGGTTTACCTTATCACTTAAATTTTAATGTTGTTAAACGATTTATGAATGTTTGTTCCAAAATGTAAGTAGAATCATTTTCACAGCGAAACAAAGTTGAATTTCTTTTTTCAATTTCAGTTCAACAAATAATTCGAAATGTGATTTATCTGAAAAGAATTTTTCGCTTGATGTTTTAATTAAATATATGACACATGAATCTGCTGAAATACGTTCTGCAGTTTATTGTTCTATAGCAATGCTCGTTGCAGTAAGAAAACTTATAAGAGTTTAGTTTTGATTGCTTCCTTGTCTTTCATAGAGTCGTTTGTCTGTTGAAGAAACAGTTAAAACAACCAATAAATTGAAGACAAATTCTACTTTAGCTGCAAATTTTGATGATACCCAATTTGTATGTAATGTTCGAATAATAACAGAATTATGTGTGAATGGCATCAATGATTTGGCATCAAAAGTAATTGATCGTGATTATATTTATATATAGACTTATATTTTTCTAAGGTGTCGGATTATTGTCGATTAGTTCTTCTTCATCTTCTTCAATCAAAATTATTAGTATCAAATGAATATTGGAGAAATTTCATGGCTAATATTGCAATACTTTTACCACAATTACAAGTAGAAAAATAATTTTCGTTTTATCGAAAAAGTCTTTCTTTTTATTTATTAGTGTTATGCAAATAAAATTGATCCACTTGGTCAATGTATTTTGGCGTTGACATCAGATACGGAACGAGAAAAAGAATCGTTACTAACATTAAATCAACGTATTCAAGCATCACTTCGATATTTATTTTCCAAAGATAAAGAGTAAGAATTACATAGAAAAGTAGAGCAATTTTTGATCATCTATATGAATTTAGTGTTCGAAAAACAGGTTATCGTCAATGTGTTGGCTATCTGCTAGCAAATACTCGTATAAGACTTGATGATTTTTATCAATTCTATCCAGCTGATAAATTATTTGATCTATTTGTTAATGCACAATCAATAAATAACGCAGAAATCTTAACAAAAGACTATGTTAATGTAATGTTCATGATAGAATTTATTGTTCTTTGTTTCTATAATTCTAGTTTTAGGTTGAAAGTTTTCTTCGTGTTTATACAATATTTACTGATCGCAATAAAATAGATGCAAGCGTTCGTAAATCAGCACTTGAACAAATGGCAATGATGTTAACTGATCCATCATTGCATTCATCATTTCTCAATCATGGAGGTTTGGAAAAAGTTCTCGAAGAATTAAGATTAAATCTAAAACGTGATGACATTGTTTGCTCAGTAAGAAAAAAAACAATACCGATCAATAAATCCAAAACTTTGCTCCCTTTTTTGTTTTTGCTAGACGGATTATACTTCAACTGTTCCAGCGTGTACAAAAATAATTCGATTATTAATACAATATAATAGAAATTTACAAAAGAAATTTTCATTAGATAATGAATTACTCAAGCTATTATTTAAAAGTATAAAATTGGCATATTTTCTTTTTCTTTGAATTTAAAAATTTATTTTAATAATATTTAGTAACTGTTTGTTGTCACAGTGATCTTGAAATTACTTCAAATCTAACTCATGCATTAGTATTACTACTTTTTGATCGAAGTCTACACATAACTTCATTATCGGATCAAGAATTTCAACAGCAAACATTTTCTATTGATTTTCTTTTGGCTAAAAAGTAAATGAATATTTTTTCGAAATAAATTTCATTGCCTTTTTATACTCGCAATAAATTAGTTTTCAATTTCCTATGCGTGTTCCAATTCAAACATCAACATCATCAATAGTAACCACAGCATTGAATCGTCCTGATCCATTAAGAGAACCGATTGTTCAACAAAAGTTCCGATTTGTTTGGAACACATTATGGCATGGCAATGTTCGACAACTAGATCAAGATATGGATACAAAATCATTTGATAATGATCAACAAGTCGAGTATGTTCTAGTTCACAATAAAGAATTTACTCTTGGTTTTTTTTTCTCATTAAAATGTCAGATTTCAAAGTAGTATGGTATTAAATGAAAATGATCGAAAGTGTTTTTCATTAACATATACACGACGAACAATTCGTCTTGAGTTGAATTTATTAAATGAATCAAATAATCACGAATCCGTTATTGAAACATTAAATGCAATAAGATGTCTTCTCTTACTTGTGACACATGATAATGTTCATTTAATCGATTTTAATCAATTAGGAGCAATACTTGATAAGTAAGGATTCATTGATTTTAAGATGAATTGAAGCAATTTTGAAAGATTTGTTAAGATATTTCAAAGTAGTTCCATCATCATGCCAAGATGAAAAACTTCTTCAATCAGTATTCGAACTTCTTGAACAAATCTCGTATGGTTTACATCTATCAATAAAAAATGATGATCATCAATTTTTTAATTGGTTTAAACATATTCTATTAAATCCTTTTATATCGTTGGTCGCTTCCAATAAAGATTTTGTTGAATTACGACAAACAAAAAGGTTTTTATTCAACTATTTTCATACTAAAATATATTTCGAATTTGTATTTTTAGAGATCTACTAAAAAAATTATTTCGATTTCTATCATCATTTTATTCTCACTCAAATGTATCATCGGAGTTTTTCACCGATAAACTTTTTGCAAATATTTTGAATTATGTTCGACAAAGTAGTAGCCATACATTTTCGAAATTAACATTGATAACTGGTGCAATGGATGTTTTACATCATATTACAACAAAGTAATGAGCTTTTAGATCGTTGATTTATTTATTTTTCTTTATCTTTTCGATTAGATCGAAATGGTTTGTCATATTTGATAATGAATATCTTCAACAAATGACGGATCTATTGATTGCTGTACGTAACTTTTAAGATTTAACAAAATTATTGGATATGTATAGAAACGATTGAACTCTAGATTACATATTTATATTTAGGTTATTGAAACGTTTCACGAAGGACGTAAAGAAGCATCATCAGGATTTATGGCTTATGCTTTAATACGATCATCGTCTCAAACTTTGTTAAATGTAATATTAGCAATGAAAAGTACAATCTCAACATCAAATCGTCGACAAGAAATGGTAAATACGCGACAAGTTTTTGTATGGTATTTGTTTGATTTTTGTTTTCTTAGTCTCTTTTACAAGAATGGCTTGAAGCAACTAGATCATCGTTTGATTGGTTGAGAAATTTATGGTCTTATAAAGATACTGAAATTCGTGTCACATCCTATGCATTAACAGCAGTTTTTATTACGGATGATTCTGGTCGTGATGTATTATTTTCATCACAGAATAGACTTGAAGAAGCACAACTATTGACGATTCTTGTTGATGAAGATGAATGTAGTTTAGTTAAAGAACAAGTTAGATATTGATTGAATTTTTGTTTTATTGTCATTTCTAAATTTGTATTTATCTTCATGTAGGTATGTAATGTACTAATTAATCTAACTTACACATTAATCGATGATGAAACTCAATTAGCAACTGGAGTAAGAATAGCATTTTTTGTTGTGATTTTATTACTTCTGTTTTTTTTCACTTTATTAGAATTCAATAGTTACACTTCCAGAATTAATATCGGCTATTAATGATTGTGATTTTATGCAACGTATTGGTTCAAGTGTTTTTTCAAATCTATATCCATTTGTTGCACTTGATTTGGATGCACTTCGAATGAATCAAACAACATCATCACCTGTTTCACCTCTATTTCTTGGAAATTTATGTTCATTTCTGTTTAATTTAAATATGCTTGGGGTTCATCATGATACATTGGAATTAATTACATTACTTCTTTCGTATTTTGAATAATTTCACTAAGATAAGATAAGATAAATTTGATTTGTTTTCTTTATATTTAGTTTTCTTGATGTTCGTCCATTGGAATCCGAAGTGAATCGAAATGTAACAACACATGAATATCATTTTTTTCTTGATAATATGTTTTATATGTATACAAAAATTGCTCAATATTTACGACTTACGTTTGAATCAAATCCCGATATGATTAATGAAGCATTTACCAATGAAAATTTAATTCAAATCATTTCTCTTCTTGCTTATTTTCCTGAAAATAATTATGATAGATCAGAAAATTTTTGGCAAACAAAAATCAATCTTGCTCATTTAATTATTCATATTTTACTTCAACAATGTCCAGTACTACATCAATTAACAAATAATACAATTGTTCACTTTGCATCAGAATTATTTAGTAAATTGTTCAAAAATTTAAATTAGTCATTTGTATTGCTTTTAATTTTCGTAGGTATTCTTACTCTACCATTACAAACCATGATCAATGGTTCGATTAGTGTTGCCATATCTATTTTACTACAATTATTATCATTGTCAATAGCACAATGTACACTCGATCAAGAAAAAGAAACATGGAAGAAATTTTTTGATCATTCAACCGATAAAAATGGAATCAAAATTTTAAATCAACTAGTTTTAATCTATGAAAATCGACTTAATACAGAATCGAATGATACATTGAAATTGACTGTATCAAATATGATTAAATCATTATTAAATATTAGTGTAACAGCTAAACAAGAAGCTATCGACAGTAAGAATTAAAATAGAATGATGCTCTCTGCTATGTATGTAATTTTATTTTATAGGCGGTTTTATTGAGTCTCAGATAGATCATCTTAAACGTATTCAAACAAAATTAACTCTATTTTCACTTCAATCAGATAAATGTGTGAGCAAAGTAAGCTTTTGTCATGGAATGAATTTTTTCTCATAATAGTTATTTATTTTAGGATGATGTACTAATTGATGAATGTGTTCAAGTTTTATCTATTCTTAACAATCTATCATTTGATTGTCCTTCTGCTAAAGTAATATTCTTAGTTAGTATTATCAAGTAATTTTTTTTCCGCAGGATATTCTTTCGTCAAGTGGTTTAATTCCATTTCTTCATCAACTTTGGTGTTGGGCTATCGTTGATATTCAATTATTAAATGTTCTTCTTCTTCTTCTAATAACACTAACTGCAAAACATCGAAAAGGTTCGTAAAATTTTCTTAAATTCATAAAAAAAAATCAATCGATATTTGTTTCTGATATTTATGTTTATCTTCAGGTTGTGTCAGTGTGTGTAGTACAGTTCTTCCATCGACAAATGCATTAGTTGTTCAAATACCTGATCAACAACGTCCACTGTCAAATTTACTTTCCTATATTCTTCGTCTTATAACAAAAGCATCATTATCAGCGGCAGCAAATAATAATACTACTTCAAGCAAAAATCAAACCATTGAAATGGCCTTCGACGTGTTACAGAATTGTTCACTTGAAATTGAAGGACGAAGTATTGTGTATAAATTAAATTTTTTTCAAATGTTTATTGATCATTTTGAACGTGTATCACGTGATATTAATCGATTTGATCGACGTTTTCTTGATGTTATTATTAATGTATCATTTTTTACTGATGGACAAACTAATTTACTTAAAAGTGCCGGTAAAAATAAATCTTTGTTTTAGTGTTCAATATTTTAAATCTATCTTTAGAAATATTTGCTATTATAATTCGTCTTGCTCAAGCATCTTCATCTGCTATTTTACAACGGCAAGCTCTTCTCATTCTTCGAAATTTAGCTTTCTCTTCAACGAATAAAGCAAGAATTGTAGCTGAACGTAAGTTTTCGCTATAAAATATGACTTTAAAGAAATAAATCTAATCGAAAGTTTTATTTAGCTAAATCTATTCCAACGATCATGTCACATGTTCTTTCAAAAACATCCGATACAGCTTATATTGGACTAACTGCATTGTGGGCATTGATTGTCGATGCTCAAAAAGTAAATAACTGAATCTATTTCTGCTATGTATTATCTTTAATATTTTGAAGGGAAAAGTCGCTGTTCGAAGTAGCAATGTATTACCGGCTCTATTCGATGTCAAAACTCAACAACGGAACAAAGAAAATCTATTGTGCTACCATGCTGTATCAAATGTTATTCAATTATTAACAGAAGATTAAATCTTTTTGTGTTTATATAAGTTTAATAATTGTAGTTCGCTAATAAATCTTATCATAGATAAGTCATTTCTACGCTTAGAAGTAGAAATAAAAATAAAATCCAAGGAACATTTTAATGGAACTCTAACAGTCGGTTTCTATATTTTTACAGTCTTTTCGAGAAAACAATTTCAATAAAAAACTAATCAAAAAATGAAGCTCTTTTAAAAAAAACTAAATATTTCTATAGAATTCGTTTTGTTGAAAACTATCGGTTGAATCCGAATTTTTAAGATGAAGCTATTAGGCTCTTCACATCACATAACAAACCCTATCTTCCAGTTAGGACAATAAAACAATATCCGATTACTGAGCAAGTCACTTCCTTTTCGGGACACCCATGTACAAGACATTTGAACACAATATATTATCGTAGGATGTCATGCCCAAAGTTTGGTGAGGCTGAGTCTCACGGAGTTTATCTAAATTTTTTGCATTGGTGATGATCTAACCAAAACCTAATTCATTTGTTCGAGATGATCCAATGCTTATTAAAAATCGTGGTTGATTTTGGTGACATGTCAAAGATATCGATGCATATCCAACAATTATTGATTAAAAACGAAGGAGAAGCACTGTTTTCACAACAATCAATCGAAACTCACCTTGACAAAGATAGTTTCAATGGTCACCAAAATTCCACATGAAATTGTTTTTCGGATTATCATTATCTATTTTAATTAGGGATGTGCAATGTCGGTGTAAATACTGAAAAACTGACCACCAACTACACCGACGGTGTTCTCAGTGGAGCACCGACTACACTGTTATCGGTGTGACTGACACCGAACACACTGAGAACAGTGTAGTCGGTG